GGCGCCCATATAACACAACTGTAGTTCAGCTACCAGACTTGGTTTTTAACTGTGGGAACTAATCTTTTTTTCGTGCACGAAACAAACTCGCTACAGAGGGACCGCGACTCCGAGTAGCAAAGGAACATTTCCGAAAACAGATTGTACTACATCCAACGATAGTGTTATAGACAGTATTTTAGATAAAAACTACACTATGGTAAGTACGGAGCAGTAAAGATCGACAAACGATAAGACCTGAGGAAGATTTTTTTCTCAGACCTTTCGACGTGAGAACGTGATTCATTCTCAGATCTTTCGACGTGATTCGAGAACCAAAAACGGAACGATCGAGAATAGTGTGCTTACCAACGCGTGAGTATCCAAAGGAAATGGACAGCAAAAAAAAAATTTCTTCAGGCCTACGAATATTTATAGTTAAAATTCAAAAAATGTGCAAGTCAGTGTTTCGAAGTGCCTGCAAAATATCGAAGGAAAAATCCTGTTATACTGTTCGCTTCATGGACAAAACGTTGTCCGGAAAGCTGTTTTCTTCTTCCGTACAACATCGTGTTTGGTTTTGATATTTAGGAAAATTTTCGTTCGGAGCTCTTTTCTGATACTGTTAAATAATTACAGTAATTACTAATTTAACGTAATAAGTAGGTAAAAAGTTCATACCTAGGGGAGGAGGAGTCAAGTCTGGATTCTCGAAACGGTTATTCTTACATGCAAATCGGAAGGAGATGAGTCGGAGGAATACAAGAAGATCGCATGGCGATACGAGAACATAGCCTGTGTAATTTCCATTCTTGTTTCAAGTTATAACTAGAATATTGGTGTAATCAATTGGTGTAATTTGCCATCTAAATCAAAGACGAGAGCGTAAGGGTGCAACCGTGCAAAAGAGGATCTCACTTTAGACGTACGCGAAAATACGCGAGGTATGTACCTTTTTCCTTTTTTTTACCGGAATCTCCATAATCTCTCTACCATTATACTAACTGTACCGGCTGGAACAACGGGAAAAAAATACGATTATTAGATGTATTTGTGTATGTGGTTTCCGTTTATGAAAAAATTTTATCAACATGTTACGTGCCGCGTGAGTCACCGTGGATGACCAAGGGCTGCCTGAATGGGAAGTTATGCCAAATTGGCGCGGCGCGGATCGAGTTAAACATTCAACCATTTTTTCGGACACCGTTATGCTTCTAGATTTCGGAATAAAGTCCGACTCGCGAGGAATGCTATTTTAAAGTTACCATTATTAATACATGATGAATTTTTTTCCGTCTCCGCGTATCACGGAGATTTAAAGATTGATTCGAATACGCACGGTATAAAAATAGACGTACAGGCTATGAAAATTTAAAACACCTGTCGATTTTTACGTAACTTGAAAACTATTTAAAATCAACGATATTCGAAATGGCAAATTACCACGTTCAGATGTATTGCACGAATTGGCGAAATATAACGTTATCACACGCTTTAGCTTAATTGAAAAAAAATTTCAAAATTTTTCAAAACAATAGCGAACGGTGGAGGTATCTTGAAAAACATGACGTTTTTAAAAAGTCTGAAATACCATTATGACATTCTTCTGTGAGCGTAACAATTTTATTTAAAACATTTTTTCCACATCTCTCGTAGTTTCGACGATATTAAAAACGTAAAAACCAATTTTTTCCAACAAGGTGTCCGCATCTTTACGACCGTTTACTGACGTTAACAAAAAAAAACTGCTTCTTCAAAGTTCCATCTAAATTTATGAAAAAAATTCTAATATATTTTTCAATCCTTATTGCCGAACTTTCTTTGCTAGTCGCCAAGACTTTTAGTCATCTGCCCTCTCAGTTAAAAGTCATATTATCTTATCTCACATATCTCAAGGCGATAAGCGCTGAGGTATGTGTGTGCCTTATGTTGCATTTTTCCGCGCACGACGTGTCACTCTCGAAAGATACGAATGAGCACGCAGATTCCCCGCACGAGAAACGAGCGGCGGAATGCAGCGAAACTCGCGATCGAACGGTCGCGAGACACGTGGAGGAACGTGGTGCACACGCAGACGAAGCCTCGAAAAATCGAGGTCCGTTCTGAATATTTACCTTTCGAGCGCGCCCAGAGCCGAAGAGAGCAGGCTCGCGCGATCGCGCTCGCGTATCTCGTCGAAAAAGAGAGAAAGGGAAAAGGAGACGTAGGCTCGTCGAGTGTCGTCCTACGCTCGATTGTCGCGACCCGAGGTCTGCCCAAGGTGGTCAAGAACAACGAGAATTCACTCCGTGGTGCGGTTTCACAACGACGATGCGTCGCGTCGACGAGACGCGCAAGATGGAGAGAGAGAGAGAGAGAGAGAGAGAGAGAGAGAGAGAGAGAGAGAGAGAGAGAGAGAGAGAGAGAGAGAGAGCCTCTCGACTGTCTCGCGCTTCGACGCCGACGAAGCTTCTGCTGCTTTCTCTTTCTCTCTCTCTCTCTCTCTCTCTCTCTCTCTCTCTCTCTCTCTTCCTCTCCTTCGTCGGCTTCAACGATGCAACCGAATTAACCCCATCGTCCGCGTGTGCCTCGTTAAAAGAAAAAAGAAAAGAAAAGAAAAAGGACGTAAAGTACGCCGTACGTATTGTGTACGTATGCGCGCTTTACGTTCTCTTCTTTCTTCTTCTTCTTCTTCTTTTAACGTGTCTCTGTACCGTCTCGTTGGCAGCGAGATCGCGTCGCGCACGGACAGATCGAGGGAAGAATGCAGACGCGTGCGGGCGAGGGAGCGTCGCGCTTCTTTTTCGCTCGTGATTTTCCCCTCGTCTACTTTCGGACATTCTCTCGCGGCTGCTTCGCACGCGTCTCGAGAAAAGAGAAGAAGAAGAAGAAGAAGAAGAAGAAGAACCGCGCCGCGCGACGGTATTTCGGAAGCGAGCCTCGCGGAGCCTCCGAAGCATCCTGAACGTACGACGCTGATCGCAGCGAGCTCGCATTTTCTCGATCGTAATCACCTCGCATACATTTCCCTGCTGTTTTTCGACGAGGAGACGGGGAGAGGAATTTCGAGCGTTGATCGCATTCACGTAAGATGGCACATTCTGCGCGATGCATCTGGTGTGTAAACGCGAAGATATTTTGCGAGATAGTCTGCGAAGCTAAACCGACTAGCTGCCACAATCTCCCAGCGTGGGTCATCGTCGAGTCGTGCTCGATCTCATATGCTGCTTCATGGCGCAACATTGCTCTCCGTTTTTCAGGGCGACTTGTGGCGAATCGCGCCAACAGGCCGTGCGTTATCGAGGTCAGCCGCGAGGGTCGCGAGATCCGCTATCGGGGATCATTTGACTTGGTTATTTACTCGCGGCGACGCGTCGCGGAGCGGCCGATACGTCGAGAAAAAAGTCTTACGGCGCGCTGACGTTCGTCGCAATAATTAATACGTACGCGCAAACGACGCGAACGGACACATAATGAACGTGATATAATTAATTTCGCGAGACGAGGAGGGGGCGCCGCGCCCCCTCTTCTTGTACGGCGCAACAATGCGCACGTAAAAGCAGACGATGATATTCGGCCGCGAAAAATCGGGCAAAAGGAACGACATGGAGAGAGAAGAGAGGGGAAAAGGAGAGGAAAAGAAAAGAAGAAGAAAGAGAGAGAGAGAGAGAGAGAGAGAAAACGAGAACATCGCGGGCAGAGCAGAGTTTCGCAGCGGGTGCAAAACTTATTCGCGAGAGACAAGGTTCCCTCTTTCAGCAGCGCTCGCGTATCTCGCGTCGATCTTTTTGTTTTTTATTTGTTTATCTATTTTTGCGAAGCACCACGACGAAGATACGCGGGAGTCGCGGGAATCGTGAGTCAACCCGCCGTTGCTCCATATATTGCACGCGTCACGATTATTAATATACAGATAAGAACGGCTGTTGCCGATCTATCGTTATCGAGAGCGGCGTCTTTTCCGCGAAGCGTCGAAGACGAAGAAGAGGCGTGATCGCGTCGATCGTCAACTCGCGACAACAATGCATAAACAAAAAGAGCATTCTTCGCCGTATAAACGCCGTCCGATTTACGGCGCGTCTCCGAACGTCGCGGACGCGATCGATCGATCGATCGATCGCGATCGCGCGTCCTGCTTCGAAGCCGAAGCGGAAAGAGGAGGAAGCGAAACGCCGCGACGGAAAAACGCGCGATTGCGTAATCCATCCATCCACCTATCCACCCATCTATCCATCCACCCATCAATCAATCAATCAATCCATCGTCGACGAGTCCGCGTTGGCGCGTCTCCGACACCGATGATCGTACACGACAATCGTAGCACCGAGGCGAGGCGAGGCGAGGCGAGGCGAGGCGAAACCCGAGACGCGATATTCGTTTTCTTTTTCCCTAAATTCGCCGGGTCGATCGAGTCGCCGTAATCGAAGGCGAGAGACTCGGGCCCGTTGTTGAATTAACCTAGCGATCGTCTCCGACGCGCGACGACCAAGTACGACCGGAAGTATGTGTGCGCGCGCCCGAGACGGCATACGTCCTCCTCCTCCTCCTCCTCCTGGCGCTCTTCTCCTTCGCTCCTTCTGCGAAAAGGAAAGCCTTCTCGCTCGATCATCGACGAGTACTCGCAGGAGAAGAGAACGGCTTGTACTCGCGTACGCGTTTTTCGGCATTTCCGTCTCGGGCGAATAAGCGAGTCAGCATTATTCATGACCGTCGCCGGCAAAGTTGTTGACGACGACGTCGACGTCGTCGTCGTCGTCGTCATTATCATCGTCATCGTCGTCGTTGTCGTTGTCGTCGTCAACGACGACGTTAATGACGGTCGCGCCCGGGAGATCTCGCATCCCGAGCGGTAGTGGACTTACCGCCTGCGGTGCAAACATGCGAGCGAAGATGAGGTCAGCTGGTCGCGAAGAGTCGTCCTTGTCGTCGTCGTCGTCGTCGTCGTCGTCGTCGGCCGCGCGGCGATAACGGTGACGATGATGATGATGATGATGATGATGATGGTGGTGGTGGTGGTGGTGGTGATGATGATGGTGGTGGTAGTGGTGGTGGTGATGGTGTTGGTGGTGGTGGTGACGATGCTGGTGATGGTGACGATGACGGTGACGATGACGATGATGGCGTTCGTCCCGACGAGCGCTCTGCTCCGACGGAAAAAGCCATCACCGCACGTGCCACAGGCCAAGATTCAACGTACTCAGCTGCGGCAGCTTCATGATCCGCTCGAGGCCGCTGGTGGTGATCTTGGTGCAGCCGTACAGGTCGATGCACTTGAGATGCTTCATGTTCTCGGCCATGGTGTGCAGACTCCGGTCGGTGAGTCGGCTGCACTGGCCGATGTTGAGGGTCTCGAGGTCGTGCAGGGTCTTGGCGATCTTGCAGATGCCCTCGTCGCTGATCTGGCAGGCGGACAGTGACAGGGACTTGAGGTTGAACAGACCCTGGGAGATGTGGACGAGCGCCTGATCGCCGATTTTGTCGCAGAACGACACGTCGAGCGAGGTGATGCGGCTGCCGCCCTCGGCGAGGTACGCCATGCCGATGTCGGAGATGTTGTCGCAGGAGCGTAGGTTGAGCTCGCGCAGACTCGACATCCGCGCCAGATGCTTGACGCCGGAGTCGGTGATGCAGACGCAAAACGACAGGTTAATGGACTTGAGGGTGGTGAGGCCAAGCGACACGTTCCTGAGCGCCTCGTCGCTCAGTCGCTGGCAGTCCTGTAGACTCAGGTGCTCCAGAGCGAGGTTACCGTCGGCCTCGCGGTTCAGCCCGGCCAGGTAAGCGATACCCTGGTCGGACACGTGCCAGCAGCTCCTCAGGTCCAGCCGCTTGAGTTTCTTCAGTCCCCACGCGATCACCATGAGGCCGGTGTTGGTGATGTTGCAGCATCCGCCTAGCTCGAGATGTTCGAGGTTCTTCAAGTACTGCGCTATCCGGCCGAGCGACGTGTCCGTCACCTGCTTGCACAGCGACAGGTTGAGCACGGTGAGGGTCGGCAGTTCCTGGCAGAAGCCGCTCATGATGCCGGTGTCGGTGATGTTGTAGCAGCCGGACAAGTTGAGCGCCTCGAGATTCGGCACGCCCCTCAGCACGGCGCTGAGGCCGTGCCTGAGCGACAGTACCTGCACCTTCTTCACGCCGCGTCGCACCAGGCTGGCGAACAACGCCGGCGCCTGTTTCCTCAGGTGCAGCCGCGCCTCGACCCCTCGCCAGACCGAGCGGTAATACGCGGCGTCGCGCCACGCGGTGCACACCTGCGCCGCTCGTCCTTTATCGCGCACCTCCAAGTAGCTGAAGATCAACGCGAGGATCTCCGGGTAGAGGCAGGACACGTGGGTGCTGGCGACGGCGTGTCCGGCCGCGGCGGCGGTGCCGCGCGGCACCTGCGGCATCTGCCGCGACGAGATGCCGCCCTGCACGTAAGCCGGCAAGCCGCCGGCATTCGCGGGGCCGCCTCCGCCGCCGGCACCGCCGACGCCGCCGCCGGCGGCGTCGTTGCTCGCGTTGTAGTGCGGCGCCGTGCTGGAGTTGTGCATCGAGATCGCCTGGCTCTGCGGCGTCGGGATCGCCAAGTGCGGTTGGTGCAGGTGGTAATAGTGCCCGGGCCTGTGCAGCAGCGTCGTGCCGCCACGGCTCGGCGTTAGCGCCGGAAGTTCCGTCATCAACAGCTGACTCTCCTCCATGTCTGCCTCCGTGTATGCCGTAACCGCGCCGCCGTAACAGGCGCGCGCCACCGAAGCCGTACGCGCCGCTTCGCCAGCGGAGGCAGCGGCAGCGGCAGCGGCGGCGGCGGCGGCGGCAGCAGCAGCAGCGGCAGCAGCAGCGGCAGCGGCAGCGGCAGCAGCAGCGGCAGCAGCAGCGGCAGCAGCAGCAGCGGCGACGACGACGACGAGCGAACAGCCGCCAGTCCCGGTGCGCTCGTCCCCGTGTCCTTGTTGTCCGTCGCGACGATTATTATGTCTGTCTATCTTCAACTCACACTTTATCCTCCTCCGCACTCTTATCGCGCGTCCGCCCAGCCGCTCGAGCCAGTACGCGTCGCGCTCGCGGCTCAGGACGCGCCGCCACTCGGTGCTCGCGTAACAAGCGTTTATCCGCGCGCGCCCGCGCGCCAACGTACAATGCACACACGCGCAGCACGGTATGGTACAACACGGGCCCGTACACACGCGCGCACCAACGCAGCAGCGGAACAACTCCGCCGATAGCCGTTGCCGCCGCCGCCGCCGCCGCTATCGATCGCGGTTATCGATCGCGGCGCTGCGCGCGAGACCGCCGCCGCCGCCGCCGTCGCGCTGCTATCAGCGCGCGCGCGCGATCCACCGACGTGGTCGAGCCGCGTACAACGCGGACTGCGGCTCCGCGGGAGGGGGGTACCGCGACGACCGGGTGGGCCGTTGAGCGGGGCCGGGGGGGAGGGGGGCCAGCGGGATTTATCTCGCGATCGACGACGACGGTGCTGCGACCATCGACCGATATCGGCAGGAAAAGTAAGAGAGAGAGAGACAGAGAGAGAGAGAGAAATAATACGACGACGATGATGATGACACGCGACTCCTCGCGCTTTTACGTCCCTACGTGCGGCGGACGCACAACTCTCTCACTTGTCCGTGAGAGTTACGGTTTCACGAAAGCACCATTCTCTCGCATGGCACATGTAGAAACACCATCGCGCGCGCGTATACCCTGGCCTCTCTCGCTTCTCTCCGCTTCCTCGTCCCTCCGTCCGTCCCTCTCCGCAGCTACTCTGTCCCTCTCACTCGCGCGCCGCGTCGTGGAGTTCTACTCTTTCACTCTATCTTTCTTTCGCGTTCGCTTACTCACTCACTCACTCACTCTTTCTCCTCCCCTCCCTCCCTCCCTCTCTCTCTCGCGCGCGCGCGCGCGCGCGCACGTCCTCTCTCTCACCCTCCGTTGCTCCTTCTCACTCCGTCGCTCTTTCTCTCCTTAGTCCCGTCTGCCCCACCTCGCCTCTTAACAGTCACTCGCGCTCTCGATCTTCGTCGCACATACCGCGGTCACTTCCTCTACTCTCTTGCTCTGTCCCGTAGCCGCGACGACTGGCTGGCTCTTTTTGCACGCGAGACGACTACTACGGCACGAGTATGTATACATACGCATGCATACACATATACATGTACATATATATATATATATATATAATTGATATATAATATTATATATGTACCGAGAGGGGAAAGATGCTCACGCGCACACTGCGCGTTTCTTCCGGCGAATGCGAGACAGGTTAGCAGCCAGCGACGGCGAACGCACGCACGGTGCGTGAGTAACACATAGAATGTCGTAAGAGGCGAAAGACGGTACCAAGCGACGTCGGCGACTCCGCTCTCCGTACACGTGCTAACGTCGTGACGTTCTTGTCGTTCTTCTTCTCCTCGTCGTCGTCGTCGTCCTCCTCGTCTTCGTCGCGATCGCGATCGTCGTCGTCGTCGTCGTCGTCGTCGTCGTCGTCGCCGCCGCTGCTGTCACCGTCCTCGTTCTCGTCGTCGTCGTCGTCGTCGTCGTCCTTGTTAAACGCCCGTCGACGTCGATGTGTGTCGTGTCGGGGTCACTCGTACGTCGGCCGCCGTACGTGGAGCGGCACATCGCCAAACTGTGAACCGGTGCGCTGCCAGCCGCGGACTGTTGTTCCGCCTACACGAACGCAGATGTCGTGCAGTCACTCCGTGGGCACAGGCGGAGCGAGCCTCGCTCGCTCCGACCGCCGATTGGCCCGCGCCGCTGGATACCGTGCCACGTGACCGCACCGGCGAATATCGATTCGGGTTGCGCTGCGGCGGCATTTTTAAGTTTTCGTTGCGTGGTGGGAGGGTGGGAGGGGCCAGGGGAGAGGGCGAGACACACACGGTGCGGGCGTACCGTATACCCTGGACCACCACGTTGCACGAGGGCTGTACTCTGACGCCCGCACGTCGGGGAATACCGAGAATTCCGCTGTCGATCCCCGACCGCTCGATCGCCGATGCTCTTTTCTTCCGTCTCTCTCTCTCTCTCTCTCTCTCTCTCTCTCTCTCTCTCTCTCTCTCTTTCTCTCTCTCTCTCTCTCTCTCTCTCTCTCTCTCGAATTTTCGTCCTCGCCTAGCCGATCGCCGTCGTCGCCGTCGCCTTCGCGCTGCGACAGCCGCCAGGGCCGAGACGCGCATCGCACGACGACGAAATCGCGTCGAATTTCGAAGCGATAGAGGTAGAAGAGAGGGACGGGGCGGGGGGAGGGAAGAGAAAGAGCTTTCGAAAGTTCAGGGGTCGAGGGGCGCGATAGCTTTTATCTGACGTCGCTTTTGCCTCGCGCTCGGCGAATCTTCGATCGACCTCGCCGTCGACCTCGGATCTATCTCCGGTGAGCTTGACAATTTACGACGATTACGCTTACGATCGCTCTCTCCGTCTGCCTCTCTCGCGTAAATATGGAAACGTAAACACGGATAAAAATGCGTGTTCCTTTGCGGCTGGTCAGTCGAGACGTCGCCGATCGCGCGGGCGCTTTTCGTCAAGATAGCCGGAGAAATCAGGCGGACAGGTGTGGCGCAATAGCGTCCGCCACTCTGATACAGCGGCACCCTCGATTCGATGCGATGACCTTTCGCGCGTCATCTTTTTCGGTCTCAGCTCGTGATAAATGACTGCGGCTCGCGCGAGCTGCGCTCGCCGAATTCACTCCGCCGCCGTACGGCGTACTCGTGTCGTTTGTACATCAATTTTTATAATGAGCTTCGGTTTCCGAAGGGGCACGTTATTATAAATAGATTCTCTCTCTCTTCCCACCCCCACCCCAACCCCCAACCCCCTCCCTCACTCTCTTTCTCTTCCGGATATCTCGATGTCCGAGAGTTAACTTATTTTTAGATCGTGAGCGAATCTCAGACGAGACATTTAAGATCGAGGGAGACAGGCGGTGGCATGACGACTTACGAGACAATTCGTGCGCTAATTAATGGAATTGCAGGATCGTGCTGCACATTCGAGATGTGTCTCGCGGTGCGTTTGGCATTTCGATCGATCCGCGGTACACAAACGGGAAGAAATTGCGAGGGTGGCATCGTGTAATCGTAAATTTCTCAATGCGGGATGAATTAGCATCCGCCGTATTGGCGGAGACATTAATTCGCTCTCTCTCTCTCTCTCTCTCTCTCTCTCTCTCTCTCTCTCTCTCTCTCTCTCTCTCTCTCTCTCTCTCTCTCTCTCTCTCTCTCTCTCTCTCTCTCGTCGACTTGCGCATCTTCGTGAACGAGTCAAGCGGAACGAAGCGTCCTCGTCGGTGAGTTTTCTCGAGAAAAACTCCGCCGCGATACCTGTCCTCCGGCGGCGAAAAACGAACGTGTCACTGTCGATTCGACTCGCACCGTCGACGTCGTGACGATCGTTCGCGAGGGTCCAAAAATCACGGAGAAATCCTTCATCGCCATCTCTCGCGATGTCTCTCCTTTATCCCGCCGTCATCTTACATAACATTTCTCGATTAGACTCGCGCGCGCGCGTTCCTCCCGCCCCCCCTCCCCCTCCACGAAATTTCGCTATTAATGAGTTATTTTAATTCATCGCGGATGCTCGTTGGATCGATGCGCCGGCGGAGCGGCTTGCACGCGCTCATTATGCAGAACAATTGCGAACGCGCGAGGCGAGGTCATTTCGTTATTCCGGCGGAATCGGATAGTTTTTGATTAATCTATCCGGAATTACGCCGCTTGTGTATTATCCATTCGACACGGGGGAAGCGCGGGGAGAGACACACACGCTCGTGAAAATGTATATCAATCGCGAAAGTCGATAACTTTCCCGCGTCCCGATGAACAAGCGAGTAACGTGAGTAACGTCAACGGATTCGTGCGTTCGATACATCGCAGCTCTCTTTTAACTGCGTTATTTCTACTCGATTAACGAAGAAAATAAAAGGCAAGGCTCGTAATTGATACTCTACATATCGATAGGAACGGCTCTCCGGAACGAGATACTTCATCATGTCCGTTTCGAAATGCAAATATACGCCGTGTACGTATGCATTTGTACAATCCCTCTTTTCCCCATTTTTCATTCGGAGCGTGATTTTCCTTCATCATAAAATACGAGGCGAGAGCACCGCTGTTCATTTGGAATTTTATCGTGCAGTCCCTGCATTGTTGCTCTCTTCTCTTCGCGCTCTTCGGCTACCCGTCGGTGTCTAACCAGTCTCTGGCACTTTATCGCCATAGAGAGAAACATGCAATTTCGAAATTGTACTCTCGCGAACAACGACTGGCGATAATTACAAATCGAAACGACGCGCGCGCGCGCGCGCGTCACACTCAAGGAGTCGCGTCTCGCACTCGCACAATTAAAAGAACTGCGCGGTCTCTCGCGGGTCAAGGCGGAGGAAGGAGAGGAGGACACGGGAGAATCGTTCTACTTATCGAGCCGATGAACCAACCACGGTCCAGTGAAAAGCGGCACGCACGTTTTGACACATATATGTAGATCTCTATTTATTTATCTCGGTCGTACGTATGTATAATAATATTACAACGTTATAACTGTATAACAGTAAACAAGATTGAATATGCTTGATTGAAATACTCGTGAATATGCCACTAAAACTGGCAAGTAGAATATGTACACATTGTAGGATGTCGCTTTATTGCCTCTAAAAGAGATATGTGATTGATACTAAAGAAAAAAGGGAGAGAGAGAAAGAGAAAGAGAAAGAGAGAGAGAGAAAGAGGGGGAGGGGGAGAGAGAGCAAAAAAATGAGCGAGAGACAGAGAGAGAAAGAGAAGAGTAGTGAAAGAGAGGCAAAAGGTTGAGGAAACGGAAAAAGAGGAAAGAGAGGAAGATAAATGAAAAACAATGATAATGATAATTACAATAGGACCAGGAGGATGAGTAGATAGGTACACGCAGCGGTATTACAGTGGCAGCCGGCGACATATCTTAACTATTATCACAGATTAATACAGACAGCTTCTGTCATAGTTGGACATGACCGATCGTTACAATTTCGTCGTGCTATCTACCCTTCTGCAATAAATGTTCAAGTCTTGTATGTGTGTGTGTGTGTGTGTGTGTGTGTATGGTGTGTGTGTGTGTGTGTGTGTGTGTGTACGCATGCATGTGTTGTGTCGTTCGTCGCGGATGCATGGACAATTTAAGATACTTGCGTATATATGAGTATATATATAAAAATTCGGACGCACAAAGAATACAAAGCTTCTTCGCTTTCGTTCCTCGTCGCAGAGCCGCACTAATGTACAGAGATATGTTAGACCGTGTACAAAATTAAACAGTGTGATAATACTGTATGTCTTATATTTTATTAATGCGGGACTAAATACTGTGTGTATACCCTCCGAAACCTCGGAATGAATGTACAAGCGGTTGTTTCTCGTTGGGAAGTTCGTCGTTCGTGAGATTCTCGGAGAGAATACTATTCGACAATCAGTACTTGTCGGTACTTATCAGTACTTAAAATTCCTTTTAAATACATCGTTTTCAAATATATTGTTTCGCGTACGCCCAACGCACGCTTAAAATCCATAGCAGATTTTAAAACGTTACAAAGGACGTTACAACTTTCAAATGTGTACACTGTAAATTTTACAAATCATACAACAAGTCGCTTATATACTCGTGTTACAGTCTTCTGAATGCTGGCAATAAGTGTGCGTATCAAACTCGAGAAGCAGCTTTTGCTTGTAATTTTCGAACAGTATGCACAGACATACAACAGACACAGTGTCTCGCTTGTACACCAGTTGTAGTGCACTGCATAACGTTGATACTTTCCACCGTTTATGTCCGATTGAATGTCTTTCAGATGGACCGAAAGCGCCATCAAGCCGCAGCAATCTTAATTTTAATCAAATGTTTTAAGAATTATTTAGACCAGTTAACATAGTATTTGTCGCTTCTTTGTTCAAAAAACTCTCTAATCCTACGCTTTAAACACAATTTATTTAAAGTATGGTAACTCATCATTAAACGCAGCACAAGTTTACACCATGATCAAAATGACACCTGTACATCTTAGAAACAATCAGCGGAAGATATTTGCAGCAGTGTTTGTTCATGAAAACATTGTCGTTAAAATGTTTTATCTACACTCCAATTATACGTGATACATGTGTGTGTATGTGTGTGTGTATGTGTGTTAAGCAAAATTTTAATATTTTGCGTGTGTGCGAGTTACCCTGCCGTAAATGATTACAAATGAATAATAGGCCTTTTGTTCTTGACTGTAGCATGCGAAAATATTTTTTGGACATCAAAGGAATGTCGTATAATCGTTTTCGGTAAATAAGCTCTACGCGTGCACGCGCGCTATCTTGATTCTACACGTTAAATACAATACTAGCGTCGAAAGTATACCTCTGAGTTAGGATACGTTCTTAGGTATCATATTTCGAATACAAAACTTATTCAAATTAGAAAATATCCGGCGTCTCATGTCCACTCTGGTACTAACACATGCTCTCTGTTTTATTCTGTCCTATCATCGTATCAAATAATATTGTGAGTAGGTGGCATGCTTATACAACATCGCTAACAACATTTTTTCCTATGCTGTCTTGTGCTTTTCCTCAGGTTGACGGTATCATTGGGCTGTATGGCTTGCCGCTCTTTACTCTCCTTTTTGGTCCGTAATACTTGCCGCGTTATCGCCATAAACATCTGCAAGTGGCATATTACTATTATTCGCAATATATGATAGCGTGATAAAACATGTGACTTGAAACTCGATCTGTCAATAATCATCGATAACGAGAAAGTGGTGCAACATACCTCTTCGACATTAATGTTGTCTTTAGCAGAAGTCTCAAACAACTGAATCCCCATCTGATTGGCGAATCTTTGTGCATCTTCCGTTAACACTACCTTCTGATTAGGCGCATCGTTCTTATTTCCTACAAGTACCCTGTTAACCACATCACAATTCTGTTCAATTTCGTGCAACCATCGTTTAACGTTCGCAAACGTGTCACCGCTGGTCACATCGTACACAACTATGACGCCGTGTGTTCCCCTATAGTAAGTTGAAGTTATTGTCCGAAAACGTTCCTGCCCAGCTGTATCCCAAATTTGCAGCTTCACTCTCTCACCATCTACCTCCACAGTTTGTATTTTAAAGTCCACCCCTATCGTTGTGATATAACTGCCGTTGAAAGTATTGTCGGCGAATCTCAGAAGTAATGAGCTTTTACCTACACCTTGAGGACAAAGAAAAATATATCGTTTTATATATATTAAAATAATTTGTGCGTACAAATTTTGCTCTCTCCCATACAAAAAATTACAGATGGACAGAATCAATTATTTCTCTACGATCGATAGAGTTAATTAAAATTCTTTCCAACTTTCTATCAACTCTGGCGAATAAAAATAGGCATGAGCCATGAATCTCCTAGTCGTCGTAGTAAGAAAATCGCTTAACTATGGAAAATACGATTAATCGTCACACGAGCATGATAAACAGGCTAAAATATGTTTATCGTCTCATTATGTGTTCGCAGTTTCCCTTTATTAAAATGAAACATTATCTTGTACAACTGCTCTCAATCTATCTATACAGGAAGAACAATTTTCACGTCATGAAGTTTAAGCTGGACCGACGGAGCAACGGACCAGCCAACGTGTCTCATCATTTAATAAATCGCCAGTGAAACTGCGTAATGACAGACGATCACAGCTCGCAATCGTCGAATGTCGCGATATGCGACGCCCGAGATGACGTTTGCGAGCTCCGTTCTTCTCGCCGCGTTTCTTCGCGCTCGGCGCATCTGGAGCACAACGAACGTGCGCTCATTAGCGGAGAGATGGAAAATAAGAAACGCAGCAGTATATGAGGCGCGAAACGCGGAAAAGCGCGACTGATGAGAACGGAGAAAAAGAGGGAGAGAGAAAAAAAGAAAAAGAGAGAAAAAAGGGAGAGAGAGGGGGAGAGAGAGAGAGAGAGAAAGGGAGAGAAAGAGAAAGAGAGAGAGATAAAGAGAGAGAGAGAGAGAGAGAGAGAGAGAGAGAGAGAGAAAGAGAGAGGAAGAGAAAAAAAAGAGAAAGCTCCGTGCATTTACACGAACAGATCCCGCAACAGTATGATGGTGGTTGCATGCATGCGTATTTACCGCTGTCGCCAATGATGAGCAGCTTGAATAAGTGGTCATATTCCCGGGCCATCTTGACACACGTGAGGTGCCTTCAGGATATTTCCTCCAAAGTCGTTTGTAACGTTGGCCGACACGCTCGGCGCGGCGCGCTACGTATTCTCGTCGATGCGCGTTCGTTCGGGCGTATACGCGAGAGAGAAACGGTATACTAGCCCTGCGCGATTGTCAGCAGCAGAAACGGCAACAGCAGCAGCAGCAGCGACAGCGGCAGCGGCAGCGAGACTCGCGGTTCGCCTAGACCGGAGGACGACTCTAGTATCAAATGATCGCCATGTTTATACGCCGCGGTATCACCATTCATTATCATTACTACGGGAGAAAAAAGTGCTACGCTCGTTCAACGCGACGCCCATCCCATATCAAATTGTCACCAACTTGTCACTGCCGCCATGTTCCTTCCCGACGTCCGGCGGCGTTCACAACGCAGCGGAGCGTGAATCTATTTTCACGCGCACGTTCTCCATTTCATCGAAATTGTCTCGAAGACCAAAAGTCCGGCTGATCCATCGTTTAGCCGTATTACTAACTTCAGTTTCAGCTGTAGGTAGAAGCGGTTGCGGCTTCCGATGGTATGAATGCTGCGATTTGTTTGACAAGTATATAATCCCAGTTTCCTTAATAATAATAATAATAAGATATAACTGAAGTACTTAATTGAAGTTCTCAAATAAAAAGTATAAAAAGTGTAATTTTTTTAACAACGAACATTGCTTTCGTTGCAGGCTGATAAATACTCGTAACCTTGTGTATGCCAAATACACAATCGGATGGTGCAAGTTATTAGCTGCGACGATGATTTGCGTAATTTATGGTGTATAAGGGAGTGTGCACAATTTGTGCAGCACGATACGTATCGCGCGGTGGATCATTTAAAAAGTGGAAGATGGTGTACACCATGCCAACGCGTCTACTGCATAAAAACAGCAGGATGCCTTACCATTATCGGAATATCGCAGTCATATGTTTATTATCGTTTACAATGTTTGTCGTATTGTTATACGGTGTACTATTCACAGTATTATATGTTTTTAAATTCGGCAGTACGCAGAAACATTCCGATTATATTCCCATAACATTGAACGACATAAATGCTCTGCCTGTTCAAACATTATCTGCAAATCTGGTTACAGCAGAAGCCACCAATTCTTCATGCACATATTTTGGTTGTTTCAATGTATACCGATGTGGCAGCCAAGGAAATAAACTTTTAGTGTATGTCTATCCGCTTAAGATATACTTGGACTCAATGGGTAGACCTATAACAAGCCAGATGACAAAGGAGTTTTACCAAATTTTGAATACCATAATCAACAGCAAGTTTTATACGCCCAATCCGTATGAGGCCTGCATCTTTGTGCCTTCCATTGACACTCTCAATCAAAACAGGTTGAGATTGCAGGAAGTATCTCAAGCTTTAGGATCCTTACCCTTGTAAGTCTCATTTCTTTAATCAATCTACTTTAGTAATATCACTCACCAATTATAATGAATATGTCACATGCGAGTATAGCTGGAACAAAGGGGAAAATCATGTGATCTTTAATATGGTGCCTGGGAGTGTGCCAGACTATAACACAGTCATAGATGTGCCAATAGGAAGATCGATTATTGCAGGTGCTGGGATGTCGTCATTGACACATAGACCTGGTTTTGACATTAGTCTACCGGTCTATAGTCCGTTAGTGAATAATATAAAGACAAATCTGAGCAATACAAGGTAATAAAAGGATAATTGAATAACTTTATATTAAACTTATTATATCTAATTTCTATTATTTTCTATTTCAGAACATGGCTAGTCATATCTTCACAAATCAATATTAACACTGCCTTTGAACAAGACCTGTTGGAAGTAAAAACCACATATCCAAAGGATATTCTGGTATTAGGTCCGTGTTTGCAATATAATCCAATGAATAATACAATACGCTGCATAGGGGAGGATTTGTACAAATATCCTGATATCCTACATGTAATATGATTGTAACAATATGATTGGCAGAAAAAAAGCCTTTCTGTCTGTTAACATGATGCATAACAAAGTTGTTTCATGCTTTTTCCACAGTCGGCAACATTTTGTTTGATAATCCGTGGCGCTAGACTCGCTCAAAGTGTACTTTTGGATGCAATGGCAGCTGGTTGCATACCTGTTATCATAGCAGATTCTCTAATAATGCCATTTCACGATGTAATTGATTGGACCAAGTAAGACCAGTTGCTTGAAAATTAAGATATGCGATATACTGTTTCTCGTATGTAAAAATTTATTATCTATGATGCTATTTGTTACTCACCAGGGCTGCTATTCTTGTACGCGAAGTTGATATCTTATTGATAATACAATTGTTAAAGAAGATATCGCACCAACGTATCGTGGAGATGCAAGAACAGAACGCATGGCTGTATGACCGTTACTTCAGTTCAATGGAGAAAATTACAGAGACTACGTTGGAGATACTCGCGGATCGTGTGTTTCCACATTTAACACGGGACTACACACATTGGAACATACCGTCCTATAAGGTAAAAGTGAAAAGTCATCAGAGATGGAGAGTTAAAATTTCCATATATTGCAAGAGGATCATCATGTACGCAGGGCAAAACCTCGCCGCTCTTTCTACCAGTAACTGCGCCTAAAACACGTGGTTTCACTGCTGTAATATTGACGTATGACCGACTAGAATTGTTGTTCCTGTTAATCAATAAACTTGTGAAGGTGCCGAGTTTATCTAAAGTTTTGGTGATTTGGAACAATCAGCAGAAAGATCCGCCGCATTGTGAGAAGCTCCGAAATACTTATTACGCCATGTATTATAAATGAGTCCCAATCGTTTGACACGTAAACTTTGTCCGTTTTATAACTTGTACTCCTTGCAGCGTCGCGATGGCCAAAAGTCAATAAACCGTTGAAGGTCATCCAAACGAAAGAGAATAAATTATCTAACCGATTTTATCCGTATGATGAAATCGAAACCGAAGCAGTATTGTCGATAGATGACGATATCATTATGTTAACTGCCGATGAAGTGGAATTTGCATATGAGGTGCGCTTTAATATAAAATAAAAATGTTTTATAGGTCATTTTTCAATAATTATAGCCGTTCGCATCGCCTTTTGCATTATCATTAAGTACTTCAAATATTTCTTCGTGCTTTCAGGTGTGGAGAGAATTTCCAGACAGGATCGTTGGCTTTCCATCTCGTATACATATGTGGGATAACGGAACCAACTGCTGGAAATATGAGAGTGAGTGGACAAATAGTATCTCCATGGTTTTAACGGGGGCAGCTTTCCACCATAAGGTAAACGCTTTTGTTGCTTCTTGATCACCGAATTATGACCAAATTTTCTCACTTTTCTTTTTCGCCTAACATGTTTCAGACCGAAATCCTTGGATCTCATTTTATTTAGCGTAAAAACGAAACGCACCCTTTTCCCCGTTATCCTTCTATCATGAGCGCGCAAGATAACCCAGCAAAGTAACTTATATCTCTTCTCGCAGGCGCATTATTATATTATGTGTTATCGCGTATGAAACGATACTCAGCGTGATTTCTTTCAGTATTGGAACTACATGTATACAACAGCTATGCCCGGCGACATTAAAGAATGGGTTGATGAGCACATGAATTGCGAGGACATCGCAATGAACTTTCTCGTGGCGAATATTACCGGGAAAGCTCCGATAAAGGTGAGCGAAACTTTACGATCAAGTTACGCAACGAACGTGATACACAAACTCAAAAACTCGTATCGTAGGTGACACCGAAGAAAAAATTCCGATGTCCCGAGTGTACCAATACCGAGATGTTATCCGCGGATTTGACGCATATGGTAGAACGTACACAATGTATCAATAAATTTTCTTCTATTTATGGGACTATGCCATTAAAATCGGTCGAATTCCGTGCGGATCCGGTACTCTTCAAAGATGTGTTCCCCGAAAAATTAAAGCGATTCAACGATATCGGTAGTTTATAAATTGTATATAGATCAGTTTTCGAAAAGTCAATTTGCAATGACTTTCTAAAGAACATGTACAATCTTACATATATATAGTTTTATATAAAAATATATCTGAAATATATTCCTATATTTCACATATACGATCATATATATTATATATTATATGTATATTATATATGTATATTATATATTATATGTATATAGTTTTATATGTATTATATATTTATTCTAATGCTTAAAAACTAGAGCTTATTTATGGTATAATTAACAGATCATGTTTTAAATCATTGTCAAGTTTATTATTGCATTTACACGAGTTAACAATAGACAAATATAGGAAAATGTCTGCAAAATTGTATATTATAAAATGGTTATGTAAAATAATTTATTACCGCAATACTATTATTGATGAATTTGATAAAATAAAATATTGCAATCTTGTATAAAAATTGTGTATACAAAGTGTTTACAATATTATATATTTATAAAAAAAAGAATTATCTATACCTTATATATATAGTTTTAATCAGGCTTCAAGTCTTATTTTAAAACAGACGCCTTCAACGACAGCTTTCTTACCTACTTCAGACGATGGTAAGACCGACATATAACTCTACAAATAGAGGAATTAATAATTTTAGTAATAAAAATACATTACACTCCTTTGTGAATATTTATGCAGAAAAATAGATCAAAGCAACTTTAGGTAAGAGGAATGAAACGAAGTATACCACTGGTGCGTTTTCACACGTGTTCATATATCCTATTATCATGGAATTTGTAGAGTGACTCCAAAGAAAATCACCTAATCCTTCTTGCGGCGAATATCGTATAGCGATTACACCACCGAGCTTCTGTTCAAGTCCATCAAGAAATTTTGAATCTGATACAAGGAGATACAAGATGGTTATTGCATTTGTTAATCATCAGTGTAACTGTTAGTGATAAATCTACGAGAAGATAGTAACAAAGTAGTTACGGGTTTTCACCGATAAAATCTGCATTCATCGACCGGTGTAAACTTGTAGTTGGACAAGACGTGTCGGAAATGGCTTCCGCGATTGTGCGCGCTAACGAGGTACGTACAAGATGTTCCCCGCAACCCGATGTACTAGCGCCTATCGAGTAAGACGTATCTTTACAAGCCCAAGCACCACAACCCCATACTCCTGCCTAAAAAGAAAAAATTCGACATTAAAATTGAAAATAGAATTTAATAGGAGTAATAAAAATTTATACGGAAACACTAGAATTATAAGACAATATCAGCATTTTAGAAAGTCTTTTTTATAATCATTGTTCCGCAAGAAAAGTTACAACATGAATTAATTACATACTTGTCCGACTCTTCCAGGATATTTTAATATTATACCACCACTTGAACAAGCTGCAGCAATATTTCCACTAGCATCGACACATATGGCACCTACTGTATCCATTCTTTTCTTAGCACACTGCAACAGTAAAATAATTTCTATATATGATAATAAAAAATTGTATTGAATTAGAAGAATATCAAGTTATTTTTCATACTTTTTGGATTTCCACACTATTGTCTTCTACTTTTCTCTTGTAATGTTTATAAATCTTCTGGGCTCTCACTGAAATGCATCATAAAAAGTTTAACAAATAAACATTCCTCTATGTTTGTTAAAAATTTTAAAAAGAAGCTGACTTATATTGTGACTATACTATGTTATAACTATATTATATTATAATTATACATACTTGATATTAATTGTTCTGGTGGTAAGGTTTGTATGCCCATTTCATGTGCCCAAATATGTGCACCATTCCCAACTAGGAAGCTAGTGGAATAAATATTATAGTTTAAGTATTATTATTAATAAAAGAAATTATAAGATAGGCTCTGTAAGATGCAATCAAATAATCTATTAAACAACAAAGAGTGCGCCAGCGGCGTACGGTGCCTAGAAAAATCAAACTCTTAAATTAGCTCTTACAATCCTATTGTTTAATATACTATTATTAACACAAGATTAAATTAACATTGACTATATACCTAGGTGGAATTCTGCCATATGGAAATTTAATAGATTGTTGCTCACACAAACGCTTTGCCAGTAAGACAGGATTTTTTATTCCGCTTACTGCTCCTACTGCACCAAACTGTAAGCTGCTACCATCCATCACACTTGCATCACATTCCACTGTTCCATTTAAGGTAAGATTTGACCCAAACCCAGCATTTGTCATAGGAGAATCTTCCAGTGCAACTGTAGCTTTGACAACTGCATCTAATGCGCTATCACCAGATTTCAGACTTTCAGTTCCCTAATGGAATATATGATTATAAGGGAAATGAAATATGATGATAAACATTTATAAAATTTGAATATATTGCATATAAATATTTTAATTAAAAATTTTACCACTTTGCATGCTTCACGGCACAACTTTTGATATTTTTCTTTGAGTGATGCCGAGTGCTGACCAGCACCTAATAATAAAGAATAATGTGATAATTTAAAAAATGTAAAAAATAAACAATACTTACACATTTGATCCAATACATACCTACATGCACAGCAATAAATCCTTGTTTAATATTACTCATGAGACTAAATCTTATTTCTTTTATTTTATTAGTTATTGAATATGTACGTTATTTTTTATTAAATAACGAATAACATTAATCACTTGTAAATATAAGCAAAGACGAGAATAGGAAAAATAAAATAACCTAATAAATCAAACACTGAGTATCTGCAAAAGTTAGTTTTGAAACTTCTGTTACGAGCCGCCACCATACCGAAGAATCGAGAACGTAGTGCAACTCAATAACTACGTTTACACGGCAACGTTAATCCGGATTAGTAACAACCGCAGTTAGTGAATTCTTTGATCTGATTGGTATATTCTTTTAGATCTAAAAATATACTTTAATTGGATTCGAGATTGCAGTAATTACGATAGTTATTAATCGGGATTAACGTTACCGTGTCGCAAATCCCAATGGGTGCCATTCAACAGTTGCGCAACTGTTGAGTAAAGCCAGCGGCACACGGTGCTTGTTTTCGTGCTTTCGTGGATTGCTTGCTGGATGAAAATACTGCGTTCTGATTAGTGCATTTCCATCCATCTTCGGAAATGTACCAATCAGAACGCAGCATTTTCATCCAGCAAGCAATCCAGCACGAAAACAAGCACCGTGTGCCGCTGGCTTAACAATAAAGACCAATAGTCATTAATCGCTCATTGAGAGGTTTTCTCCGTTGAACGCACCCAATGGTAAGTCTGATACATTTTTATTCTATCCTGAAGATACGTAAAATTCATTTGTTTGTAACTTTTGTAAAAATAACGATAATGAACTGATTAAAAAAAAAAAATTTCACGACTTGAAGTTTCTAGTTTTCAAGTATTTTAAAATTATAATCATAAATGTTACTGTTATTTTTCACCAAGATATAACGCATGAAAAATGACATTTCAACTTTAAATTTTGTTTTAATTTATATTTATATACCATTATAAAATATGTTAAAAAATTTCATATTTGAAAATATATTTAAAAATTTGAGATTTCAGGCTAATCCTTTTAGAATTATCTTTATTATCATCATTTTTACAACAATTATACTTTGAATTTGTTAACTTTTTCTTCCGAAGATGGATGGAAATGCACCAATCAGAACGCAGTATTTTCATCCAGCAAACAATCCAGCACGAAAACAAGCACCGTGTGCCGCTGGCTTTAAATCTGTTTTTTATTGCTAAACTAGTGCTAAACTTTTTGAACTTAAAGAGAAACAAATATATAATTGAGACGCGGTGGAAAAGAAAGATAATATGAACTAGTGCAGACTGATGTGAGAAGTGCAGCGATAAAGAACAGATCAAATGCAATTGAGAAGTAATCCTTAAATAGTGCATATAACAAGATATATGTAATAAAATGTATATACGTAAAATATGACAGAAGGAGAAGAGATGGAAAAATGTAGGTAAATATAAGGAGTGTAATTAAAAATAACGGATCCTATCTGCAGCTCTACACAGAGGCTGCGTTCCGAAATTCACTGCCAGTACTGAAGAAACATATGGGCCCTATGGGCCGTATTCATAGTCGGATCTTATATTTAAGACCGTCTTGAGTTCACGTTCAGATATTCTGTAGCCAATGAAATGATCTATGTAGCATCTGAAGATGAACTTAAGACGATCTTAAATATAAGACCGGACTATGAATACCAGCCATAGTTTGTCTCACGTATACTATAGAATTTCAGTGCTGGCAGTGAATATCGGAACGTAGCCAGAGGATGCTTGAGGCTGCGTTCCGAAATTCACTGCCAGTACTGAAAATATATAGTTTGTGTCACGTATACTATAAATTTTCAGTGCTGGCAATGAATATCGGAACGCAGCCTGTCGTACTTGAGAAAATACGCGGCAGTTGCTAACTCGTTTTATTCATAACCTATGTCGAGCGCGATATGTGTGCAGTACGATTTGCCGCTACTGGTCATGTCAAGATAGTTGTCTATAAAGTTAAATGAACCATAAACAACAAATTGTACGCCTCGGATGTCGTGTGAGACGATACGCCTGTCTTTGATTCGGCAGAATTTAATATCGAGTAAGCATCAACCGAAGTAAGCATTAGTCGGAACGAATATACGCCGTTCGTCACACAATGAGATGAACTTTACGTATATCGACGCATATATCCATTTACATTAACAAAATTTATTTTCATCGATGATGATCTAGCGTGGAATATAACAATAACAATTATCTTTGTAGGTTAAATCTTTAATAGTATTTGCAAAAGACTATTTCGAGACAGTGGACAAAATACTGTGGTTGCGATTCATTTTACTGATACCTACGTTACTTGCCTAATTTCAAGCACTATGTAAATATCCTTACTTAAAGATAAACATATATATGTTATTTTAGATATATAAAAGTCTGTATTCATATCTTGTATTTAATAGTAACTCTAAGGCCTTTATTCTTAGCTTGAGGTTATGTTGTACATAATTCTTGCATGAGAGCATATTTAATTATATATATGAGGTATAAGTATAGATTTTAATGTTTGTCTTGTATCAAAGTTTCATTTTATATTTTTGGTACAAATGGTATTTGTATCGTGGTTGGATCATACTATGTAAATTTACTTTTTTTTTTATTTCTAGACTGAACTAAAGTAACAAAATCCTTACAAGCATATATATTGAATGGACAATAACATAATTTATTTAAAGAATATATGGGTCATATACCTCATAATCTAATATCCAACAATGATATTTGACTTCTTGAAAAAGATCTTTGGATGGGCAGATGAAGGATCTAGAAAGCGGAAAGCTTCTGAGTCTTGCAGTTTCGAAAGAGGACATATAACACAGAAAAAACTTAAAACTGATTGCAATACACTACATTGGATGGAGGAGTATTCCGATATTGATGATAGTGAGAACGATGATGTTGTATATCTGGGAGAGCAAAAGTTTTCACCGGTAAATTCATGCACCAAGTTGAATGGCACCCATACGAAAAAGCTCCAACCTTATCAATTTCATTCAACAAACTCGTCTCTTGCATATAAACCTGTCTGTTCGTCATTACATTGCAATAAGTCCACCATGTCGCCATGTTTTGCCAGTCAAAAACACACAATGCAAGGTGCTGGCAGCAAATGTCTCACCCTAGTCAGAACCAATCAGCTGAAGGAGAGATATCAGTATGAAGAGTTGCTGCAAAACTTTCTTCCCAATAAAATACAAATATTGAAGGATAAACGTATTGAGCATATTCCAGTGCAAAATGTCGAAGTTATTGACTTGGACGACAATACAGAGGATCTGTCGGCCGAAAAGATGCGGCAGATCACCACGAAGACAGTTGAGACGGCATCACGTTGGCGTGGTAAGAATTTGTTAAACAACACTAGAACAGACAAAGGGAAGGTTCCTACTTTAGACCATAAGGAGAAGAAAGATGCATTGTATCAGCAATCTGACATAATCAGAAATGAGAGAATCGATACAAGCAGGGTGAAGTCGGTGTCTTCACCACCAATCGAGCCTGTTGCGACGAACTCGCTGCGCGACAAACTGGCGGCCAAAACAGTCATGAGGCAGGATTTTATTCCTGAGGTCGTCAAGAGGTATAATGAACGGGTCGAGCAGCGGTATAGAGAAGCCGAGGAGTTGAAAAGAATGACATGCGTTCTCTCGAAGCACAATCGGTATGCGAGGGAAGCGGCTCTGGAGGAACAATTGGCGCGCTCCATGAAACAGTGTATGGCAGTCCTAGACGAGAGAGAGGACCTGGAAGAAACGTTGTTACCTAAGCTGACCGATGAAATACTGCACGAAGTTAAGAACGCTCTCGTGCCGTGTCCACAGGACGAGGTACTCGCGGAGGGTTTCGGTTTGAGGATCACGCGGAAGGACATTCACACTTTGTCCGGCCTCAACTGGTTGAATGACGAAGTGATCAACTTCTATATGAATCTGCTGATCAATCGTGGTACAACTGGCAAGTTTCCAAAGGTGTACGCGATGAACACCTTCTTTTATCCGAAATTGCTGTCGGGTGGTCACTCGTCCTTGAAACGATGGACACGAAAGGTGGACATATTCGCGCAGGATCTCATGGTCGTGCCTATACATTTGGATGTTCACTGGTGTATGTCAATAATAGATTTCAGGGACAAATCTATCGTTTATTACGACAGCATGGGCGGCAATAACCCGAAGTGTCTCGCGGCATTGAAGCAATATCTGCAGGACGAAAGTCTGGACAAGAAGAAGCAGACGTACAATATGAACGATTGGAAGTTGCAGGTTGCGAAAGACATTCCACAACAGATGAACGGCAGCGATTGCGGTGTATTCTCTTGCATGTTCGCGGAGTATATCTGCGCAAACAAGAAGATAACGTTTACGCAGCAGGACATGCCGTACTTTAGGAACAAAATGGTTTACGAGATATTGAAAAGTAAACTGTTGTAAACGAATAACAGACATTATGGCTTCTGCGAATTAGGTAATAACGAACAATGGTGCGAAAACACAAATTAATAATAAACATCAAACCAATGCAGAAGGTCCTATGCGAGATGTAGAATATTCGTCTGCTGCAAAAATATTAAATAACAATATATTACTGTTTATAAACAGAAGAAAACAGGAAAGAAATTAGAGGAAATTACATATAACAAACTTTCTCCAATTAATATGCTTCATTGGATATTAGAGAACTGTACTCTCATCTTAAAACATAGAGAAAAGATGTTCTTTGTCTTGTGTAACGATTAATTCTGCTGTTTCTAAATAAAATTTAACAAAATAATAATGTAGATGTGTGTGTATGCTATATATAAATGTGAAATATTTTCCAATTGTACAGAAAGGACAATTATCTATATAATGCGTTACTTGTTTAGTAAGTGTACAATTGTCAGTTTCAATTCAACTTATATATTTTTACAAGATATATTGTTTACAAGATTAATTTATGTACGTGCTAAAGTTATGACGATCATTATGTTGATATTTTGTTTATAATTGCGCCTTTTAAGACAATTGAGCAATTCAGAATAAACAAAGCTAACAGAAGCAATTGAATATGTCTTTTTTTTACTGAAGTTGCACTTTTTATTGTTGAGAGTGAAACAAGTATATACCCTAACACTAAAAGGAAAGGAAAAAAATTTCAGTGAATAAAATACTAGTTTATTTAGAAAGAAAAAGCCTATCATAGGTTATTTTAAATTTTTTGAACCAATTCTCGATTATATAATCCATAAATATTTAAAAAACTAGAGAGGTATGCATTAATGGGTGCAACACCTGTACACTATTTAAAATGGCGACGTGACATTACAGTTCGAGTGTCTTGTCAAAACGTTTAAATATACATTATATATATTCTACAGTCAAAACGAAAATACGTAATAAATTTGGATTTGTTTTATAGAATTGTACTATACAAACAATATAAGAAGAGTCGTACGGATTTATATTAATATTTATTCATTGCAATCGCAGTTGTAAATTATAAATCATTTAACCTATCTTAGTGCTCGTGCTAAGAAGCCGGTTTCAGTACGTCAAATTGGATGAAATGAGTTCGTATAGTGTGATTACGTCCGACTTCGTGAATTTATCAATTACGAACTCTGGTCAACAGTCATGTTGTGTCGAACGTCGATTTCAAAAGGGCATAACTATCGACGAGTTCAAAGTAAAATTCCTTTTTCCTTTTCTTTAAAGTATTTACTTACAAGGTACAAAAATTAAAAATACATATTACAGGGAAAATTGGAGCTTCTCACGGGAGGCAATCCAACTACAATGTCTGTTGAAGTCTATGATAAGAATGATAAACTTATTTGCAAATTGGAAGAAGGACAACGTCTTCTGGGATCATATCCAGTCGATGATGGCATGAGGATACATGTAAATTTGTACTTACCAACAAACAGATATACATGTTTATATATGAAGCAAAATCTGTGTATTAAAACTACTTCAAACCATGTAAAATAGTAGAAAACTGTAATAATAATACAATCTCACAATTATAGGTTATTGATAATTTTTCAAGTACTGCAGAAGATTTAGATCGTGTAAAAAAGTTTGAAATATCTGAGGAGGAATATGCTAAAAAGACAGGTAACATTTTTGTACCTATTGTGTATTAAAATACTATAAAATATATATAATAAAAGTCAATTCTTATATTACATATTGCAGATACTGTGAAAGCGTTCCTAGAGAAGAACAAATTAGGGAAATACAATGAAGAGGATATGAAAAGAAAAGCAGAAGAGAAAAAACATGAGGAGGAGGCGGAAGAACATTTAGCCAGTCTATGTAAAGTTGGGGATCGCTGTGAAGTATCTGTCCCAAATCAACCAAAACGAAGAGCCACCATTTTATATGTTGGTCAGTAGAAAAAATCACATTATGCTAATAATAAATTTTACCTTTAATCATACATATTCTATAATTTTATATAAATAAATAATATTAAATAGATTTTATATAAATATTATTTTATTGCTATTAGGTAAAACTGAATTTAAAGAAGGCTGGTGGATTGGTGTTAAATATGATGAACCCCTTGGCAAGAATGATGGAAGGTATAAGCATACATTTAATACTTCCATTGTACTATATTAATATATACATGTCTTGATTAAACTATATGCATTTTCATACAATAGTGTTGGTGGAAAAAAATATTTCGAATGCGCACCGAAGTATGGTGGTTTTGTGAAGCCAATGCACATAAAAGTTGGAGATTTTCCTGAAGAAGACTTCGATTTGAATGAAGAACTGTAAAACACAATTGACTTAATGGACATTCTCTGTTTTATTATAATTTTGTAGTATATACAAAGTTATTTAATATAAAATAGGTATTCAATGCAGTTCAGTTCATTTTTTACATTAAATGTGTACTCATCAAGTATTAATATATCGGTATCATCTAGTATTATTTCTGAGCCTAATCTAATTTTTCTTTCTGCTGCAACAAAAATTATAATCCAGTATATGATTACACAGTTGATCTAGGTTAAATAATTGATTTCTTTAAATAAATAATATAAACGTCATATTATATAAAAGTGACGTATTTTTATTTTATTTTAGGAGTTAAATTATTTTTCAAGTATTCAAAAGAAAATATATTTACATCATTTACATTTTTTCCTGCTGATATTTACATTCCGTACATTACATAACGTAGAATGGCAAACTTCAATTACTATTTTACATTTTAGTCAAGATATAATATTAAGTTACATACGTATTTGTCTCAGCCTTGTACTTCTTTTCCATTTTTTATGTGCGACATAATACAATTACATTTTTCAATATATGAATGTAATATTTATGTTTTGTATAGATATACAGAAATTCCAAATATAAAAATTATATCATAAAGTTGTTTAGTACTTTCTTCGTTTTATTATGTCGGGTCTCCAGTTAACAGGATGTGTTTCTTCAGTCTAAAAATATGGATAATGAGATAACATAAAATTTAGATCAGAGAGTCTCTAAATAATGCTATCATTAATATATGGCTATCAAACTAATCAATATATCATATCGATACAATTATTTAAATTCCACTTATTATTTAAAATTCACTTACCGCGGTATCGTCTTCTTTGTATACTTTTATCGTTTTGTCAGCTTCTGTCGTAATCATACGAGTGCCTGACATATCAAAAGTGATACTAAAAACTCCAGCCTCACTGTCCATAGAACCAGGTTGTACTGGTGCTTGGAGTCGTTGGAAATTGTATCTTAAATTAACAATTGTTATATATATATGATCGTTAGTATATATCAATTGTTTAAAGGTGTAGAGGTTATTCATTTTTAGAAAATATACATTACCCAGTTCTCCAATCCCAAAGATGCATAGTACCATTGTCGGCGCCGGAAACCAAAACGCCATCGGGATTTACAGCTAAACAATTTACTATAGCATTGTGGCCAGATAAATTTTGAATAAATTTCCCTTCTGGACACTTCCATTGTTTAATATTATCTGGTGATGCAGATGCAAACATATACCTATTAAGATAAAATTTAAAAGGCACAATTGGTAAAATGTTACAATATATTACAATAAGCATTTAAATATACTAACAGCGACGGATGGAACGTTACAGCTCTCACACTTTTCTTGTGGTTTGTTAAAGTGGCTCTAGATTTTCCAGCGGCTAAGTCCCATAAACGAATTGTGCAATCATGGCTGCCGGTAACAATCTAAAATTTAATTGAATTTTATATCAAGCAATTAGGCTATTATTTTACAAATTATTTTACAAATTAAGTATACAGTTTCATTGTTCGAAAATAATGTCTTATCTTTTTTTAATTAAACATATGTGTATAGTAAAATTACTTGTGGTTCAACAGATTGACAAATCACACTAGCAACTGTATTGGTATGTCCGACAAGCGTGTGAACATTGGCTTTGGTACGCATATCCCACACTCTTCCAGTGGAATCTCGTCCCGCTGTTACTAAAACATCTATGGAAGGATGCAATGCCATGGAATATACTGCTGATAAATGCCCATGATAATGTCTTATTACCTAAAAAATATACATTTAAAAAATATCAAAATTACCAGCACATTGTTAATACATTTATGTATGTCCCATTAATAACCTTGTTATATTCAAGATCCCAACATTTCACTTGACGATCTTCACCGCAAGAAAACAGATAAGGATGTCTTTGAGAAAATGCAAGTCCACGAACACTGCTTATGTGACCAGTCAGAGAAACTTTCAATTTACCACTCGCTAGATCCCATATCTGAAATTTTTGGAATAAAAAGTTATTAAAAGTCACATAAAAAAGTTGTTTGTTTCTTCTTTTATTTAGATGTTTCTTTTCTTTTAAAATTAAATACTTACTTTAATTACTCTATCAGCTGATCCAGTAGCAAACCATTCATTACCAGGTTCTACAGCGCAACACCGAACCCATCCAAGATGACCACTGATGACTCTATACAATTTCCAGGGTGCATGCCACTTTGGTTTTGCCATCGAAGGTGTTTTCTTTGGTGGTATTGTTAAAGTACCACTGTTACCTCCTCCTGCTGGTAATGCAACTACTGCTGTGCTTCCCTGTGTTGTATTGTAAGGGACAACTGCAGAACCAGTATTATTGCCAAAAGATTCATCTGGAAAAATACATTCAAACATACATATATAAAAATATTTAATTTCATTTTCTTACTGCATACATTGCAAAATATTACCTCCTGGTGGTGGAGGATCTGCATTGTCATTTTCTTGTTGTATTTTTGCTATGTTATTCTGTTTAACAAGTTCTAATACCGGACCGTAACAATCTTTTGCTTTTATAGACTTTTTTATTTTTTGCCTGAAAATAAATAATGCTTTTGTATTGATTTAAAGAAAAATTATGAGAATGTCAGAAGCATAAAAGTTAAAAAGTGATCAGTGCCCAATTGCAGTTATAAAAGACTTACAAATGTGGATCCACCGGTGGCAATGTTCCTTGATTCAATAGAAACATGTCATGAGTTCTTTTTAAGGAACGAAATACTAACGTATGCACCGAGTGTCTCTGAACATCCTGAAATAAGTTGATGGAACGCACAGGTAGTATCAGTTTAAAATGTAAGTTATATAAAAATATATAGTATATATATAATTTGTAATAAAACAAAAATAACTGAAATATACCATTTTTTTAATGTATACAAATCAAGAAGATTAGGTTATGGTTAACCAAGAATACTATCTTATATAGACAGAACGCGGTAAATGGTTTCTGTCAGTGGCTAGCAGAGACGCTTCTTCTTGCGCATGTGCGTAGCAAGCGGCAATGACTGTAGACAATAAGAAGAAACGAATTCTTCTGGTAGAAATCTTTCGTCAAAATTCGTTGTGTGTTCTATAACTCATCAAAAAAGTGTTGGAATCGTTTTATTATGATTCAGTGCTCGGATATATGCTTGTCAGTTGCCGGTACGTCAATGTCTGTAATAAGTATTATCTTTAATTACAGTAAACGACGTATCAAATTAGGATCAGTGAGATCTCTCGGCGGCGAATAAAAGAAGAAAAAGAAGCTGTCTTTAATTGAATCTAACCTAATTTCCTCCTATGTAATATAGCCTTAGCAGTACAATACAGTATTGTAGTTATAAGAGTTATAATCTAAAAAATAACAGATTGTTGATTCAGGTAAGCGAACTGATCGATATCTGCATTTAAATAAATAATGTGAAAATATATATATATTATATACAAATAAACGTACCTCCAACTTATTTTAAGATATTTTCCAAATATTCCAAGAATGATATATCTATGGTTCTTTCGTTACTTTTAATCAAACTGTGATATTCATTACAGCTATATAGAATAAGTGAAAATAATATATGTTTCATATAAGTTTACAGAGATGCCAGACATAAAAGTTACACCTCTGGGTGCTGGGCAAGATGTTGGACGTAGTTGTATTCTTGTCTCAATGGGTGGTAAAAATATCATGTTGGATTGTGGGATGCATATGGGATTTAATGATGAGAGACGGTTTCCAGACTTTTCATATATCTCAGAAGGAGCAGCAACTGATCATATTGACTGTGTCATTATTTCTCACTTTCATTTAGATCATTGTGGTGCTTTACCATACTTCACAGAGATGGTAGTATATAATAAGTATAAAAAAACATTTGCTTTGCAAGTAATTTTTTTTTCTATAGTATGTATCTCTCTGTAGGTAGGCTATACTGGACCAATTTATATGACACATCCAACCAAAGCTATTGCGCCAATTTTGCTCGAGGACATGAGAAAAGTTGCAGTGGAACGCAAAGGCGAGAGCAATTTCTTCACCTCACAAATGATAAAAGATTGTATAAAAAAAGTTATTGCAGTCACACTCCACCAGTCTGTTATGGTCGATCCAGATTTGGAAATAAAAGCATATTATGCGGGACATGTGCTTGGAGCAGCTATGTTTTGGGTCCGTGTTGGATCACAATCCATTGTTTATACCGGAGACTATAATATGACACCAGATCGACATTTAGGTGCTGCATGGATAGACAAATGCAGACCTGACTTGTTAATATCAGAGTCGACATACGCGACTACAATCAGAGACTCCAAAAGATGTAGGGAGAGAGATTTTCTCAAGAAAGTATGTTACTTGCAATTTATTTTTACCAATAATGACTTACTAACTTAGTTTCCTCTCAAGCAGATATGTCTATTTTAGGTACATGAATGTATCGACCGTGGTGGAAAAGTTTTGATCCCCGTATTCGCTCTCGGTCGTGCCCAAGAATTGTGTATACTTCTGGAAACGTACTGGGAAAGAATGAATCTAAAAGTACCAGTTTATTTTGCTCTTGGTTTGACTGAGAAGGCCAACAATTACTATAAAATGTTTATTACCTGGACTAATCAAAAGATTAAGAAAACGTTTGTACAACGGAATATGTTTGACTTTAAGCACATAAAGCCGTTTGATAAAGCGTACATCGATAATCCAGGTGCGATGGTGGTGTTCGCTACACCGGGAATGTTACACGCCGGCCTGTCCCTCCAGATCTTTAAGAAATGGGCACCCAATGAATCCAACATGGTCATTATGCCAGGTTTCTGCGTGCAAGGCACTGTGGGACATAAAGTCTTGAACGGCACGCGAAGAATAGAATTCGAAAATCGGCAGATCGTCGAGGTGAAGATGGCTGTGGAGTATATGTCCTTTTCTGCTCACGCTGACGCAAAGGGAATAATGCAATTGATACAATACTGTGAGCCGAAAAACATTATATTGGTGCATGGGGAATTCGCTAAGATGGAATATTTAAAGGAGAAGATTAAGCAAGAATTCGGTACTAACTGTTATAATCCCGCGAACGGCGAGACCTGCATTATCACGACTACATCCAAGGTGCCTGTGGATGCTTCTCTAGCACTGTTGAAAGCCGAGGCTAAAAGATATTCAGCTCTACCGCCAGACCCGAAGAGACGAAGACTGCTTCACAGTGTTTTAATGTTGAGAGAAGACGGTGTATGTCTTGTAGATGCCGATGAGGTAATTTTTCTTCAGATTAATGGTCTGTTCTTTTTAGCTACACTACTGAACTGGTGCAATAAGTTGAAGTGAGAAAAAATATAGTTGTCTCATTCTAACTTATTGCACTAGTTCTGCAGTGCAACTAAAAAGACCAGACCAAATAACTGTGCTAATTCGCCTCTCTCTCTCTCTCTTCTATATTTACTTTGAATAATATGTAACTATTGCTGAGTTAGTGATACAAATAAATCGACTGTTTCTCCTGTCAGGTTGCAAAAGCTGCTGGTATCACAAAACACGTGGTACGATTCACATCTACTGTGCAAGTGAGAGATCCTGGTCCAGCGCATGCTACCACTTTAAAATTATTACAGCCGTTGAAAGAAAGACTGTCAGGTTGGACGGTCCAACTAACGGACGGCTCCATATCAGTTGAGTCTGTTTTGGTGAAGGTCGAAGGAGACGAAGATGATCAAAAAAGTGTCTACGTTTCGTGGACTAATCAGGATGAGGATCTGGGTAGCTATATCCTTGGATTTCTGCAAACAATGCTGAATTAGGATTAGTAATGCAAAGAATCGACCGCGAAAAACACTTCTTTGACCTCTGATACTGTACGAATAAACGAACAATTGTAAATCTACTTTGCATAGAGATATTGCATCTGTATATAAGACAAAAATATATTTTCGAGTAAAGCACTATCGCAAATACTACTGCATGGAAATACGATGTTATTTTCTATAGTTCAAACGTTTGTATATACTCAACCAAGATAAGACAGAAGAAATATATAACTGTGAAATAAAACATCAAAGGTAATGCACTTATTTTTTCTCTTCTACGATTCTGTCAGTTATTAGGTACTAAGTATATTATTTACTTTGTAAGTTGTATAAAAACATCCTACTACTATCCAATATTATACATCCAAAACTATACTACTTTTACTATACGGGGTGTCCCATTTAACCTGACAAATCGTAATATCTGGAAAACTACATGTCGGATCAAAAAAAGTGGGTAATGAAATTTGTTCGTCTCGAAGGGGGACATCCAATGATATCAAACTTGACCTCCCACCCCACTCCCGGGGGGTGGGGGTGGGGGGCAACTTTGAAATCTTAAATGGGAACCTCCATTTTTTATTGCAGATTCGGATTCTACGCCACAAAATACGTAAGTTTCGTCCGAAACTTTTTTTTTTATTCGTGATAGATGGCGCTGTAATCGCAAAAAATTAGATTTTCTGCAATTCTCCAGAAATGATCATTGGATTGAAAAATAAAAAAATACTTGTTCAATATTTTTAAAAATATTTTTAAAAAACATAATAGTTATTCCCCCCCATCCCCTCGGAGTAGGGGGGGGTGATAACGTTCAAATCTCAAATGAGAACCCACATTTTTCATTGCAGAATTAGATTTTACGTGAAGTTTTTATGGAAACAATTTTCCATAAAACATGTTTCCATAAAAACTTCACGTAAAATCTAATTCTGCAATGAAAAATGTGGGTTCTCATTTGAGATTTGAACGTTATCACTCACCCTACCCCGAGGGGATGGGGGGGAATAACTGTTATTATGTTTTTTAAAAATATTTTTAAAAATATTGAATAGGTATTTTTTTATTTTTCAATCCAATGATAATTTCTGGAGAATTGCAGAAAATCTAATTTTTTGCGATTACAGCGCCATCTATCACGAATAAAAAAAAATTTTCGGACGAAACTTACGTATTTTGTGGCGTAGAATCCGAATCTGCAATAAAAAATAGGGGATCTCATTTAAGATTTCAAAGTTGCCCCCCACCCCCACCCCCCGGGAGGGGGTGGGAGGTCGAGTTTGATATCATTAGATATCCCCCTTCGAGACGAACAAATTTCACTACTCACTTTTTTTGATCCGACATGAATTTTTCCAGATATTACAATTTGTCAGGTTAAATGGGACACCCTGTATATGTAGAAAAAATAATTGCATATTAACGTTATAATATTAATCTGAAAGTACAAATTTTAGATTAAATTGCTTAAGATTAGACTACTCTTATATGACTAAACAAAACATGTTTTTGTATATATGTATATATGTGTGTATGTGTATGTGTATATATATATGTATATATATATATATATATATATATATATATATATATATATATATCACTATATATATATATATATATAGTGATGTGTGGCCAATAAAAGTTCTGATATTTATTTAAGAATGTTCACTTACTTATTGTACTATTAATAGATAAGTGTGATGAGTAATTTTTCAAAAAATTGTAAGTCAGCATCAAGTAAAACAGTAAACTTTTATTATATATAACTGAATATGTGTTCTAGGTACAAAATGGTAAATAAGTACGAGGTGTACTACTAAACACGTACATGCTTCTTACAAAAATCAGTATTTCGGTACGCAATCTCAATCGATTACATAGAATGAACAAAGAATTTTTTTTAAATGTACAATTGATTTTCAACTATGTTTCTGAACGGTCATGCTTTAAGTGTTTAAAAAACCATCTCCTGAGCAGTTCTAGTATCGCTATTTTATAACAACAATATAGAATACTTTGTTCATTTATATAAACAGAGTATAACTAAATGTAAACGTAATAGTGTTGCAAGCATGATGTTTTTTTAAATGCCCCTAAAATCGTCCATTCACTTGAACGTTAAACATTCTGAAACTAGGCAAAATGTATCCGTAAATCATTTTTATAATACGCATCTATACAAATGCATACCTGTTATTCACGAACGCACTTTTTCCAACATTAAAACGTTTATCAATTTCACGTTGATAAAGGCCTATGTAAATTATGAAAATTCGTCATGTATGCATTACTTGTCTCAATATAATCATTGGATGTTATTAATTTTTACTAATTTTCTCACGTAAGACTGGCCTTCGATTTCAAAACTCCTGTTTTGACCGTTAATTATTGCACGTAAATTAAACAACAAACGAACTCACATTAGTAGAATTAACAACATGATTATTTAAAAAATCTAATGTATCGTGTTCACTATTGGTAACAAAATGTAGTGCATATCTTATGTATGATATTATTGCGCACACATGTGCAAATATGTATTCATATATTAAATCTGGTCCATACTTTCTTCTAATCATAAAAAGAAAGAACGGAAAACGAAAGAAAGAAAAATATGATATATTAATTCAAATACGAAGTAAAATATTGATGTTATAATAAAAGTAATGCAGAACATTGAGTCATGGAATACATTATGCGTAGAGAACGTTAATCATAAATTACTCGAGTTACAAGGATATTCGTGAATATCGTTCTTATCTATGCATTCATTTAACAGAAATAAAATTTAATCTATAAACAATCAATGTCGGTGATTTATAATGTACGATTTTGATAACTTTTACAATTGCGTACAGCTATATATTATACCTATAAGTTATATATATATATATATATACACATATATATACATATATGTACATATATGTATATATGTATATATAACCATCACATATACCAGTATTTCAAGATATCCATTTAGTCACTACGAGTTTAATTATTTATATTTTCTCCACATAATAAAATATGTATTTTTTACAATAAACATTATTCATAGTATTTTCACTTTGTATTAGTCTTTTGAATAGCAAAGTATGCTATTTATATTTATAGCAGTGCTGCATTTGTGTTGCAATTTCACATTTGCATACATCCCATTTCTTTCTTATTTATTTCTTTTTGTTTTTTACCTTTTTTTTTTTACCATCAATACACGCATTGTACTAGCGTAGCTTATTTTTCGAAGTTATTTTTTTCCTGAACCACCCTGAAAGAAACACAGTAGCAGAATGAATAAAGTGGATTAGAGATCATAATTGAAAACATATATAAGTGCATAAAACAATGTTCTATACTTATTCTTCCATGATATACAATAGACAAATAAATTAATAATTTGATGATAATGAGCAAAATAATGCATATTCGTTGAACTTTGCAAATTTTGAGCATTTGTCCGATGAACTAATCAGGAAGAATAATTAGGAGATTGTGAAAGATTACGCAGAACAATATTTATTGCTAATAGATATATCATTAATTAATACCCTATTTCTTTTATAAATGGAATAATACCTTTTGCGTTATCTTCCACAATGAAATCTAATATTTAATATTAAAAAAATGCGTCTATAAGCCATGCAAAAAACAAGTACACATATAAAAAATTTATCATGTTAACAAGAAATTTGCAAGCAACATATAATACTTAGTATGTGTACTACGTTAAAAAATAATAAGGGTAGTAGGAAATAAAAAAAAGAGAAGCCAAAAACAAAATTATAGAATATTGAACTTATAATACCTATATTATTACACTTAATAATATATGCATAATAAAATATGGTTATCATCGTTTGTTAGTATCATTCCATACGTGTTTCTCTTTATCATTTTGTAAGCAGTATATTAACATAATGCAAAGTTTTTAAATTAAAGGCCATATTAACAGTCGTAATTGCGCACATTAATTATAATGCAAAGCGAACATTTATTAATCCCTCAAAGTCCACATTAATTCATTATATTAATATCTTTAAGACGAATGAAATTAAAAAAATAAAAATAATGGGCGATGTATAGAAACCATAAAAATATGTTAAATATTAGTATCAAAAGTAACCGTTGATATTGTTATAATTAATTAGTTCGGTAAATATACATCGTTCCTTTCGCAGTGCACCCTTTACCCCAGTGTTTGTGCCGATAAAAAATTTCATTGTGTAACTATGTACATTTTTTAACATCTGATCTATTTAGTTATATTTGTCTCTGCTTCTAAATTTACATTTACACTCTATTATTTATTGATCAGTACAGTGTTATAATTTTTGTACTTTTTTTTGCAAAAAAGCGTAGCAAAATGTACAAACCATTTACCTTGGTCTTAATGTAATGTACACATACAACTATGCGAATTACCAATTTAACAGCCAGTTTCGTAAGTTGTAAATCATAATCGACAAGAATTAAAGATGGGAATAGAAATAATTTGTTCTAGCCGTATGTGCTGAGAATATACAAGATGCAGGACATTCATTATATTATAGTCACAAAATAAAATATAAAGCCAACAATAGGCACTGTGCAATATGTTTTTGGAACATATACGAATATAAGTGAAGCCATAGATATTTTACAATTAATTATAAATAACTAATAATACTAAATGATTTGTACATATTTCAAGGATATAAATTCTAAATAATTTTATACACACACATATATATATATATATATATATTTGTGTAGATTTATATTTATATATTGCTTATAGTATAAATACTGTAAAACACAGAATCAAATGAGAAAATTGATTAAACTTAATCCTAATTGACTGGACATGATATTTATTATTTTTCATATTAACGATAACGCACCAAAGCTTGTTCAAGATATATGTTCCAAATAATAAATAGACTAACAGTACTATTAATATGGCTCACATTTACTATGTGACATATCAAAATCATATACATATATGTATTTCTTTTTTTGTAATATTAATTATATCATATAAATTGGTTCTGTTGTTCTTTTTCTTTGTTGAGTAAAAAAGTACATTTGTATTTAAGTATACTTTAATTTGATTTATACTACTTCTACAGAATACTTGAATGTAATATCACTTTTTCACTAGCAATAGCTAATACGCATATCTAAACTTTACCTAAAATAATCGTAATTAATGGTGTTAATAATAATGTATGTTAATGGTTTTACTTCAAACTATTGGAAACATTTTTTGTGTCGCTCTTTGGGGAATAAATAAAATGATCATATGAAAATATGAAAATTGAAGATAGTGCATTTACGGATACGAATATAAAAATTTAATGCTTAACAACAGAACAATGTGTGTGGGATGAGAAACTAATATTCGTAAAATAACTTATAAAACCTGATATGAATGACTAGCGGTAATCTACTATTAAATTTTTCGAAAGGCTAGGAGGAAACATTTCAGTATCTCATCTTTAGATTTGCATACCTGCGAATCTGCGCCGTTTTGCCATGGTTTTCTTAGTGGACTGTCGAAACAATCAAAACAGTTAAATTGTTATTGATCACAGAGCAAGCATTCGAACAACAAGGCTATTTTTTTTTTCTTATGAATCGTACGACTGTGGAAACCTGTGGTCGTTGAGCATTAATAATATTACGTTATTGTACAACTAAACTTTACAATAAACAAACACTGGGACAAAGACTACCGTTGAAATTAAAACCTTCCAATTTGGTTTACTAGTAAATTTAAGAAAGATACGAATGTAGCCGGCTGATCGATAAAAATCGATCTTTTATATATACATATATTAGACATCTCCTGACTTAAACCAAGTCGCTATTACTACATCAATTACAAATCGTGATTTCGTTGCTTTGAACATGACAAAATTAAACGTTTCTCTCCTCCAATAAGTAACATATTATATAATATACTATATAATATAATATACTATATAAATATACAAAATGAAATTTATATATAATGATGTAGGAATTATGTTACAAATATATAATACGATATATTTACGTGTCTTGTAATTTTTTATATGTACATGTGTATCTTTTGTGTTTTGATGAGTTTATATTATCATTTTTTAAGTTCGCAGTTTTATCTGCGAATTAAATCGATTGCTGAATACAGATTATATAGGGACGACGCGAAGGAATGATAATAATACTTTCCCATAAAGTCAATAATTTAATTCTTAGACATCTGTACAAAACGATACTAATGCGACACTAGTATTTACATGTAAATATGAATCTCGCGGAAAGTACTGTTTCAAATATGATTATATCAAAATGTACTATGTAAGTTACAATGCGTATTACTCTAACACGTTGTCTATATGAAAAAAAATTTAGCTATACAAGTGCAAAGTTTATAAGATAATCTTTATCTACATCACTTGATGATTATTGTACTAAATCACATGCCATTTGAATGCATGGACGCATTTTGCTTTCTTATTGATAGCCACAATAAAGTAATATGTACGTTGGAGTACACAAAATCAATCTACTATAAAGTACTGCTTCCAAATACAAGCTACTGAAATAATACTGTTTTTACACAGTAGCAAATAAATAATAATACAGGACTCAATATTACCACAAAGAATATTTATATTGAAAATAATAAGAAATATATATATGTGTATATACATTATATATATATATATACACACACACACACACACATCACACGTAAATTATTTCCGTAGTAAGAAATACGTTTCTTAAAATTTCACATGTTTAACACTTTATTTTGATGTATCTATTTAGTTAATTCTTCTAACACTTTATTGCATGTTTCTTTTTACTTTTCATTAAACGTGTCAAATAAAAGAAAAAAAAATACGTAATTATATTACGTAATATATTTTGTTACATTAATATGTGTATTAATATATTAAATATAGAGATTATGTATATAATACATAAAATATATAATTTTTCTTTCAAGATTATAAGATAAAAATATTACAATGTAACACAAATGCTGAAATAAAATGTATATTACTTTTACATCTTTAGAGGATATTGCAAAGAGACATATACCCTTCGTGATGAGATTAATATTCTGCATAATATTGAGCCCATCAAATGTGTCTGACATTTCAATAATAAACTGAAGTGCACCTATACAATAATCGAGCCAGGAAAATTTTTCTCCGTCTCAGATTTAAAAGTTTTACCTTCCTCTTTTTCTTGTGCTTTTTATGTTGCTGACCAAAGAATGGCTTCTGACTAGCCTGTGTGTTGTGATCTGTCATATGACAAGATTTGGAGGAGTATTTTGTAGTAAGGGGGTTGTTCTCAATTTCTTGTTCAGACTGAACCAAATTGACAGGCTTGGTTATGGAATTGTTTGCAAACTCTGTATTCTTGAAGTATTCTCTGTATTCTAATGTAGTTATCAGAGTTTGAGACGCTAGAGGAAGCTGCATTCCAGATATATTATTATCTAACTGTTGATAGGTCGCATATAGAAACGGCAATTTATCAAATAACAATGAATATAACATTGACACAAATTTGTAAAATTGCCGTTCTAATAATCGTCTACAAAATTTCGTGATTGGAACACAGTGTACGAAATATACTTTTAAATTACTTTCCAAATAAGACAAACACGATCTCACTATCTCAACGAAGCAATTCTCCAATCACGATTTTATAGATAAAAGATTTTTTACCTGTACCATTGTGTACATATACAAATAATGATAGCATTAGTTTCTTTACTGCGATATATAGATGATATTATAAAAATCAAAATAACTCAATATTTATTCATTACCGATATTTACTTATGCATTACACTGCAAACTAGTACAATCTATATATAACTTAACAAAATTGAATATTTTATCAATTTTTTTTCAACATCTATATATGCAGTTACTTAATTGCTCAGTTATCACACACATAAAAGAACAACAAATCACAATCGTATGACTGTTCGTTAGTAATTATCGAGATTTTTCACACGTGATTAGTGAAGTATCATATCAGTAGTATCTTGCAGCATCGCATGATATCTCATGCTTTTAATACAGGACAGAACTCTTTGTTATATGAATATAGCAGAAGCTGTATAGTATTTTCAGTAAAAGAGAGAAGGCACTCTGTATAAGTAAGAATTAAATCAATCTTTATACTAATAGATACTAACCTCGGATTGCAGAGAATCTGATGTAGGTGGGCCATTCAGCATAGACTGTTCTGAGCTGCTACAACCACCGCAAATTTCATTCTGTAATCGGCAAAGCAATATTTTCTATACCTTCTTGCGCAATTGTTTATTTGTGTATGTGTAATGGTGGTAAGAAAAACACTAAGTGATACAGAAAAATGCAAATACCTTGAGTTGGGACACTTCCTGTTGAAGTTGTGTAACAAGACTCTTCTCTTGTGTTAAACTCGCTTCACTGGTTTCAACGAGAGAGCGCAATTTCGTAACTTCAGCATCCAATGTTGCTCTTTTATTGCACTCTGTTTGCAACTCTTGCGATAAACGAGCCTTTTCCTGAAATAACAATAGAGATAGATGAGAAAAAGATGAAGATAAAATAGTTACTAAATATTTGCACAACTAATACCTAAATATTTGTTTTATATCATATTTTAACATACAGATAGCATAACTAAAATCCATGATAAAGTATCATACAGTGTAAAAGCCTTTACCTCTTGTAGTTTTTCTAAAACAGCAAGTTGATGACCGTCAGTCTCCCCTCTAGAAACAGTTTTCTGCGCGGATCTAAGTGCTAATAATTCAGCACTAGTCTGTTCTGTAAGAGATTCAGCATTGGCTAATCTGGTTTCTAATTCAATTGCCTTCTGCTGAAGCTAGAAAGAAAACGAAAATCGTAAGAAGAAAGAAAAGCAGCATTCTTATGTTGGTTAAGGAGTAACTTTCACTTTTCCAAAATAAAGATTATCGTAATTTTACCTTTTCGTTCGCATTCAGTTTGGTTTGAATATCTTTAAGTTCTGCTCTAAGATTTGTCACTTCGTTCTCTTTTTGTCGGAATTGAACTTGCCACCTTATCTCCTCGGATTCTATATGACTTTGTAGTTTATTAAGCATACCTTCCTATAAAATAAAAAACAGCATCTTGGATTATTTATTTTTTACACTAGAATTGCAGAAAACCCAGAGAAAATAAGGAAACTCACCGTTTCTTTGATAATCTGCTGGTAACATGAAACCGCACTTTGCAAATTCTTGTTCTGTTTTTCTAAATCAGAAATCTCCTGATTTGTGCTTTTTTGCTTTAATTCATTTAAAACAGTGCATATTTTATGTTCAAAAGTTTTGAGCCACTGCTCATGAGTATTTTCAGATACTTTAATCTCTGGAAATATCCTTTGTAGAAGAGCCTTGGTTATTTCCTCCTGTTCCACTTTCACCTTCTGTATAATTTCCTAGTTGAATAAAGTAGACAAAATTCTTAAAAAATATTGTTTCAAACATATTAAGGATTATTTATTGAAGAGTAAATTTGTTGTGTGATAGAATTGCCGCCATGGTTATCGTCAATTTAATCAAAGAGGAATCAATAAATTTTTTTTTAATACATCTGTAAACAATAAAACATAAGGTACACTTAAGTTAATATAAAAATTTTAGACTGGTTACAAAAAGAAAGTAATAATATAAACCTGACTAAATATTAAGTATAAAAACTATATGTTATGTATCAAATGTAGCAATATTTTGTATACTCCTAATTTTCTCACAATAATACTACTCCCAATAGTGTAAAACAAAGACTTACTTCGCTACTCTTTCCACCACTAGATCTGGCACGCAACTCAGCAGCAGAAAGAGCTTCCATCACTTTCCAGTTCTTTGTGCGTAACTCCTATTGCACAGAATGTGGAGAAATGATAGCAAATAAGAATAAATTTCTTTTTGTTTTTATAACAAAATGTAACATATATGGAACAACATGACAATAAACGAGAATATAGTTTTGTATAAAAGGAGAAATTGGTAAAGTGATGGAAGCGATAAGAACGTATTAAAGTTATATCGAGATGCAGGTAAATTCAGACATCAAACACACACATATATATATACAAAGGTGAGATAAAATATAACAACATAATATAAAACATTCAGACAAACGAAAAGCTTACATTATTTTTGGATTTCTGGATCTCCAAATCATCTCGTAGTTGCCTGGTAAGGTTGTTATGTTCAATTATATCACTTTGTAACATATTTAACTGTTCATTTAACCTATTAAGCTCTTCTTCTTTATGTACTAACTGGATCTTCAATTCATCTAATAAAACTTTCTCCTTTGATCTGCACACAATGAATTTTTTACAGAAATTAATAAGCCAGGTTCAATACAACAGATTTATGGTAACTTGTAAAATACTACATGTAATCTATCGATGTCTATCGATGATATGTACGAGTATTACAAATTAAGAATTATAGCAAATTGGAAATTTTTACGTACGCATCCAAATTAGCATAATCCGAAGTATTTCTTTGAATCTCGCCTTCCACATTCTCACGTCCTTCCGCTGCCGGACGTTCGAGTCTAGTTACAGCTAACACATTTGTAGATATATTATCTTGTCCACGTTGTTGTTCCTTCTGCTGCTCCACAATATTCGTAAGCTGTACAAATATAATACATATGTAATATACTTTTACTGTATAATATAAAATTGTTAAAAAATGTCAAACTATAAATTAAATATAAATACCTCGGCACGCAGTCTATCGTTTTCTTCTTGAAGTTTCGTAATTTGCAATTGGGCTTCTTCCACTTGTTTCTCATTGACCCGTAGTCTATTATTTTCAGTCTGTAAAGCTTTAAATTCACTCATAGTTTCGTTAGATTCCTTAATCTGAGCCTGAGCCTTAGCCAAATCCGTCTGTACGATCGTTAATACATCTTGCATTCTTTGTACTTCGTTTTGATATTTGTTTGCCTCGTTTATCACTTCTTTCAAGTTACGTTCTGTCTTGTCATATTCGATTTTTACAGTGTCCAGTTCTTTTTGGACAGAATTCAACTTAGACTCCATGTGCTTGACTTGTGCATTAGACTGCTGAAAATCCTTCTGTATTATGCCGAGCTCGTTTTGAGATTTTTTTAACTCATCCTCTTTGTTACTCAATGCGGTTTTCAGAGCTGTAACTTCGGCTGCTTCCGACTTGGCTTCGTTCATTGTGGCTGATAGTTCAGTCTTTAGTTTTATCAATTCAGATTGAACCTTGCTAAGTTCAGCTTTTAAAGTCGGAATCTCACTGGCTTCGTTTTTTGCGAGGTTTAATTCAGCCTGCAATGAATTCACTTGTTTTTGCAATTCCTGCTCATGACGATGCGCGCTTTTTAATCTATGATCCAAGTCCGCCTGTGTACGATGAGATTCCTGAAAATTATACGAAGGATTTAACGTTAATGCAAATAATTGATTTTAAAAACATTTATTGACAGTAGCAACGGAAAGTCGTGCTTTTTACCTCGAGTTGCCTAGCAACATCTTGCAATGTACCGCTCGCTTCTTTAAAGTGCTGCAACTGTCCTTCCGAGTGCATTAATTGGCCTTGCATGAGACCCAATTGTTGGCGCAACATCTCCATCTCAGCGCTGCTACTCTCACAAGTTGCTTGTAGCTCATTTTGCAATTCTTGCACTTCTACATTTCTCTGAGCGAGTTGTGATTTCAATGTGTTTTCAGTGTCACGCATTTGAGCAAACTGTACCTCCATCTGTTTCCGTTGGGCGATCAATTCCTGCTGCAGGTGGCCCTGAGTCTGTCCTTGATCCTCTTGCATCTTGTGAATAATAGCGGCATCCTCATTTACCTTAGTCTGCAATTGTTCGATTTGTCTGGCGAAACCTTGCTTCTCAGCAGCGTGACTCTCCAAAATATGTTGCATTCGTGTGTGTAAAGTCTGGGTTTCTGTCATTTTAGCGCTTAACGTTTCTTCAAGTTGCCTGATGTTTGCCGAAAATCTGGATCGATCCCCATTCAGTTCAGCTCGTAACTCCTTCAATTTATTTTGGAAAGCTAAGCTAGCCTCATGTTCATCAGTTAGTGCTTTTTCCTTCTCCGCCAATTGCTTTTTTAGCTTAATGACGGGATCGGCGCGACCTTCTGTCCACTCGGAATGCTCTAACGGATTGTCCATTTGTTTGTTTAAGAGATGATCAATAAGGATTTGTATCTCAGATCGACTGAGTTCTGCTTTCTGAATAAACAGCATCAAAAGTTGAACATTGACAGCATCTCCCTCTAAAAAGAGGAAATGAATTATATTAATATTATATATCGAAATCAGATAATTCTGTTTAATTCGTACATATATTGTTATTAAACATACTGTATATTGTAAATTTAAAATGTGAACAAAAATTTAAAAAAAGAACAAGATGTATATTAATGGAAACATATTTCTACGTGTATAAAAATATAATTTATATATTTATTGTAGCATATAAAGTAAAAATTAATATATCGTTTATAAATTATTTTGATTTTTCAGAAATGCACCATAAAAGTTAGGTTATTGATCATACTGTAAGATTTCTGGTATCAAATGCACGGACATTGACCTCTTTTATATGTGGAAGGGGGAAATGATCCTACCTCAACTACATTCCAAAGCACTTGGAAAGAATCTACCCAGCTTTACTGTGAGCGGATTATTCATATAGCTTAAGTGAGCTTTAACGGACTTCCTAATTTATATATTGCAATATATATTAAAAAAATGCTTTACAAAAAAGAAAAAAAAGAAAAAAAAATGAGAAAACTCGTACATTATCGAGCAACTTTCTAACATTAAAAATAAATAATTGTGATTTCTCTATTAATTTCTTTTGCGTAATGTATTAACTATTAACTTAAATATATATTAATACCATATCAAATTAATGTATTAAAAATTTGTAACACATTACAACAAACATATACATGTGAATTATCATTATCAAATATTTTAATTTAAACTATGAAAATAAGAATACAAAGAATACAATACAAAAGGTCATATTTTTAATCAATTAAATGGCAGGCTATAGCATGTAATACTAGGTTAAATATCATTCTATGAGAAATATATCAAATCGAGATTATCTTCAATATGCATGCTTGTCATTTATTAACAAGGTAAATTGTTGATAATTATAAAATTAACTGTACAAATAGTTATGAATTTAAGACAGTAGAAATTTGAAAAAGAGAAACATCTTACCAATCTGAGCTAAGATATCGTTCTTTTTCTTCGTTTTCTTGGGCTCCTTGTTTGCAGATTGCACAATAGATGCAGTTTCTTTAACAATTTCTTTTATCTCTTTAACAGGTGTCTCCTTCTGCTGTTCCTTTATTTCCTTCACAATTTCCTTATTATTAGTAACGAATAATGCATTAGCTTGAGTATTAACCTCTTGCTTCTCATCTTTAACGTTTTCATCTTTCTTCTTTATGTCCTTGTTGTTCCTTTTCGATCTAGTTGGTGTATCTTTTGGCGACTTATTTGCTGCTGTTTCTGACTGACTAAGCTGCTGAAGATTTTCTTTCTGTTGTACAACAGACATATTTGTTACAATGTATTATCTTTAAAATACAATTAAATAAATTTTAGAAAAAAAAAAGAAAATCAATTAATTTTAATGTTGAATCACTAACCATATAAAGATATATATACCACCTAAAGCAATTAATATTCCCAATGCTATGTTTAATGTTTCATGAATTAATATAATTCTTTTGTTAGTTGTGTGTGTGTATATATAAAGATAATAAAAGTAAATATTAATAAATTAATAACTATGTACAATTGTCATGTGTTAATAATTTTGCCAAGTGACAGATGTAGAAAAAAGTTGTGTTAGTAGTAAGGAACAAATATAATGATAACTGGAAAATTTAATGATAGCAGTTTTGAAATATATTAATCAACATAGCTCAAAAAGTAAATTTATACTTTTTACATATGAATCACACTTATATATCCACAAAATTATAAAATAAAGTGAAATGATGAAGAGAGAAGAAAAGAAATATAAAGTATGTGAGATATTCTGCAAATAGCACACACTACAAATCACTCACACTATGACTCCGTACGAGTTCAAGGTCATCTTTTGGATGAATGATGTCAAAATGATTAGCTTCTGCCAAGGGAGGTTGCGAAGGACTTAATTCAGTCACAATGGCTAATGGCTCGTCTTTATTTACGAGAATTGGTTTGATCTTTTCAAGCTTTCCTTTCTTTTTATTGCCTTTGTTACTCTCCTAAGAGTTTAATGCACATGTAAATGTTTCTACATTATTCGTCTAAGTAATACCATGAAATATTAATATGCTTAAAATTTTGGATTACATCATACAACAATGGGCATAATTTAATAGATTGTATCCTTATATTTTATACAATTTAATGCAATTTATATATATATATGTATGTGTAGTTATCTTAGTATATTTGTGTATGTATGTATGTATGTATATATATTAGTTTAAAAATGCAAAAATTGTTGATATTAATTATTAACCAACAATTAATGTTTTATTAATTCGGTTTTCACCTTATCATGTTTACTTTGTCCTTTTGTTGAACACATAAACCTGGAATTTATAAATTTTTATTTCTGTTTTAGCAATATTTTTCCTTTAAGTAAATTCAAATAATTTATATATATCGTAATAATTAAAAATTTATTATCTGTGACAATTAAATTTGACTTTTTTGAGTATTTACAGCAAGTGCTCAAATATCATAATATTGAGGAAATCTTTTGTTTGGCTCTCTTATAATCTATGTGATAAGATGATTGAGTGTAAAGCAGTATCATTGAAATGCTGGATGAAGCAGTTATTTTTAGAAAATAATCTTATGAACTTCCAATTTATCAATGGTACATGTATGCAAGAAATAATTTATTAGCAGTTTGAGAATCAATTTATAATGTTATAACAAGTTATTTCTTTCTAAATGTAACATATTTATATAGAAATTTTTCACTTATATACATATTTTGATATAACCTCTCTCTTACTATATATATATATATATATACATACGCATGTATATATGTATATATATATATATATACACACATACATATACACATATGTATAATGTGAGAGAGAGATATATATACACATAATAATATATCTTTAGATAACTTACCAGGGCATAATTTACACATATACACACACATATATATATATGTCACATTAAATTATTAAATATCAAAATAATAAATTATGACTTTTGTAATAAAGATATTAATTTCTTGAATTAAAGTGAAATAAATACTAAAAATATATACATATTTCATATACATAACATATATATATATATATATAATAAAAAGTTGAAGATCATAATAAAAGAAAGTGAACAATTGAAAGTAGTAGCTAAAGAAATGGCATTAATATATAATATGTCAGAATCCATATTAAGTTAATAAAAAGGAAGAATAAAATTCAATTAGGATTTATAAAAATCTTGAAAGAAAAATATGAAACTTGCTGTTAATATAAAAATATATCTTCTTCCAAGGATTCTTTTGTTGTAAGTTGTATAGTATAATACCCATTATCATATGATGCATATTGTGTATGAAAACCATTATTGTATAATATAAACTATATGTGAAAATTTATAATTAATGGATAAAACTAATTTAAATATTTTTACATGCAATAATTCCTACAAGAACATATGAGAATGTTTTATTATATAAATTATGGAAAAAACTATGACTAAATGAGAAAGTTAGGGACTAATATAAAATAATAATAGCTATGATATTTCTAAGCAGACATGCTTTGTGGATTGTACAACATGAAAAGAAAAATATGATGCTCTCTGTGCATAAATCTCTTTCAACGCTATGCAATGATATACCATATTATGTATCACCTAGGTTACTGTATTTCATGCATGTAAAAAAAATTCTCACATCTTGCATATTTCAAGGTTAACCTTATATATATATATGTTACTATTTGTATGCAAATAATAATTCTTATATTTGTATCAACAGTAGAGAATATTAAAATAATGAAATAATACATCAAAATAATAAAAATTGTTATATCTATATCAGTGATACAGAAATTTCACAGTGTTAAAAAATATACATACTTTTCCAGAACATTTTAGAAACAAAAGATAAAGAAAGTTCCTTACTATATTTCAATTAATTTTTTTTTTAAATTGTATCAATTATAAATAAGAGTTCATTCTTGCAAATTAAATTCATATTATAAGCTTTTTGGTAAATAAAAGAATGGATAAAATATAAATTCACCTGGACTGGTGGTTCTGGAGGCAATATTTGAGGAGTTTCTTCAAACTGTACATGCTCTGCCTTTTCTGCATCTTTATCATCCTTATCATCCTTCTCTTCTTTCTTCTCTTTCACTTTTTTTCCAGCTTTATTCTTATGTTTCTTTTCTTTATTTTTATCTTTTTTACCTATAAATAAAATACGTTGTATTAAATTAATATATAAGAATTTTTGCAGAAAGAAAATTTAATATTAGCTTTTTTCACTTATACTGTTTATTCCTATTTACATTAATATTTTCCAATTTATATATCATAAAATAATTTTATATACTAATATAAAAAGTTTGTATAATTTAATTTTATAATGTTATAAAATTACATGCAAAATAATTTACATACTTAACAACAGGTCATCAGGAAACTTTCTCTGCTCAGCTATAGCTTCTTCAAAAGATTTCTCTTTTGTTGCTAAATTCAATATAAATACAATAAACACAGCGGAAAAAACTACTATCCCAATATACACAAACACTGTTTGAACATCCATCTTCAACTGCCTTATCTGGAAAACAATTGAATATCAAAACATGTTACTTAAAATAAAAAAGTTGAAGTTTATCATATTATTAATCCTCACATACGTATCAGAATCGTTTTTATTTCGAACTTTTGTAGAGTATTTACTTTTTCATATTAGTTTGAAATAATTTGGAAATATTTACATTATATTAGCGAAAATTTGCCAATCTTTAGAATTTTATCTTTATACTATCTAGAAAATGAAATGCATTGTTCGTTATTACGAAAAAGAAAAAAGAAAAATAAAAGTTCTAAATAATTTTCAGGTAGAATATAGACACACCCGACTGTTCGAATTCTACGAAATTGCCGCCGAAGAACGAAATTCTTGAAATTTTGACGGCGAATCTGCGCGGACGAAACACGTCCCGGTGGCGACACGTTGCGACATCGTGTATACGTGTACAAGTCGAGTGCGAGGGAGAGAGAGCAGGACATATTAACGACGAGGAATCGCGGGTGCTCGTGCAAAATATCGCAAGCCCATGGAACGGGACAATGACATATGGATGACAGTACAGGTCAACGACACGTATCGCGATGCGACCAGCGACGTGTACGTCAGATCGGTCGGCAGAAATCGCTGAATCCGCATGCCGACACATTTAACGGTACGTACGGTCTTAAACGCGGCGACCGGCACGCCGTTCGCCTTTTTTTCCCCGGCGTAAGTTTTGTCCGCGCGCGACATCACTTACCGAGAATGTCCGCTATCGTAGATTTCGTCGAAAAACACGGCTACCTTCGATACGCAAGATAAACGCAAGATTCTACGGCGTATCTGCGACGTACTAACGCGACTCGCCTTGAACGCTCGCACGACTGTATCACGCAGAGAGAGAGAGAGAGAGAGAGACTGCCCGAGCCAGATAGGGAGAGCGCGACAAGATTGTGAATCCCGCAAACACACGCGACGATCTCCCGAAGCACTATGGCTGCCGGACGTGGAACGAGCTATACGAACACTTCAAGCCACGCCTATCGGCGAGCGAGCACTTTTGATTGGAGAGTAATCTCTGCCACGTATGCAAGACGTCGGCACAACGACGGCGCTTATCCGCGACGATCGTGCCCGGCTTTTGGTCGAGGTCGCGCACCAAACGGCCGCAACAACGAACCCTGACGATCGACAAACCCCCTAAATTGATTCAGTGAACGCTGAAATCGTCATATTTGGCTCGCGGGCGCGATACCTACGTGCCGCTTGAATGCTAGTCGATGCCACACATTTGCGTGCGTGCGTGTCACTCGTTTTCACACGTTGCTAAGCCGAAAAGACAAGATACCGACGGCGACTGACTTCGCTGTCCCCTCGCCGTTGATTGGCTATTTTACGCCGTTGGCTAGACGAACTTACAGATGGCTATCTTACAAACTACGAAGTAAGATGGATTTTCGCGTAAAACTTGAAGCCAATCGGAAGAGTACGTTAGAGTGATTGGCCATGTCGTGCTGTCATCGAGATCGCTCAGTGAGCGCTCAGTAACTATTGGTCCTTACTGTTAGATCCTTACATTCAGACCAATAACGTTGACGAATTACTCAACCGTTGTGTAACCGTTGTGTTTTCTGAACGCAGCCATTGTTCGATAACAAGATGGCGTGCATTTCAGGTCTCATGCGGATTTACGATCTCTCTCGCTTCGGCTTTCCTTGTACGCACAAGTTACTTCATTTCGTTCTCTCCAGTTTTAACCTGTCGATCCATTCCGCGATCGCACAAAATCGCGCGTTGCATCTCATATCGATAATTTATCGATCGCATTATGTCCGATGTTTCGGTGAGATTTCGAATATTCCTTGGCGCGCGTTTCAGTGACAGTTCTCTATTTTACATTTAAGGCCTGGTCTACAATATGTGTTGTAAGCTGCAAGCCGTGTAAGAACTGACCAATTATAGCCGATTATTTTTGTAATAATCGACTGTGATTCGCCAATTCTTATGGCTTACAATTTACGACACGTATTGTAGACCAGGCCTAAATCCCTGGAGAACGTCTTATATATCAGGCGCTGTCATCGGACGTCATCTCCGTTGATGGATTCAAGATGGCCGCGGAGCGCCGCAGCGGAGAACGTTTTAACAATCTCGACAGGAACGCGTGATTGGTTTTTTTTTTATACAGCCGCGACATACGCGCAACGCCGTCGTCCGTGTGTTCTGGCGTCGACGTTACCGAGGTCGCCCCCCTTTCGCAGACCTGCGACGGCGCTGCGCGAGAAGAGCCGCGAAGAAATGGCGTCCGGTGAGATTAGCTGATTCCCGCGGAGACCTCCGATGCCAATGAGGAGGATGATTTCTCGAATTTCCCGGCGTTCTCGCCCTTGACCGAAGTGAATCAACTGGCGGTGAGTATTGTCCGAGTGTCGGTCTCGTGTTTCACGCTCGACTCGCGGCCACGACGTAGCAATTTGTCGGCCGTCACTGACGACAATTTATATACTTGCGTGTAATCGCGCTCGTAAGATGAAATTTATGGAAATATTGGACTCCAGACATTTAAAATAATCGTTGACACGCGTGACAGATTGGGTTTTATAAAACAGAGAAGACTTTTCATTATCGAGTCATTTTAATAATAATGCAGCTGCTTCAAGTTACATGTCATCTGGAATATGGTTTTTTAAATTATATAAATTTTCTATGCTTATCGTGTGTATTTGCAATTATTCTTTTCATTGTGGCGATGTAAAATAAGACGGGAGAAGTATGTGCGGAGCAAAAAAGATGAGTCCTTGTGGATAGCATATTAAGTAACATTGCGCATATGATATTATTAGAAGCAGCTGCTCATTGTAGTTGCAGTAGAATGGCAACACGTATGTCAATAGCTCACCGTGCACAACACTTACAAATGACGTTCGATGATTGTCTCATGAAGATATAGGATATGTATTCTAAGTAAAAACAAAACTGTTTAATTATGTATTACAGCATGAAAATATTTTATTGTATAAAGAAAGGACATATTTTACTAGTTAATATATTCTGAATTACATAAATTATTTTAATTAAGTTAAAGAAAATCCTGTTTCTAAGATTTATTTGCTCTGCTGATCTGCTGTTCCACTGATATATCTTATAATGCTGTTGTTTCTCTTTACAGCCGTACTAGATCATCAATATGACTCCGCCGCTGAATCGGAAACGTGGCTCATCTGTCAGCTTTACAAGAGCAAAGGACAATGGCGAAGACGCCGAAGATGAGATTCACATATCTCTGGCACCATATATACAGACGTACCTGGCACATAGTAGTCAGGGCTTGGGATGCTGCGGTATTAATTTGCCCGTGCCGTTCGAACGGGCAGCGCCAAGGTCCTGGTGGAATCCGAGATTCGACTCGGAAATCCTTGAAGAGCAGTACAGGAGAAGTGCCTTTCCTCAAATTAGATTAAGATTTCGGTTAGTATCAGTAGTATATACAATTTATATATGCATGTGTATCCTGCTGTAAAAGCCGATTATCACTTCAGGATTTCCAATCGTTCATTTTTTCTTCACACAGGTACGCTCTCACATATATCTTGCTGGTGTCCTTATCATGGTTGACATATTTTGTGATAATCGGAATAAAGAACGATACATCGACATGGCCTGCGATAGCAGCCGTTCTCAGTATCGTTAGCGCCATGGTGGCGGCGGTGCTCTATTTAACATATACGGATTACTACAATTCCTACGTACTATCGACCTCTCTGGGAGTCGCGTCCACGCTCTGTTTCCTCTCCTTACTCTTCCTTGCCATGGTGCCGCCTTACGTGGATGGATTAACTCTGGTCGGACACTTCGCCCTGTGCTCAGAGATCTTATTAGTTATTTATACGGTGCTGCCGATGCCGCTCTATGTTTGCGTGGCGATATCTACGGTTTACTCATTCATGTTTGAGTTATTGACTGCCTATCTGTATGGCTCGAAAGACGCGAGAGAAAGATTCTACAGTGGACGAGTTGTACAGAGTAACTCCTTAGAAACGAACGCGATGGCAGGGCGCGAGGAAACGATGGTACCTATGCACTCGTCTCAAAAGGATTCTCTAACTATTGCTGGTCTACAGAATGTGATACGTAATATTAGTGATTTTACTACAGTTAGCACAGAGACAATATCGACGCTGCGCGAAGCGAGAAGCACGATGGGCATGGGACCGAGATCCGCGGAGCAGGGAACACTGGCTCAACAATTATATGGGCTTTTAGGCGACTCAAATATCTTGACGAGATTGAATTCCAGCATCTCATCGACAATTACAACGGTTAATTCCACCATAAACACGTCACCTGAAAATGTTATCAGCGGTACCGTCGGCTCGGTTAACTACATTAGCGATAACTTATTCTCCGATGATATTGATTTCTCGTCGAATCTCACCATACGGATTCTGATGCAAATCTGTATTCATTTGATAGGCGTACATATCTTGATAATGACTTTCGTGAGAATGCGTGGTACCTTTATGAAGGTCGGCCAGTCTCTGCTGGTCCGTCGGCAGTTGGAAATGGAGAAGCAGCTGAAGGAAAAGATGATACACTCTGTGATGCCGCCAAAAGTCGCGGACTGGCTGATGGAAGAGAGCGAGCGTGAGAGAGAGCGGGAGGACTCTTTGAAGAAGGGCTCGATACCGTCCAATAATACGGACATCCGCTCGTTATTTCGCCCGTTCAACATGCACTCGATGGAGGATGTTAGTATCTTGTTCGCCGATATCGTCGGTTTCACCAGGATGAGCTCGAACAAGACCGCGGAGGAACTGGTGGGCATCCTGAATGATCTCTTCGAACGTTTCGATGATCTGTGCGAGCATCACGGATGTGAGAAGATATCTACATTGGGCGACTGCTACTATTGCGTGAGCGGATGTCCCGAGCCGAGGTCTGATCACGCAAAGTGCTGCATAGAAATGGGTCTAGGTGAGTGGAATGTCATTGACACGTGGTTGGCAGATATCTTCAAATCTGGTGCTAAATTAATGCTGTGCACTTCTCATCTTAACAGCTATGATCGAAGCGATCAAACAATTTGACATCGAAAGAAGGGAAGGTGTGAACATGAGAGTAGGTGTGCACACGGGCACCGTGCTCTGCGGGATCGTGGGTACGAAAAGATTCAAGTTCGATGTCTGGTCGAACGATGTGACATTGGCGAATAAACTCGAGAGCACGGGGAAACCCGGTCGTGTACACTTGAGTGAGAATACCCTGAGATTTCTGGACGACCAGTACATCATGGAGGAGGGAGAACTAGTCAATGGTGAGTAAATTAATTCGGAAGAAAAGCAAGCAGACCAAAATTGGGATTTTACGTGTCGTGCGTTGTTGAAAATATCGCATAAACAGCCTGGCAATGAACAAAATATTGGAACTTGTTTATTCGTTTCAGGCGTTAAAACTTATTTCATCCGAGCCCGCAAGTCGGACTTCATGAATCAATTTATCACGAACGTTACGTCACCGAAAAGTATCTCACCGTTGATGCAGTCACGTAGCCGTCTGGCGTCGTGCAACACTCAGGTTAAGCCACGCCATCATTACCTCCACATGGTCACCAACACGACCAATTACCGGATGAAAGCCAATTCCTTGCCGAGTATCTTGGATTCCGAGAATGGCGGTGATACTATAGACGAGAAAGAGGATTCGAACAAGAGCCCGACGTCCACCGCTAGTTACGGCAAGAAGAAAGTACGAAACAAACCGTGGAAGTACTTGCAGAGGCAACGGACAACCGAGGAGATGACACCGCTGGAGATAGAGGAGGGGAGAAACATCGCCATGGGACGAGCGAAACCTGAAGTCCAGGCGTATGAGGAGTGCAATGGGTTTAGACGAGTATGTGACTCTCTTCATTTCGCTACTTGGCATATTTCGTAGTCTCTCGACAGTTACGATTGACTTCGTCCGCAGATTCCTCTTACCAATGGCGTCGAGATGGATCCGAATCCTGTACCTTCTAGTCCTTTATTATCTGGTCAGGAACCGATTAGTCACGCTTCTTCCATATGCAGCAGGAAGGATTCCGGCATCAAGAGCAACAGCAGGCGAAGTAGTATACAACAGCAGGTACCGAAAATTGTGTATTTATTTGGTATATATATATATATATATATATATTTGGTACAGCTTCAATCGCAGAGTGAATTACTTGTCATAGAACGTGTTTATGATTTGTATTATTATACAATCCTGTTGCAGTTATTCCTAATGAACGGCATGGCCCAAGGCGATCTTTTAGGACACAGGGTCAGTGGCTATTATACTTCTAGTTCGACGTTAAATTCCACTCACGAGCCTTCGTCGTCGATACCTCCTTACCCGTTTCCACCGATAGTGACTGATACATTCGGCGCATGCTTTCATAAACTGCGAAAGCAATCCGATCTCCAATTGATTAGGTAAGCGAGGAAGCTGGCAGAAGTGTTGCACAAGTGACGGCAAAATCCGTTAAGCCGGTCTTTCGTTTCTCTAAAGATGTGTCCAAGACAACGTGAGCTCTCAACGTTCGTACTTCGTTAAGCCACCGCTGTCCAACGTTACTCTCTTTTTCAAGAACAAGGAGATGGAGAAGGAGTACCGAGAGAATGCGCACAAAGCTAGCGAAGGTATTGGCGGCAATCCGCCCACCCTGGCTACTTCGAGGTTCAACACGTATTTTGATATTCTGATATCCGCTCTGGTCTACACAGCCATCACGATCTCGCTTTTCCTGCTCTGCAAGCCGACGATTCACTACACGGTGTTCTCGGTGATCGCCATCGCCGTTCAGATAATAGCGGTATCGCTCTGTATCAGACAACTTCTCTATCCGAACACCACTCACGCCACGCTCACGCAGAAGATCTTCAAGTTCTTCTCCCGTTGGTACCCGTGGCATGTGTGCGGCGCGGTCCTGGTCGGTCTACCGATCATCTCCATCTTGCTCAACTTCACATGCAACAGTTTCAAGAGTCTCAGCAACTTTGAGTACTACTACAGCTACCTCATCTTTGTCGGGTTGGTTCACTTCTGCAATTTTACGCAGCTCAATTGTTGGATGAAGAATCTACTGGTCACGCTTACCGGCGTATTATTCATATGTCTCGTGGTAAGTCACATATCGTACCATCAGGGGAATCTCGGCAGCAACGGTAGTAACAGCTCATTGGCGCAGCTGAGCGCGCTGCATCCAAATCTCTTGAAATCGCTTGCGAGCGAACAGAACAGTCCGAACGGTGGCATATTTTCGAACACCATGAAAGATTCCCTCGACAGCACGGTCTCCACGAGAACTCCTTCGTCGACTGCGAAGGAACGTAGTCAGCGTGAGAAATTGCTCGCGACTTCAGGGGACTTCGCGTACACCCGATACAACGAAAGATTGTACAACTCCGAGATATATCTGGACATGATGCTGCTGCTGTTCCTGGTCTGGTTTCTGAATCGTGAGTTTGAGATCAGCTACCGGCTGTGTTTTCACGGCAACGCGGTCGCGGCGCGCGACAAGACGCGCGTGCAGTCGATGAAGAACCAGGCCGACTGGTTGCTGCACAACATCATTCCCAAGTACGTGGCCGACCAGCTGAAGACCACCGCCAAGTACTCACAGAACCACAAATCCGTGGGCATTATCTTCGCCAGCATCGTCAACTTCAACGAGCTGTACGACGAGTCGTATCTGGGCGGTAAGGAGTACCTGCGTGTGCTCAACGAGCTCATAGGCGACTTCGACGAGTTGCTGGAGAAATCGGAATTCGCGAATGTCGAGAAGATCAAGACTATCGGCAGCACCTTCATGGCGGCGAGCGGCCTGAATCCGCAGGTGAGGGAACAGAGCGAGCACGAGTATACGCACCTGTTTCAGCTGCTGGACTTTGCCGTGGCGATGCACAAGGTGATCTATGATTTCAATCGGGACCTGCTGGGTTTCAAACTGATCCTACGAGTGGGCTACAATTACGGTGACGTCACGGCCGGCGTGATCGGCGCCACGAAGCTGTATTACGATATCTGGGGCGACGCGGTCAACATAGCTTCGCGGATGGACTCCACCGGGGTTGCCGGCAGGATACAGATAGCCAGTAATTGCCTGGATGTCCTGTCGGAGCGCTACGAATTCGAGCCGCGCGGACAGGTGTACGTGAAGGGGAAGGATAACATGGATGTTTTCCTGTTGACGGGTAAGAAGGAGAATGCTAGTACGAACGCCAGCACCTGAAGACTCAGCGTACGTGCCAATTGATGAGTACACGTGTCAAAGATCTGACACCGCTGCGCAGCGCGCGCGCGCGCGATCGTAGCACTTAGATTATTATCGAGTCGACTCGTGCCGCAACACGAACTGATGTTGAAGGGAAGCGTGCGTGTGAAACCGGTGAGTCAGAGGGGTGCTGTGTGTTTCTTGCGGGTCAGTAGAATCGTCGTAGGCGCTACCGGAAAAAGCGTACTCGCCTTATTCGTTGACTGCTCAAATTCTGCTAAAACGAGAGATATTTATTGACGAGAGATGTTTATTGTATTTTTGTAAATACGTCGCGAATGATTTTCGACGAGAGGGAACAACGTGACGGAGTCACGTTTTGCTCGGTACGAACGACCCTGCTCGGAGATGGGAGGAGCTCGCATGATAACTTTGGGGAAGGGTAGTTATCGCGCGGCGGATTCTATTGTTGATATTCTAAGGGCGAGAGATGAGAGCATCGCGCGTGATAAAAGTCAACGAAACTCGAATACCCCGCGTTATTATATGTGTTAAATAAATCTTAGAGAGTATATAATATAAAAAGTGGATTTTACACGGTCTCGTCTTCCTGTCTGATATTGCGACACGTTGTATTAAATACGTAGAACCGAGGTAAAACGACGAAGCGTGTCGCGATGAAGATTTTTAATCTTACGAACGAAAGCGAGTAATATGTGAAATTATAAATACGGAACTGACGATGAAATGAAGCTAACGTAGATACGAAATTATACAGCGTACGTGCGTCACAAAGTGTTTAGAAACGACGAATGATAATTTTACCAAAGAACAATAAGCTTAACGATTCAGGCCACGAACGTGTGAGAAATGTGTACATAGATTATGTGTACATAGATGCAGATTATGCTTAGGATTTGTCGTTGTATGAACGACGCACGTGGATGAGAATAATTGCGTATACATACATATATACATGGGAAACAATCGCGTACATACACATTCCAAGAGCAGCTCGCGACGAGCAGACGACACGCTCATCGCGGAATACACTCTCGAATCGGCGTTGCCGTTGATTAACGTCCGCAAAGTGCCGCTAAGTTCGTCGTCGTTAAATTAAGCATCTCCGTTATCCGGACAAACCTGCTATGTCGGATTCCAAAGAGTATCTTACTGCATTTTCTCCTTTCTTTCGTTTTTTAACTTAACGATAAGCGATAACTATGCGCGCGCGCGTGCCGATGGGATTCATACGCTGATAGGCGATAGTATTTATATGTTGTATGTATTATATAGTGATTTCGAGGATTTATTCGAAGGACTACACAAAGGGAGTTATATATGCTTTGCGGTTATATACGCGATATATCGGTGCAATAAATCGGGGTATGGATTCTATACGACGACGTTGTTGTACGCCTTGCGTCGACGCATCTGCGCGATGGACAAGCTCTGAGATCGTGGTTGTAATTTTAAATAGCGTTAATTCAACGAAATACCGTTAGGCTTGAAAGTAAATAATGTCACGTACAATAAAGAAACGAGCGCGGTCGGGCATCTCGCGGTGTGTCCCGAGCGCTGTAGATACGCTGAAATATATTTATGGCTTTTGTTGTTGAAGCGAATATATATTTCTGGAGAACGAGGGAGAATATATATGGAGTGCGATGGTGCACAGAAAAGTTTCTTAAGTGTATTACTTCGACACTTCGTCACGTTATGAAATTATACATGAAATATCTCTACGAAGATCACGGGTCAATTATGAGTTTTTGCGTTAGAGAGTAACAAGGCAACGCAATTCGCACCAAGGAAATGCTCTCGCAAACATAAATACGACGATCTGTGTACAATTATATATTACAGATTATATATTCGCCGATTATATATATATATATATATATATATTATATATATATAGAGGGGGTACGTATACGTGTGTTACGAGATATCAAATAAATATATTATAAACTGTATATTTATATATCGAACGTATATACACAAATCTTATGGACAACGAGAGAGACGCTAGGCTATATTGACGTACATGTCATTATTGTCAATGCAATTTCTTTATTACAATATAATATATACAAGATCGTAGCTGATTACTTCGAGCTGATGTACAAAAACACGGGCGAGACCTAACAACCTGAAAAGAAGAAAAAATGCGAACGAATCGTCGCGCATCTCGCCTGCTGGCATAAATCGATGGTCGTCGGAACATTAACATTACAACAAGGTGTAATGGGTACTTTGTTGATAAATATATATTAACAATCATTATAAAAAAAGCCATCCGGGTAATACTTGGTGTTTTCGTTAGATCTAACGGCTAATTAAACGTAGATATGCGCAATGTGATGTCAAATATGTTGAATTACGTCGATAACAACCGGATATAATTGAGACGGGGATTTATTACCGCGAAGAGAGGTTGCTGCTGCAAATTCAACGATTTGCGTAATTTTCTTCAAGTGATGAACGAGAGTATTATATTTTGTGACTCTCGGATATTCGATCAATAAGAGATATACAAATAGCCAATGAGAGCCACGCAGGATGACGCCTGAATGAATAATTACTTTTATTGCGTGAGGATAATAGCATCGACGAAATATCGCTCGCATTGAGATATTCTTTGCCTTTTTCCAACATCGAGTCGACCCTGTATTCCGATAATATTTGTTTGTTACTTTATACTATGTGATTCATTGTATCTTCATTAGCATGACGTAATAGCTAAAGAATTATTAATAAAATTTGTTTTTACAATATCAAAAAGGAAGCGAACAAACTACTGTTATTTAACAACGATTATTCGTCGAGTCTCAATGTAAGTTTTAAAGACAGTCGTTTTTTACAAGTTTAGAAGTATTGTTCTAAAAATTCATTCGGTGAAAAGCCACTATGATGGCATATAGCATCCAAAGAGTTAAAATATCTAAAACTTCCACTTATTCTAAATTATCCGGCTTTGTTGATATTATCCTTCCGCAGTAAAAATAATTATTCGCAACGATCAACTTGCCCGGCTCTAATTGCCGCTCAATCTGTATCTCTTACTGACTGGTTCTCAAGTCATCAACAAAGATACGAGAGTCGTTTGTGAGATGAGCAACTTCGTAGTACCGGAATGACTTCGAATAATTATCCTAATTGATTTTTGTGCCATACGTAGACTTCGCCGATGATATTAAATGTATCGCTACTCACACTAATGGCATTCATTTTCTTTTCATGAGAGACAACGGAAAAGAGCGGTAAAGTAAAAGATAAGTGTAAAACACATCGGTCCGTATTCTAACTGCGCGCTTAGCGATAAGTGTACGATTAAGATGCGGACTTTTGCATATGACACGCTACGAAAGATTGTGTGGCAATGTGATGTGGCGCAATTTTGACCTCGATATATACATATATAAAATTTACGTATATTGGATTTCCGTTATACAAGTGAGCAAGCTTGTTCCTCCTACGAACGAATGGAACCGATGCGCAAATGTATTGTCTCATCATCGTCTACGTTCCAATGAGAAGTTAAATGCTTCTTTTTAAGAGGTCTTATAAACAATGGAATTGTTTCCTTGCTGTGTTAATTGTATAAGCTGATGACTACTTTTCTCACACTATGTACCGCACATGTGGTGGATACTAGGCGCAGTGGAATGCTCGAGAAAGTAGTGTACAATGCAAAAACCTACGAATTTAAATTAACATAAATTTAAATTGAACTAAAACAGACTTTCTCTCTCTCTCTCTCTCTCTCTCTCTCTCTCTCTCTCTCTCTCTCTCTCTCTCTCTCTCCCTCTCTCTCTCTCGTATAAAATAGAGGGAGAAGAAACGGATGGACGAGAAATGCGTATATAACTAGAGTAAAACGTAATAATAACAATCGTTTAAAAGAGAATTTGTCCGTGCGCGTGAAATATTCGATTAGAAGACAGACGATAAAGAAGACGAGAATAAAAGAGAGTTTACGAAGAAAAAGAGAGCCGATTAAAATGTTTTCGATATGTGATATTGCAACGATGATAATGGCAACCCGCGTGGTTATTTTCTCTCCATCTTTAAAAAAGATATTTTATATTTAATATTCTAAATATACATGCGACCTTTCACTTTTTTGAAGAGCGATATTTTACTTCGCAGCGATGCGTTTCGGACTGAAATTCCGTCTCGGTTGCCTATTTCTTATAACGCATTACGCATGAATCATTGTGCGCCGTTGGCGCGTTATCGCGTTATTCGCATTCACACCGGAGAGAGTTACGAAAGTTGTATAATGTACAAGTGTTTGTGTGCTCTCGCGTAGATCGTATCCTCTTGATTAAAACTGCCGTTTCGATTCGTATATGTGTAAATATATCGTGTAAATTTAATTGATTCGTCGTAAGTTATACCGCGGTTCAGTTACTTGGCGAGAAAACTCTTGGCTGTAAGGAAGACGTTGATCGACTTGTTGCGCGTAATTTGTCGATCTACCTATGCCTTGGAAAAATCAACGAATCGTACAATATGAACATTCGAAAAACGAGTGTATATATGTATATATATGTGTATATATATGTACACATATATACATATATATGTATGTATACGTGCGTGCGCGCGCGCGCGCGCGTGTGTGTATGTGTGTGTGTGTAGAGACGAGTGATTATACAATTCATTCTCTTCTACTCTGGCATATAAGATCAATCGCTATAATATTTTAATGTACAATATATGTATATACTTATATAAATATATGACACCGATGTGTAATAAACTATACTTCGAAATCCTTAGCGATATAAATACAATAGATTTGCTCTTTTTAGCCGCGCTTTCCGAATATCCTACTTTCTTTTCTCTTTATTTAAAGTGCACGTGTCTGTTTTATTTTCACCAATAGCCGAAATAATGGAAAAAAAAAAGGCGTACCTGAGAAAAAGAAATACATCTAACGTATTATTGAACACACTACGGATTTCGGAGTAATAACTGTGACAAAATAGTAAAGAGTAAAAACAGAAAAAAAGAAGAAATGAAGAATATTCTACAATATTTGCGTTTGCACACATTAGTCACAGCTTGGAGCGCATAATCTACCTTAAATTTTTTGTTTATACAAACAAAGCAACAAGGTACGACGCAACGTGTTCAAATTTTAGTCACTACGAGTCCTTATCACAACAATTCGCTGCGCCCCATTGTACATATCTCTCATAATCTTGAGTTTTTATGTATAGCTGTCGCACGAGACAACGTTATGTGATGTGCATGAATATCTCGGGGACTTTTAACCCGGATGATGTTAAAAGGGATGATAATACATTGAAGAAAACATCTGCTACGTAAAGCAAAGATTTTATGAGAGATCGAATGGGTCTCTCTCAAATTAACCAATAAAACTGCACGATATTTTCTGTTTCATGTGCAATCTTTCATTTTTCGTAACATATAATGATGTACAAAACGTAATTAAAATAAATAAAAGAGAAACAGATAATATCTACAGCCTTGTATTGAAATCACGTGCTGCATCTTCGTCAGTTTGAAATTTACCATCGATTTCAGAATGAGGAAAGTGCAGAAGAATATTCCACAAGTTTTTTTTGTTACAAATGCTTTGTTACAGATATTTTGTTGCAGATTTTTCGCCGTAAAAAAAAAACGTCACTTAACTTCAAGCACCTAATGATTGAGTGAGGACACGTCAAATGTCCTAGAATCGCCGAAGTATCGCCTCGATTTTCCACGCTGTCGAGATCCTGCCAGCTTACGCCGCTAATCTACTTTTCCATTTTGTCATAGTGAATATTTTTCGTAACATTTACGAAGTGTGAGAAACAATATGAAGAATCTGCAGTTGCGCGTATCAATGCAAAACTTCGACACTTCGAGTGCTTTTAAGTATAATTCATTATTTTTATAATTCGGGCTGAAAACACGTAGGATTTCTCGTACAAAAGAAACGTGTTTCAGTGATTTTGCGATCTCAAAAGTCCTTTCTCTCATTCACTCTGTTACCCTGCACATAACCACTTCTGAGAGAAGAGATTTTTTTTACAATAATTTATAATTATTTATTGAATTGGACCAGCTACGCAGAATGTAACCCTCTAAAACGTTTTGCTACGTTGACCCCGCGAATAAAGCTGATATGCCCGTATCAGCAGCATTCTTAGAGATTTCATCCACGCGAACTGGTTGAGTCTTGCCGAGCACTTCGATTCGCGGCAAATTGTCTATTTTGACTTCTTTGCGGAACAATTGACCTACACTTCTGCCGATAAGCTGCAAAAAGAAATACACATTAAAAAATCAATTATTATTACGCGATAAAAACTGCAATAGGCACGATAAATTTCGAATTCTTAGAAACCAGAAATTACCTGATTTGTAATTTTCTTAAAGAGATCCTTCTTTCCTTTTTCGACTTTGTTGCCCTTCGTGCTGACCACCGACATTTTCTCGTCGAATCGTTGCAAATCGGCGGGATTGGCTCCCGGAATCTGCTGCATCACCTCGATGATGTTTGGGAACTTAGGTCTGAGACACTCGTAGACTTGTGCGCCCAGTGTGATGAGCGAGCCCTGATTGGCCTCATGCTGGCCGTGCAATTGCAGACCTTGGAGAACAGCTACCATGATATGCGACGCCATGGAGGGAGTGAGGCTACCATCGGCTGCCAAAGCTCGAACAACGGGACCGACTAACATTGTGGCCTTCAAACTCGCGGTCGAATCGTTCCATGCGAGCATACTGCAAATATAAGGTATCAAGGTATATCAGATATACGGTGTAGAGTATAAGGTTTCAAGATGCTTCTTTGTTACGATAGACAAATGTATATTTACCCCAATGCGCATAGAACAACGCTATGACACGTGGACGGGTGACGCAAAACGAAGGCTCCTAACTCGCTAACGACCTCAGCAACGATACTGTTTCCTCGCGAAAGCGGAGGATCCACCGCCATTCCTTCACTATCCTGATCCATGGTATCCGGAGGGGTAGCGTCGCTAGCCGCACCACCGACCAGAACCACTTTCAGCAGGTCTACAAAATCTCTGGTCAAATTCCGATTGAGCATATCGTCAATTACTTCCTGCGTATCGGTGTTCTCCTCGTCAAGACTGCCGGATTCGTAGAGACGTGCGATATATTGCCACTTTGCGCTTAATCTCTGACACACTGAAGGAAAATGCAGCAGATGTAATAATAGAATAGTCGATCTTAATATGGGGAGACATTAGAGGCGGACAGCACGTTGTATAGACAAAACGGAAAAAAAAAACAAAAAAAAAACCAGATTTGTCACTTACTGTGTGTAGATACGTGGGCCAGTATAGGTACTAATACGCTCTCATAGAAAGCTGGCGGGCACGAGTATATGAACGGCTTCATGAACACACGTATGATCGGCCGTAGTCTGTAGTCTGGAATAGCCTGAAGTGCGAAAGAGAAACGGGGGGAGGGGGGGTGTTATTGTGAAAAAAATTTACTATGCTAGATATTAATTCGCAATCGATTATCGATGCAACGGGATACGGAATTCCGAGATTACCTCCAGGTTAGAGAAAACCGAGTTCAACAATGCTGGTGCAAGTCCAGGTAACTGATAAAAATCTCGGCCGATCATGTGACAGCCGCTACCTAGCATATGATAGCACTGATCATGAATCGTGCTCAGGAATGATTGCATTCGAATCAGAGCAGTGCTTGAAGATTGCTCGGTTTCACTGGTGTTGTCGTTGGCCACGTTCAGACCCAGTAGATGTGCCTTCTCAGATTCTAGAAGGCCATAGGCGTTCTTATAGCCCTAGAATAGAGACAGTCAATATAGACATTTAGCGGATGAATGTGTTTAAAGTTAAGGAGGGAAGAAATCGACTATGAATACATTAATATTGCTAATGTTATTACTAGCATTAATATATTAATTGAATATTAATATGCTAGATATAATTATTAACATCAATATATAATATTAGTAATGTTAATGTGTTACCTCCGACAAAACAGCTAAAGCGGCAGGACTGAAGAGAGCGTTCATCGTTCGTAGCAGCGCAAAGAGCGTCGGCAACACAGGGATCACGTGGGGCGTGACTGGATTTCTGTATACCGGATTGCCGCTTTCGCTGAGTGCGGCCACGAAGCCGCCTCTGGCAGCGCGATCAGGATCCTCCGGAATGGAACATCTCTTGACGACGCTCAGCACAGTGCAGATATAGATCATGAGATCGGTACGGTTGCGCCCGGCTGGGTCCTCCAACATGTTTTCCACCGGCGGTCTGTCTAGACCGACAAATCGCATCAGCTCCAATGGCCCCTTGAACCATTCTGCACCTAGTGCGATGAACTTGTTGAAACCTTCGCCAATGATCTCCGCCACGAACCGAGTTTGCCTCTCATAATCGCAGAAATGATTGGTAATTAGCAGCAGCGCCTCGTAAAGCATAATGCTCTCCATCTTGGACAGCGGGCTGGGCTCCCTGGTGAGACCGCGCACCATCGTGTGCATTTGCTCGAATATCGGCAACAACAGCAACGGATATTTCAGGCTGATCTTTACTAGAAGACTACCCGCGTGACGTCTGACGCTTTTAGCCGCCTTTGAACGATTGCCTTTGCTCTCGCCGGGCGCCTCGAACACAAGAGCGGCGAAGATCTTTTCCAGCACGCGCGGTAGAATAGCAATACCCGGCATGGCCATTGAACCGGTAGACATTGACAGGAACACGAAGAGAGCGCTTATGCAAGACAACAGGGTGGACAGGAGGCAAGGATCTTGTGGCGAATAGCCGAGACAAAGCTCCAACAGCTGCAGCCCAGTTTGTACGCTCGGTCTTTCGTTGATCAGCAAGATTCTCGACACGACGGAGTCCAAAACCTGCGAGAGGGCTTCCCATTCGAGGTACTCGCGATCGTTCTGATCGCTCTTGTACTGCAGGTTTGCCATACCCTTGGTTATCTTCGAGGTAAGCCATTGTTGCACATATGTAAATGTTACTAACGGCGCCACCATGGTCGCGTGTCTAAGTCCTTCCAGTAGATCCGTTCTGAAGCGATAGAGGAACACGTTGAACTCCTCTTCGGAGTCGTAATCGGCGAGGCAGTACGCTGTCATCCCATTGCTCTGTCTGTTGTGCGGATACGCTACTTTGATCAGTTTGGGCGCGGTGTTTTCCACGTACTTTGGTACATATGTTAAGAGCAGCGAGTCAGTCTTAATCTGCTCGTGTTTGAACAGTATTATCCAGATCGCATTTGCTAAATGCGTGAGCGTGAGACTCGAGTACATAGTGAATGTTAAAACGGTGTCTAAGAAAAGGTTAAAGTGTGTTGGCCGTATACTAGAGGCATCATCTTTCCCCCATAAAGCGCAAAGTTGCGTCGCCATGCCAGTCAGTACCTAAAGTAACACATGAATAAACTTACGTTTCAAGTTGTTACAAAGCACTTAAACTTAATTTACATCAATGGCACCAACATAGCGATACAATTAATTACAAATACTTATTGCAGAAATCACCTGTGTAAGTTTCTTCAGGAACAAGTAATGATTTTCGTGGAAATTCGTTGTTGGTGCGGTGAGAGGCGGTGGACTAGTAGCTGCTGTGTAAATACACCTCAAAGCCTCCTCCGAGAAAAGGATCATCAGTTGTTTCCGTTCTTCGGCTTTACCCCTACGGTTTACAATTTGTAACAAACATTCGGCGGCGGAACACTGAAATATCGGATTTCCCAACAGGAGGCACAATATCTGCAGCAGTCTCCCATCTTCAGCCATTACATGATTTATAGAGACCCATTCAACGAATCCAGTTAGTGTGGACAGTACTACCTGTTAGAATAATACAAATATTTTTATTTGACGATAATGAGATTTAATTTGAAATTTTTCTTTTGAACATATACTTACCTGTACAACTTTACTATGTGCCGCAGCATCGGACATTTGTCCTAAGGCACTTTTCTTCTGAAATTCTGAAAAATGTTGCTCCATTAGTCTCAAAAAGAAGCTAAAGATCTCTGCCATGTTTGTAGTTAATGCCTGATATATGTCTTTTCTCCTTTGATTGGATTCGAGTGTCTGTAGAAGTGCCACATCTTCCACTAGTCTAAGGAACACTAATAAAACTAGCTCAGTTTGGCTTTCTCCTCGTGTACAAGCTTGACTAAGCTCAGCCAATAGTGTGGGCCATTGCTGAGGCCATTCCCGTTTTATCATCTCCACTACTACACGCGACAAGGCGTCTTTTATGTGTGCTTCTTCTTGTAATAGTGGCTCAGTGCCTTCCTGAAGCAATTTCATGGCATTTTCTTTGATAAAAATCTTTTCTGATTGTGAAATCTGTGTCCATCTGTATTTTACACAATGCTCCATCAGCTGCAATCCAAAATGACGAACTACCGAGCTCCTGTTGGGGGACTTTTGTGCCAGATACAAACCACACTGAGCACATAGAGGTGAGGATTCTTTAAATCTTTCACAGGCATTGTATACTTCCAAACGCTGTTCTTGAGGTATATTAGGTGACATCATTACTTCAACCACGCCTGCAAGTTCTGCCGATATCTGGGCAACATCGCCTGCTCCAAATTCCATTTCTACCTAGTGCACTAAAACGTAAGACAAGAATGTTCATTCAGCATTGGTCAAATATAATCAACAATTTATATTATACATAAAATATTTTAAATACTATTTTATCAAAAACATTCTTCTTTTCCAAATAAAGAATAGAAGATATAGAAACATTACAAAACATCTATTATCCTATCAATCAATAGCATATGTATATGTTTAGCACATAAAAGATATGGTCCATACTAAAAATTTTTGGTTAAGAATAATTTGCAATTAGGAGCCTGTGATATTCTTATATTAGATATTATTAATACGACAATTCAAACGTAGACTCTACCAAACTGATCATGTTAATTAAAGCTATTGTGGATAAAATTATTTCCTCACAAAGTGACTGAACTGAAATTTGCAACATATAAATCGTGTTTCACGTAATTTTGCAAAGCTGACGCAAGATACTTCGAGATAGTCTCAATCCTCGAACGTAAAGTGAAACGAGGAACCGGTGTAAATATTCGAGCCTTCTCGAGCAACAAGCAAGCTGCATGCGTTCGCAAAATCGCTCGCGACCGGTAAGAAAATTCACACGAATCTCGCCGCGCGAGATTGTATCATTTGCGGGAAATTATTCACGAGCCACGAGGACATTCGCACAACGGAGCAGACGCGAGCACGAAGCAGCTTGTTGCGGCGGTGTGCGCGCCGACCATGCCTTGACAAAATCGCACATACTTACCTCGCTGATGCGAGAACGCAGGTCGAAATCGCGGCGTAATCGAGCCGCGTACGGTGAGAATTTTACCAGCGTCGCACGACGCGTCAATTCATACCTAATTCGCCGATAAAATTGAGGAAGCGACGCGTATGATACGACGATCGTGTCAGACGTTCTTCACCGGGCTTCGCACTTTAGTGAAATGCAGCACGCTGGACGAATTACATACGCTCGCTAGTCGTGTGGAATATCGTGCTGCCCTCTCAGCAGTATCGTGTTACGCCGACTAACATAACCTAGTTGAAACCTAACCTAACCCGATCGAGCGTGTGTGTACATATGTATTTTTACACACGTTGCGGAAAGTCACGGCGATTTGTCGTTTCGACATTTTGATTTTTTAAGCATTTACATACATTGCGCGATTATATATATCCTGCTGATAATTGATCGACTCGTTTGTAGAAAAGTTACAAGCGGCTTACCTCGTAGCACGTTCTACAGGTTATGCCGGTACTGTTCCAGCACGCATGCATGTACGTATTGACGTGAAATAATGGACGAAGCAATCACCATGCCGCCTACGTTTAAACGGAATTTCTTTGAACGGATTTATTGTGTTGAATTTTCGCCGTACGAATGGTCGCAGCATTTAATTTGCATCGCCCTCGCCAAGGAAATCGTCGTCGGTACTGTTAGATTTCAGGTGTGTTTGTACAAAGAACAGGGTATACTTCAATTAAAAGATAATTATGATCGCTTAGTTGATTTATTAGAAAAATTGTTAAGATCACTTGTTGAAAATATTCTTACATCTTAAAAGAAAATATGCACTTGCTAGTAAGACTCATATAGTTAATTGTTTTTGTAACAGGATGAAGATGATGCTGTGGAGGATATGGTATACAATCCTATCAGAACATTTCACCATGATACTAGACCTCATGCGATTGCTTGGAGTCCAGAAACTTCCTTGAGTGTTGTTCCTAAGATCCTAGCATTCTGCATTGCTGGTGCAGATTTTAAAATAAGATTGTACAATAGTAATTTAAATGATATGAATGTGTACGAGGTAAGAATTCTTATAATATCATGGATTTCTCTATTTGCAAAATATTGAATGCGATATTAAAGATTGAAATCTTTGAAAGGTATTAAAAGGACATAAGGATTATACAAATGCAATATCCTATGAACCAGAGGGTGAATTATTAGCATCTGTTTCTGATGATCATACATGTAAATTGTGGGCTATTAAAGAAGATCAGAAATGTGTGTCTACGTTTTATTTGACATCACCTGGTGTCAGTGTATGCTGGCACAGTGAAGAATCCGGCAAACTCTTAGTAGCCGAAAAGAATGGTTTAATACGTATGTACAATGTCAGAAGCCAGCAAGCCATTATGTCACTTGATTCCGGTGTTATTCCCCTGACTACAGCAGATTGGGGACCCAATCCTTTAAAAGTTGTATCAATAGCTGCTGGAGAATTACTTCTGTGGGATGTATCTAGACCCAGGTAACAGAGAATATAATTTTACATTTTCCTAAGTTAAGAATATATAAATTTTTACTAAATTTGTTTTTTCTCCCACTTCTATCTTTTCAGCCGCCCTCTTGAATCACGAACACTTCATCTGGAAGGAGGTTTGATGGTAAAATTCTCACTCTCAAATGAACATCTGGTTGCAAGTATCGGATGGCCAGATAATTTATTGAAGGTTTCTAGTTTAAAAACCAAACAAGTGATATTATGTGGGAAAGTTAAGTTAGTGGGTGGAATGACATGGCACCATAAATTACCCTATATATGTGCAGGGAGTGACAGAGAACTATGTTTCTGGAGAGTAAATATAAATTGAGATATATTGAGTAACATTAGATTTGTCTAAAAAAAAACACAATTCTTAAAATTTTTACAATTTTTCGTACTGCATAAAAAAATAATATATTTTTTTACCATATTTCAATTTGATATTTCAATTAAGAATTAGTTATAATATACTAATAATAGATTAGTACTCTTCACAAGAGAAAAAAACTGCAAATATACAATATAAAATTATATAAAAAGTGTACTTTTATACCATATTTCATATGTAGTCATTGACTTCTAGACTTAAATGATATAATAAAAATAACTTGTGATATTTCATCGTTTATAAAAAATATCACACATACAGATTTATTTTTTCTTCTTCTGTTTCACTAGATGTATCGCTATGTGTTTCATTATATGTATATTCTCTATATTTATGCAAAACTTCAAAAAATTGAGTTTGGTATTCACAATCACGCAATATTTTATGCAAATTATGAACAAGTTTGTGAGCGATATTAAGATTCGGCACGCAAATTCTTTTTTCTATAAAATTTTTCACGTCAAGTTTCATAAGTTCATACGACTTGCAAAGTTTATCCTCTTCTATGGTGGAAGTACCGTTCACCTTGTTAACTGCAAAATATACATTTGAGTTGAAATAAAGAAGCACGTATAAATATAAGTATAGTTTTGATGAGAGATTATTAGCACCGTATGTATATAACTGTACGTCAGTTACAATCAACAAACTATTTCAGAGAACGAAACAAGATAACTTACACAAGAGAGCCTGAACTTCGTGCTTCATATGCTCAATTTTAAAAATACGTTCCATATGATCTCTTGTTTCTAAATTGAAGACGTCCTCTAGTAATGTTTCTATTATCTTCATAAATTGAATTTCTTCGTCAATTGACAACTGCGACAAAATATTTATTGCCCAATTCATGAGGCCGACACACAAGTAAGCGCGTATACTTGTTGATACGAAATAATTGCTTTTCGCATAAATGCTATCTTCACCCGTTGGCTTCTTTATATCTAATGTTATGAGAATATAGCTGAAGGGGTCTAAATCCGTATTCTTGATTTTATCTGCTTTTTTCATCTGATATTGGTACACATAATCTAATGCTGTTGTGATGTGTTTCAACTGAGTTTCTTTTACGTCGGATGTGGCCGCTAAAGCGATTTGATAACTAGCATGTAAAAATAGCTCCTGGAAATATATATTAATAATAGAAATTTTTGTATTATTCATAAAGGACATTTGTTCTCATTCTGTTATCGAGATACTTATCGAGATACTGCTTCATAATTATTACCATTTCAGAATTATTTGTAATAGTACGGGTGAGAAAAGCATTGCTGCGCTGTAAAGCATTGTAATGAGAGGCATTGTGTCTCTCTTTAAGATCTTGCAACACCCCGTGGTCCGATTTTCCTGCTATCCATCTTTGCACTGAATCGCACTGATTTTCTTGTTTGTACGTGGACATTAGTGACTCGTAAGCGTCTATATATATCTTCAGATGCTATATATGGAAAGATTTAAGTTGTTTACACGTATAATTGACCTATTTTAAACCGAAATATGTAGAACGTATTTATACCTGTAACTCCTGAATATTCTCAATAACGAAACGTGCTTTCGAATAATCCAACTTCACAAGAGCACGCATCATCGCATCTTCAGCTATGGAAATACTGAATTCTACGTCACCGGACATTAACGCTAATTGAGATGCAATTTCTAAACATTCTGGGTCATATCGTCGGCTGAGAAGCTTGGCTGCTTTGATGAGTTCACCTAATTTTATATAACTAATGTATTTAACAAATGTTAATTTAATGGAAAGATTATACAATCTTATGAATTATTTACATGTCCATTTAAGTTATCGGTCGAATCATAATTATAATATCGTGATACGAGTCATACGAGCAGAGACATGCTTTTGATTGTACCACGCATGTATTATAATATAATCACTAAATTACTACTAAATAATAAATTAATTAACTTACCAGTGTGCTGCTTGCTCTAACTGACCGGCAGTAGTAGCGTAATGTGCCCAAGATTGCAACACCACCGCCAGAGTCGGATCATCATCAGCAAGTTTAAATCTAGCAAGTACGTACGCTTCTTTATACATTCGAGCGTCTACGAATGCCTTTATGGCTTCGTAAATTTTGTGTACACAAAGCAAATATGATACAGCCTTCTCCACATTGCCTTCCATTATTAATTGATGCGCATATGCCTCGCATGTTTCTCTCCACGTCCTGCGAAGTTACTATTTTAATTATAACGTGTCCAATAACATATTATTTTTCTTTTCCTATACATTTTTACATGAAAAGTATAACGTACTTTACAGAAAGACTAGTTGAGAGCGATACTAAAAAATCATTCAGTCGCTTCTCCTTGATCGCGCATTCTATGTTTTGTTGTAAATTGTTGCACCACATATCCATCTCGATTATGGTATCATTTTTATATTTCAAAGTATGTCCGAGCTCTGTACGAACAGATAATGAATAACTAAATGATACGTAATACTCGTGACTGATAATATATTTATATGCACCTAAATGAAACTTATTAAAGCAAATTATTTTCTAAGATTACATATTATAAACTTACTTTCTTTAGCGACAATTATCTGAAGAGCTTCCTTTCCAGAAAACAATGATGATGTAACACTATCATAATCGCTTTCTTTGTTCTCCAATTCGGAGTCTTGCTTTTCATTTTTCCTAATGTCATTTTTTATGCAATTCAGAACCGCATGTTTCTCATTCATCATTTTATTATATATTGGGAAGTATGATTGCTTTTTCTCTTTTTTCTTTCCCATATCCTTAACCAATTCTGATTGAGATTCTGCAATTAAGATTCTCGGTCATTACGATATCTATATATAACTACCTGGTTGTATTTAAAAATATTAATGCTTAATTACTTGTTTCGACTATTTCAGTTATAGAAACAGAAGAGTGGTTAACTGAACCCTTCGAACTATTTGTGAGCGTTTCATTATGCGCCTCTGAGGTGATTGTTTGAACATTTTGTATTCTGTATTTTTGCGCCTTATATTTAGGTTTCTTCTTTTTATCCTCCGAAAATGGTTTCGGCGATTGCTCGGATAATGTATAATCCCATATACTTAGCGTAAAGTCCGACGAGCCAGTGATGATTAATTGCGGTTTAAGGGGACTCCACATGCAGCATAGTACAGGTCCACTATGTCCCACATACGTACCCATCAACTCTTGTTTTTCAACATCCCACACCTATTTGCATAAGATACGGATCTTAAAAGATTGACTGTATATTTGAACAATACCGTACAAGCCATGGCAATATCTTACTTGTGCAGTACAATCGTAACTGCCAGACACTAAGTATCCTGTGACATGTGGGCTCCAAGCTAAACACACTACTCTGTCAGAGTGTCCGTTTAAAGTTGCTACCAGCTTATGCATATTGCGTTGTTCATTGTTCCCATTTTCAGTGAGATCGACGATTTTTTCCTGAGTTTCTAATTCTTTTCTTAAATCTGAGATATCGTAGATCAATATGGTAGACGAGTCAGAGGCAACCGCCAAATAGTCTTTCATCGGCGAGCTTAATGTATCCACCGCTGTACTTTCGGGATGCCACACTAGACAATTCACCGTTTTCTTAGAGAGATATATCATATTGCCGCATTTCTTAAGATTTCGGTCATAGAATAAAATCCGACTGAAACAATATGAATAAGTTCGAAGCGTGTTTTTAAATTATCTTTTAAGTATACTACTTACCCATTTTCCAATGCGATCGCTAGCATTAAATTATCGGGTTTCCACGAGAACTCTGTGCATTCTTCTTTTATTATGGACATGGGTCCTAAAAGAAAAATCACACTTAGCATTTGACTTACAGACAATGGATACTAATATCTTACCTTTGTTCGGATTTTTTACATCATAGACTACCAGTTCACCTTCTGAACAAGAGTATACACCTAAATCACTTTTGTTTGGCACAGAGCCCCATTCGAGCTTGTAAATAACCTTTCTGTGATATTGTTTAAACAATATTGGTACATTTTTCAGTATATCGATTAAGCCAACGCGACCCTCTGAAGTACCAAAGGCTAACAAACGTTCATTTTCAGGCTGCCATGCTATCTGATAAAAAATATTTATTTGCAAAATATATACTTTTCGTATATAAATATAAATACACTGCTCAAAAGAATTATGGCATAGATAATTTATTGTCAAAAATCGGCCAACTTTGACTGGTGATTACTTCGCGAAAAATTATTGTGATGCTAGGAATGTTGGCTGTGGTCAAAACACGAGCCAGGAGCTGAAAAACATGCGCGTGTATTTGCGTGCATATGTCAACAAACACTTTTGCCGTAGCTCCACTGATTTCCAATCATTTAATCCGCCGGCCGGTACTTGGCCCGAAGGTCAAAAACAACGATATTTTTGAAGGGCTGTAACTTCACGAAAAAAATTGTAGCGACTCCATTTTTTTTCAAATTGAACGAGAAGATTTGAACTTTATGACGATGCAAACAGCGCTCTCGAAAAAAAATTGCCCACGTCCGTGCATTCCGTCAAATTTTGCAATTTTCAGTATACCAAACATGCCCTCAGACGTCAGGGGTTACAGGGGTAGGGGTGCATCGCATGCAAAAAATGGAGATACATTCTTAAAGCAGAGACTTCATTTTGAGAAAAAAAATCATTAGTTTACAATAATTTTTCGCGAGGTAATCGCGTCAAAGTTGGCCAATTTTCGGCAATAAATTATCTATGCCATAATTCTCTTGAGCAGTGTATATTTTGAAAAATTATTTTTCCAGACATTATGAGGAAATGTTTTACCACTCTTAATTTCCCTTTTATTTTCTGCCAAAACATGGTAACATCAAAAGTTGCTACATGAGGCTCGGACAAATTCCACGAACGAAGCATCATATCCCCTACGCCAAATGCAATACGTGAAGTATCAATGGGACAAGCTGCTACGCAGTAAATATATCCTCCTTGCGTAGGTATCTTATATTTAAGTTCAGCAGGCTTATTTTCTCGTTTGCTACAACACACGACCCAACGATCTTGTGCTAATGTCCAAATTGTGAGCCTGAAATTTGTTACAGGGGAAATCGATTATATCTACCTTGTTGAATTTTATATGTAAAATGTAACTTACTCAGAATCCTTCCTCCAATTCTCGGATACTTCATTGCATTTAGGAATAGTGGCTATGCAAAATAATCCTCTGTTGTGGTATGTATGAAGTAATTCATGCTGCTTTACTTTCTTACTATTCACAGAAAGATCCCAAGAAAGAAGTTCACCCCAAACAGAACTAGTTATAAGCATTCTAGGCTCTGCCCAACACACTGCAATCCAAGCTCCACATGTAGTACTGAGTTTGCTCTTATGTGGCTGAGATGTATATGACTGAGAAGTAACTGGTAGATTTGGCAAATTTATTACAGTTTCACATCTACCATCTTTACCAGCTCTCCAGATAAACACAGATCTAAATATAAGAAAAAAATAAATACAATTATGAAACATATTGTTATATCAATTTAATTTTTTATAAAATACATCTATATCATACTAATATAATAAATATAATACATATGATATCAATATATAAATTTTATGTCTTACTTGTCTTTTGCACTTGAAGCTAAGAGAAGATCTCTCGTGTAATCTGTAGACAGCACATTGACATCTGAAGGACACCAAGATAAACTAACTACTTCATCATCATGTCCTCTCAGTTTATATAATATTGATCCGTTATTATCCAAGTTAACAATATAAATTAATCCACATTTTGAGCCTACTGCTACAAGATTAGCTTCATGAGGACAACAAGCCAGATAGGTAGCTTTTAGTTTGCCTAGAGTTATCTTCTTGGCAGTTTGGTATTGTGTATTACAAGACAATAAATAGCCTTGTGAATTCACTGCACATGCAAGATTATTATCTTTGTTTGACCAGTCGACACCCACAATTGGCTTATCCTACATCAACATAAAGAAATTATAGAGAACAATTATGAATATGAACAAACCCTATTATTCCTTGATAACAATCCCTATTCATGACAATAGTTTGCTATACAAAGTAATCAACCATTTTTATTATATTTGTTACTTACATCAGCAAAAGAAAATATTGTGAACAACTCCAACTGATCTATATTCCAGATCTTGGCTTTATCATCATCACCACAAGAAATTATCAATTCTGGACTATTTGGCTCAAATTTAGGACAAAATGCCAATGCGGTTACTCTGTCTATATGAGCATCCTGAATTATATTAAACTCCAAAGCTAGGTCATTCTCTTTTTGCTTGGCAATAACAATACAATTCTTGGCACCCCATGCTAAAGTTTTACGTTTTGAACAAGCTAGGATATTGCTCAAATACCAATTTGGTGAAGGAGGTAATACAGCTGAATTCATATTGCTCCTTGTGTTTTGTAAAAAAGGAAAGTTTTTAATAATTCCTATGAAAAATCATAAGGATTACATTTTTTTTTATCGTAACAAGTAGCATGTGACATTAAGAAAGTTTCTTTTACAAAGTAACTTTCTTAATCATGAATGAATATATAAATGTAAAATAAATAAATGTAATAAATTTTAAATGCATACAACTTATAAATTTCTTTGTATTGAACAATAATATTTACCTTCAAAAAATCTATTCGCAACTCTCGATAGATAAATAACACTCGATCGCTGTTTGAAATAGCTTCCTTCTTTCTTTCCTTCCTTTATAATAATACAATACAGGCTGCGTTCCGATATTCACTACCAACACTAAAAATCTACAATATACGTGACAGAAATTATGTATTTTCAGTACTGGCAGTGAATATCGGAACGCAACCACAGAGTTTCTAACATCAATTCTCATTCTCTCTCTCTCTCTCTCTCTCTCTCTCTCTCTCTCTCACACACAAGTGCCAAGGAAAAGGCAAACACACAACAACGTTTGGGACGCAAATGATGTTTCCTATTGAGGGAGGATTCACATCTGAGCAGAAAAGCAGAAAGCCGGCAGCCAATTAGAAATCACGCTAGTAGTCTATCCTTCTTTTGAGAGAGAGACAGAATTTCTTCAGAAGATTCTTCATAGACCCAGAAGTATTTACCAATCAGGAGCGAGATTCAGTGGAAAATCTACTTATGTTGTCCAACTGTTGAATCTGCTGAAGCAGCCAATAGAAATCTAGGAAATAACTATAAATCTATCTAGTAATAAATCTAGGAATAAATTTGATTGGAATCGATTCTGACGAGTTCTATAATAACAGTGCCCGGAATACTTACACGATCGGGCCGATTTTTGAGAGCTACGCCTCCTTACTTCCCCTTACTGCTCCAGCCCGCACGGCGGACCTAGAAACTGACAATCGCGAGGCGCTGTCTCAGGCATGTCACATGAGACAGTCACATGAGACGCTTCACAGTTTAACATAGCTGAAACAAATTTATTTATTAAAACAACTAGGCATTTTTTATAGTTTACTAATATAATATAGTCTTAATATTAATATAAATATATATTAATAGAAATATTAATATAAGTAATATTCTTAATATAACTATAATATACAGTGTATATTATAGTTATAGAATATTACTTATATTAATATTTCTATTAATATATATTTATATTAATATTAAGACTATATTATATTAGTAAACTATAAAAAATGCCTATGGAGTTGTTTTAATAAATAAATTTGTTTCAGCTATGTTAAACTGTGAAGCGTCTCATGTGACTGTCTCATGTGACGTGCCTGAGACAGCGCCTCGCGACTGTCAGTTTCTAGGTCCGCCGTGCGGGCTGGAGCAGTAAGGGGAAGTAAGGAGGCGTAGCTCTCAGAAATCGGCCCGATCGTGCAAATAATTCCGGGCACTGCCATAATAGGTACCCTGACTGGCTGCCTTTCTGTTTTATGTAAATAAACCTCCCTCGAATGTTTGAAAAATATCGTATACGATATTTTATTAATGGGGCAATTTAATTGGCGGCTGAGATTTGTGATATCTAGTGACATTCATGAAATATCGTATATTACAATGGGGAGTTTTTGCAATACCGTCTCTCAGATACATGTAAATCATGAACGTTATTTGCTCAGAATTAACGTTGCAATGTATGTGACCAATAGCATTCACGATTTACGTTTACCATATCTGAGAGACGGTATTGCAAAAACTTCCCATTTTTCAAGAATAATTGTAAATCCAAAGTCTAAAATCGAGTTTCGCATCTATGAGTCTGGCAATTAGTTTGATAATGAGTCTGGTAATTATTGCTGGTAATATGCGATAAGTACTATTGGTCGTGCAGATAACTTTAATAATAGCTTGCACTTCTGATGTGAATATCTTTGTCTCAGGCGCATTTACTGAAAAATAAAATACATGTAAGACTTACTAACTTGTACATATTTATATAAGTAACTCCAATTATAATGATAAATCATAATACAATATAAACATTTAATTTTAAAGCGTTTGAAAAAACGTAAGGAAATTTTATATTCAAAATTATACCTGAACATTAGAGGTGTTCTCTCTCTCTCTCTCTTTTCGAGCTGCAAAGTGCTTTTAAACCATAAAAATTTCATTATTATCATTTTTTAAATCCGTTAGAACCCGTTAACCCTGTGTTTATCTTTTGTGATCACGAAAAATAATCTTATAATTTGGATACGTAATATATAAAATGTATTGTTTATGTGTTGAAAGAGAAACACGCGTTCGAAACGAACTTCGATCTTTGTGACAAAGCAGTCCATAGCGAGTGCTCTTATAAATTACAAATCAAAGTGAGTTCGAGAAACAGTAGGAAGCAGGAATAGACAGTGTTGATAACAGAAGCACCTTCTCTGGGAAATACAATAAAGTGCGCGTGAACTTGGTAAGAATTGGCTATCTGATCTGATTGTCGCAAAAAGCATCGGACTATAGAGCATGCAAGCACACACAAACTCGTCACTGTTTTGATGTTTTGCATTATAATACCGTCGATCGTATGATTCGCATATTTTTTACGGCTATCTCCAAGTGACTAATGTGATGATATTTTCTTTCTCTCCTTCTCTTTCCCTCTCTTTCTCTTTTACTCCTTCTCTTATTGATATGAGCAATCGTTAACCATGATTCATGTTAATGCTTGTTAGTATGTAAAAGAGATTCGAGCATCAGCCGGTGCTGCTGCCATATTTCTTCGTTTTCGTTATTCTTGCCGTTACCGGTGATATCTTATCGTGCAGTTCGCCAGATACGTCATTCACGGAAGATTCACGGAAGATGCGGCTAACGGCCGTATGTTTGTCGTTGCTCTGTGGATTCCTCGGCGTCTTTGCAACGCTCGAGGAGCTGCCACAGGATCTTTCGCTGGAAAAGTTTATGAAATTGTTGCGGTTGGACCAGAATTCTGTGATCGCCGATTATAATACCGATATCAACCTCAACACGGTAAACAGATTTAAAAATTGTACATCTAAATTTTCGTACTCTTTTCTTCAAGTTTTTAATAGTCCTTAGATATTTTTCCTCTCTTTTTTCTTTTTTCTTAGACGCACGGCCTTATATTGTATATAAGACTATGTTTAATTAAGCACACATTTCTTCTCCTAATCGGATAATTACGTAAGAGTTACTGAAGTTTTATCGTTCTAAAAAATATACATATATATATATACTTATTCATCGAATCTCACTCGATTTTTACTCGATTCTCGGTCAAGAGTTTACAAGTGTTTTAGCTGCGCGCCTTTTTTTCAGCCGGGAATGATAAGAAAACAGGGTTATCCTGCAGAGGCTCACGTTATACCGACAGAGGACGATTATCTCTTAACATTGCACCGTATCCCAGGTGATGAAAATTCTCCACCTGTTTTCCTACAACATGGTTTATTGGGCAGCTCCGCCGATTGGGTTATTTCCGGCAAGGGAAAAGGACTCGGTATGATCTTTTAATCGTTGCATAAAGTTCAATACGACAACAAACGAGAACATTTAGTGCACGTAGTACGCATGTATAATTTTATAATGTCATATTATATTTTTTATATTATATATATTAAACATATTTTAAAATTGTTATTTTTTGTATCGTGTGTAAAAATATATTTCAAAGGCATATGTTGTAGAAGGAATACGGTAAACAATAGCAATGCTTGTTTTCCTGTTTTCTTAGCTTATATACTAGCCGATCAAGGGTATGATGTTTGGATGGGCAACTTTCGCGGCAATACCTATTCGAAAGCGCACGTCACGTTGTCGCCATTCGACTCGAGATTCTGGAATTTCAGGTATTCACCTGAGGAAACATGATAATACTCCGAGACGTGATTGCAACGATACTTGCGATAATTATTCAGCTACGAAAATCTCTGCGTATCTTGCTTTCCAATTTTCAATAACAAATTCATTATAGTCACGTAACGACATCTCGATCGAATTTTCTGTCAGCTTTCATGAGATGGGCATCTATGATCTACCCGCGGCGATCTCGTATGTTACGAATATGAGATTTCAACCACTACACGCATACATCGGCCACTCGATGGGTACAACCGCTTTTTATGTTATGGCGACGCAGTGTCCACAAATCACACAAATGATACAAATGATGATTAGCCTCGCACCTGTGGCCTTTTTGCAGCATATAAAGAGCCCGGTGCGAATTTTGGCACCCTACAGTATGCAATATGAGGTGATGATGTAAAATGTGAATCTTGCTAGGAAATAATTCATTCGCGTAATTTATGATTATGAAACAAAGCAAGGATAGTTTAAAGCGCAACACTCGATTGTCCTCCCTAATAGCACAGATGTCCAGAGGACGTCCATAGTACGTCTTGAGGACGTCCTTAGGGCGTTCTTAGGACGTCCCCAGGAGAACATGTGCTATCAGGGCTAATTAATCTGAGATTAATTTTGTTGATTTTGCTGGTGTCTCTATTGTAAAATAATGTCCTTTACTCTGCCTAATGTTTTTCAGTTTAATATTAGATTGTTAAACTTAATGTCTTGATCATCCCTCGTATATCCCGTCGAATTATTCATAGACAATCGTCACGCGTGAGTCGAGCGCTTTCGTTCGTTTCCAAATATTCTTTCGACGATTTGGGCACAATTTGACAGGAAGTAAAGTGTTACATCGCAAATAAAATCCACGATTGCAGATAATCGCACAATTTCTGGGAGAAACCGAATTCTTGCCGCAGACCAAGTTTCTACGCTTTCTGTCGAAATACTTGTGTAATCAGAACATCATCGAGCAGAAGATCTGCGCCAACATATTGTTCATGATATGCGGCTTCGACAAAGAACAGTTTAATTACGTAAGTAATTTCGCGAGAGCACTCGGAGATGCCGCATAATTGAAGTGCTTCGATCAATTCGCACCGTCACGTCACTCCGCGTGATGCTTCATGTCAGAACTTTATCGTGCGCGTTTTGCAGACTCTGTTGCCCAGTATCCTGAGTCATTCACCCGCTGGCACATCCACTAAGACGATAGTGCATCTAGCCCAAGAGGTAAAATCGGGCAAGTTTCGGCCGTACGATTACGGTCCCAAGAGGAATCAACTGCTCTACAACGCCACGGAGCCGCCGGATTATGATTTCACGAATGTCACCGTGCCGATCGCGTTGTTCTACTCCGACAATGACTGGTTTGTCAGCCATCCGGTAAGCGTACGCGCAGAATCGTAGCGGTCAAGAGGAAATCGATCGCACGATTGCTGACAAAGACAATGTATATGTTTGTTCAAGGATATGAGAAGGCTCTACCGCAAGTTGAATAATGTAATCGACGTGTACAGAGTGCCGTTTGAGAAGTTCAACCATTTGGATTTCTTATGGGGTATAGACGCGCCCAAACTCGTGTATAAAAGACTGCTACAGGACATAAATACATCTTACAGTGACAAGTGAGAGATTTAAATATTACTCAGCCGTATAAAAACAGTGTTTCGGTAATACATGTCGATAATAATGACTGATCGCGACCTTTGATAAAATAATTCATTTTATCCAAAACTTTAGTAGATAATAAACTATATATGGTATGGTTGTTGTCGAAATGTATGTTGTTGAAATGAAACTTTAAGATGGTTTGGAAAATAATCTTCAAGAGACCGTCGTCTTGACATGGTAACATGATAATGTATCAGATAATATATCAGATAAGGTGAAATATATAAGGAATCATATATTTCTATAGGAATTGTAATGTAGAATAAATAAATCAGACTCGTAACCGATTGGCCATTTCTTTATGAACGTTACGATTTATTGCGATAATTGCGATATATATTATTACACCGTACAGATATGCGCTTTGATAATCTTACAGCAATAACACACTGTCGTTATTAGTTTTACTGAAAATGATTTGTATCTCATTTCAATCTCTACTGCCGAGCGCCGAGAAAGGATGATCGATAGCGGCTCGTTCGACTAATCGAATCGCAGCCGGGTCGATAGAGTCGTCAGACTCGACCGCGCAACACATTGACGGGTGCAGTAGCAGTGGTGTACTACAACGGGAATCGTCTCATCGGGCATATTTTCATGTTGAGGGAGGTGCGAGTGCGAGCGCATTTTGATGCGTGATTCTTCGTGCACGTTGTTGCGACTTGCGTCCGGGTGACTTCGCGTCGACTTGCCGGCGTAGTTCTTGATTGACGGGCGACTCGACACGAGGAGCGAGTAGCGACGATGAGCGAGAACGCGGAAATTGCAGCGGTCGCACCGCAGGCTGGAGATCCGACCAGGGCGGAAATGTACAAGGAAGAGGCGAACGAATATTTCAAGAGTACGTTCACGTGGCGCGAGATCGACGCTACACTCCCCCGTTGCTCCCCCGGGATCGGCAGGATGCGTTCCGATTAATCTCACGCACACTGTCACGTGTTTTCTCGAGAGAGTTAACCAAACTTCCGCTGTTAATGGGCTCGCAATTATAAAAATAAAGCTGCGCGACGACGAAGGAGCGTCGAGAAATCCTCCCAGCGAGTAGCTGGGAACTTTCGACTTCCTTTTCCTTCATGATAGTTTGCGAGAGAGTTTCGCCTCAACTTTGATTCTGTCTTCGCTGTGCGAACGCGAAGACACCGATGTTGTGTGATTTCAGAAACTTTTATCACGCGTTTTATTACGGGAGAGCAAACGACCATGCCGCGTCTCTATTTAACTTTGTATGATGCGTCTTTTTTGTCTCTCTTTTTTTTTTAGATCAAGTGTACGACAAAGCTATCGAATTGTATACCAAAGCCATAGAAGTAAACCCGTCGGTAGCCGTGTATTATGGCAATAGAAGTATCGCTTACTTGAGGACAGAATGCTTCGGATATGCGTTAACAGACGCGTCTAAGGCAATCGAGTTAGATAGAAATTATATAAAGGGCTATTATCGCAGAGCTGCTGCATACATGTCCCTGGGCAAGTTCAAGCTAGCACTTACAGATTATAGAACTGTCGTGAGAGCTAAGCCAAATGACAAAGATGCTATGGCCAGATGTACAGAATGTTCCAAAATGGTTAAAGTGTTAGCATTTCAAAAAGCTATTTCTGTAGAAGAAAAGAAAAATATAGCCGATATGATCAATCTAGAAGCTATGGGTAAGTATTTAACAGCAAATTTTATAGAACATGAAGGTTTGTGAATGTGAATTATCATAGTATTTATTTATGATTTCTCAATATTTATATATTCTTGATATCTGTAAGAATCGGTCATATTTTATTGACGAGTGATGCAATATTGTAAATCAAATAATTATCGATTTTTATTATTACATTATTATAAACATTATCGACATGTCGAATATGTATAATTAATGTTACCTTGATTCAGACGACAGGATATTAAGATCTTTGTATTTGGTGCATAATCTTTTTTAAATAGCAAGTTGAGACTGAGATAATACTAACGGAGACTGATAGTACTAATGGAGAATCATCAAGTATCACAATGTATATATTAAAATTAATTATTTTTATAGCCATCGAAGATGAGTACACAGGACCTAAATTAGTCGATGGCAAAGTTAATTTACAATTTATGCAAGAATTATTAGAATGGTATAGGAATCAAAATAAATTGCACCGTAAATATGCTTATAAGATCTTATTGGACGTTAAATCATGGTTTATGGCACAGCCTAGTTTAGTGGATATTACAATTCTTGAAGATAGCAAATTCACTATTTGCGGTGATATACATGGACAATATTATGACTTGCTTAATATATTTAAGTTAAATGGATTGCCATCAGAGACTAATCCATATGTATCCTTTTTAAGAACGGAAGATGTAAGGTAATATAGATTGTGTGACATCAATTTATAGACTTGTTCAAGTAATATTTTGTGTACTAATGTTATACAGAAATGCATACCATGGTCCCCGGGAATGTTCCTTAACAGCTGTATAGTTATTTAATGGAGATTTTGTAGATAGAGGCTCTTTTTCAGTAGAATGCATATTCACTTTATTTGGTTTTAAGTTATTATATCCGAATCACTTCTTTATGTCAAGAGGTAAATAATCTGTTTTCTGATATTTTGTTGCTTTTTTGTTGAGCTTATACACTCATGAGACATCTGACACATTCAAGGTAATCATGAGTCAGCAACAATGAATCAAATGTATGGATTCGATGGTGAAGTGAAAGCTAAATATTCCACCCAGATGGCAGAATTATTTACAGAAGTATATAACTGGCTCCCTCTGGCACATTGTCTTAACAATAGAGTGCTCGTAAGTCTTGAAAATCTTTACAAAAGCTATGAATGTTACAGTTTGAACGGACTTTGTGTATCCAAATGCCGTATAATCCAAGTATAATATTTATACAAATGCGATCAAATTGCCGTCTATCAGGTGATGCATGGCGGCTTGTTTTCACGGGATAACGTGACGCTGCAAGAGATCAGGGAAATCGATAGAAATAGACAACCACCTGATGAGGGACTAATGTGCGAATTGCTGTGGTCGGATCCGCAACCGCAGATGGGCAGAGCGCCCAGCAAGAGAGGCGTGGGTGTTCAATTTGGACCTGACGTCACGCAAAATTTCCTCACGACAAATTCCCTCGATTATGTCGTGAGGAGTCACGAGGTCAAGAATGACGGGTACGAGGTTGGACATGATGGGAAATGTATCACAGTATTTTCCGCTCCAAATTACTGGTACTAACGGCGTAAATCACGTTATCATGTTTTGTCACGATATGTGCTCGGGCATATTATCTAATGTCTATCATTTTCAGTGATACTATGGGTAACCGAGGTGCCTTTATCACACTTAACGGTAAAGACATGAAACCTTATTTCACGTCGTACGAAGCAATGGTATGTACTTTATTCAACTTTTCGATTATAATATTTACATTTGAAACTGTGTTTTTGTGTAGACCATGGAAAAATCACTCCTCGTAACATTCTGTTACAGCCTCATCCAAACGTAAGGCCGATGGCTTATGCCAACTCTCTACTAAAGTTCATGTGCTAGTGGAACACTCGCTAGGTATTATTAATAAATAATAATAACTGAATATATATTATATATAAGTAGCCGAATCAACAAAGTGTGTGTAATATATTTGATACCGGAAATGAGATGGTAAGAGACACTTTAGACTTCTCCGCAACAATAATTACTGTATTCTTTCTAGGAATACAATGAATTCCCTGTATGATAAAGTATATGCAATCGAATGCATAATATTGATGGGTACAAAAGCGAGAAAGGTTTGCTTATTTTTACAACAGGCAAACAGTTTTATCGAGTTTTCTTATCTATGATAAGGAAAACAACTCATCAGACATCACTAGCAATTTGTGTTCGTTTGTAATAAAATAACGCGAAAAGAACGTTTCTATTTTGTACCCTCAATCTGCAACCACCTTGCTCGTTAAAGATGCCAGTATCCATGCGCGCGCGAGCGTATACATAAAAGAACTAAGAACCGATCTCAAAAATCTCTCCAAGAGGATCTTGTAGGGTTACTTTTATCAAGCTGCAGTTAACTAGTTGTTTTAGTTTAACCTTACAGGATTCCAACTTAAACTGCTGTGAGAAAAAATAGAAAATAAGGAACAAAGCAACAGTTTTAATTGAAATCCTGCAAGGTTACTAACACGGTTATTTAACTGCAGCTTGATTAAAAGTAGCCTATATAGTCTATTACTTTTCAGCGCGAGTCGCTGAAAGGGAATCAAATCGCGGCACTCTTAATTCTTTAACGACCAACGGTGGTTTCAATGAAAACACGGAGATACATATATACACCGCATATGAAACCTAGCATAATTATGTAGTACAATATTCCAGCCAGTCACTACTTGTTATTTGTGACAACTTTTTTATAAATCTATTGTGATTGGAGGGATTTCTTTGATCTAACATTTTGTTTTTTGTTAACAATAAATGATGTTTATAATGTATATAAAATTGGCATGTTATTTTGTGCTATGTACAAAACGACAACACGATAAATTACACGTAATGCTGTGTGTGAACGACGACGTGACTTTACGAAAAATTACGGACAATTTCCTCCGGCAAGTTATTACGATTCTGATGGGATACGCCTAGGACTTTGATTCTCCCATCTGCGTGCAACTTTTGGAACAGCGTTGCGTGCTGCGGCGGCACTTTGTGCGTCTGCGGAACAGTGCCGATCACGGAGGCTTTACCGAAGGTGCCGAAAAATATATCGATTACTCTCCTTTTAAAGTCTTTGCTGAATAACTCCATCTTGCCGATCTCGTCGATTAACAATATATCCTGCAAATTGTGCAGTCAATGTTACTGAATTGTGACAATAGACCGGTCCTGAGAGAAATCACCAATTCTTACAGCGTCCGAGTCCAACGCTGGCAATGCTACTGTCTCGAAATTATCCAGAGAAACGCTATAGTTTCCTACGTGATACTTGGAGTTCTTCTGAGCCTCTGTTAAGCCTCTGCGAAAGATGAATAAAGAATTGCAATATGCATTGGGTTACGCGCAAAGTCGATGTTCCGTGTATTATTATGGGACAAGGACACACTTGAGCCGTGCTAAGGATAATCTCCTTTCAGGATCTGTCACCCTGACAATGTCAAAACCAATCCTGCTGCCACTCCGATCTCGTACCTCCTCTGTGTAAAATCCGTCGAGTCGGCCGCCCTTCTTCTCCAACATGGACGCGACCTTTTTGCACACCGTAGTCTTGCCTATACCTGCAGTAATAAACGTCTCCGACATTTGTATTTCAGCCTGACAAGACTCATCGTCTGATCCATGCGTTTATATTATGAATTCCCAAGAGGTATGTATCAAGTCAAACGAAAGAGAAGGAATCGCACAGTCTCCCCTCCCTGCCACTCAGGGTGTACATAAAGAAAGTACCTGTAACTCTCATCTGACCTATCGAGACTCTACTAATGTCAAACAATATTTATGAAAACCATATACATCCTTTGTTATACGCAGATACGCGTGTAATTTTATTTCAAATTTCCCCCCGCCCCGAGCCTCACCCGGAGGGCCTGTGAGTAGTACGTGCAACGGCCGCGAAACGCTGGCAGTTTCCATGGCTCGTCGCGTTGTTTACGTTGGAATCCGGCTGCTACGGCCCCCTGTCGCAGAGACACGTTACACGTGTAAAGAATCGCCGGTAGTCGCTCTCGAGCCGACGACGACGACGACGATAAGGACGGGTGAGCGAGAACGGGCACGTGCGCGATCGAGGAAGGACCAAGCGTGAATTTATGCGGCGGTGTCGTGAGAATGCACACGGCGGAAAGCACCGAGCCCGTGTGGCACACGCAGCGATGTCGTGGCAGTCGAAGTGAACACTCCGCGGGGCGGGGGGGGTAGTTGGGGCGAACGGCGATCAGCTGATCGAGCTGAGCGAGCGAGGCGGAGACAGTCGGTTGCAATGTTGCTACATTCAGGGATTTATTCCTAAATCTAGAGATTTTGAAGATTATCTGGGATCTAGGGATAGATTTAATAAAATTTCAATTTCTAGAGATTTTGACCAAATTTTTCTTTCCTATTGCAAATTAATAAAAAAATGAACTGAGTTGCGGTTCAAAACACGCCCGCAGCGTTATTGATACGTTTACGATTGTTCAAATTGGAGCGAGCATAGTGTTGTAGCTGCGATTGATGTGTTTCGGAATATAATAATATAAATTGCTTGTAGATTTTTTCGTATATATTTAAAAAACTTTTCCCACTCTACTTAGTATTACTATGTGTTAAAAGAGAAGTAGTAAGAAAAAAATGGAACGTTCCGTTTTGACTATGTTGCGATTGACCATAGCCACATAATGACCGATGTTTACTTTTTTCACTGGACCAGCCAATCAGAAATACGCGGCTAAGATGTGTGGAGTCGTAGAAACGCATGCGCACAGATGACAAATAGGAATCTACATTATTCTCTCTCGCACAGATATTTGCTTCATTTTTTGTATTACAGGAGAAATAAGCATCTTCATATCTATATGCTCTAAGGTTTTAACGCTTTAGAGTTAAATTTAGAAAATTGAGGGATTTCTTGCTCAATCAGGGATTAATTATGGGGATTTTCCATTTTTTCATGTGGCTACACTGGCCGATCGGATTGCATTGGGGGACAGTGATACCGACGACGACGACGACAACGACGACAACGACAGAGCGGTGGTGGTGGTGGTGGTGGCGGCGATGGTGGTGGTGGTATGGTTAGTGGTGGCAGTGACGACACGGCGACGACAACGACGACGACGGTGACAGTGGTGGTAGTAGTAGTAGTAGCAGTAGCAGCGGCGGTAGTAGTGATAGTGGTAGTGGTGGTAGGAATAAAACTGATGGTTTGGTAGGTCGAGGATCGGGCCCGAGAGACAGCCCTGTGTACACACACACACACACACACACACACACACACACATCGTTGCGTCGTGACGTGCGCGAGTACTGGCGTGCATTCTGCGTTCTCGTCGGGTGCTGCGCTCGTCACAGGGCTGGCGTGACGTGCGCGAGCGGCTAGAGCACGCTGTGCGTTTGGGCCAGTTTGGGCGCTGTGGAGGCTCACGTAGGACGACATCCGCGGCAGAGCCGTCGGGGACGCTCGCGAGTGCACGGTGGAATAATAATACGTCCGGCCGCGTGCGACGGACGGCGCGTTACGTCGCGTACGGAGTAAACATCGCGTCGCCGAGACGAGGCGACGTGGAGAGCAGGCGGAAGAGAGAGACGGGCAGGGAGAGAAAGGACGGGCGGCAATCACACTCACGCACGTACGCACGCACGCACGCACGCAGAGCGGTGATTTCGTGTCCGTACGAAGGGAGCTCGCTCGCCGCTTCGGTTCGGTTACGCTCGGCGTTCGCTCGCGTCCTCCCACGCGGCGAGCGCGAGGCACTACCGGGTCTTCTTCGCGGAGGATTAACGCACATCGTCCTGCCCTGCCGCCCACCGTCCCCCTCGGGCGACGTTAAACGGACGGACGGTGCGGTTACGTGCGACGGCAATAACAACAACGACGACGGCAGCAGCGACGACGACGACGACGACGACGACGACGACGACGACGACGGCGGCGGCAGCGGCAGCGGCCGCGACGGCCGCGACGGCGGCGACGGCGGCGGCGGCGGCGACGACGGCAACGTCGTCGCGCAACGTTCTATGGAAGAGGGAGGGCCGGCCAGCTGAAGGAGCTGAGGAAGAGGAAGGCAACAGGGTCCGGTATCGGGCTGGTGGTCTCAGGAGACGACGTCGCCGACGACAGTCGTGCGAGGGCGAGGGCAAGGGCAAAGGCGGCAACGGCAACGGCAACGACAACGGCGGCGGCGACAAGAAGATGGCTTATCCGTCCGAGTGCAGCGTACTGTCGTATGTGGTCGCGCGACAGATCGACGACAAGGTCGATTACTGCAAGAGCCTGATGAATGCCAGATTCGAGAACTCTGAGAATCTCTACAGGAAGGACCTGCTGTCCCATTACGGATGCGTCAACGCGATCGAGTTCTCGAATCAGGGCGATCTGCTCGTCTCCGGTGAGTCCGCGAACTTCTCGCGGACGTGTCGTTCTTTCGTCGGCTCGAGGGAGGACCCGCTGTAGAAGTTTTCTTCTATTTTTCTCTCTCTCTCTCTCTCTCTCTCTCTCTTTCTATCTCGCTCTTGCGGGAGGGGGGTGGCTCTACCTCCGGCTCCGTTTGACCGACACGTCGCGACGTGATTCGCGTTTAGGGCTAAGATGAATCGTCGCTGCCGCACGTGTGTATAATTTTTAGATAGTAACTTCTATTTTTAGTTTTTTGTGGTTTCTCTCTTGGTTACATATCGAAAGTTCGAGCGCTTTAAATGTCTCTTCCCCGACGGCGGGAGTGATTTTATGGCTGATTGATCGCACGGCTGATATTAAGCGTGCACTTGTTCCTGTTTTTTTGTTCTCCTTTTTATTTTGTCATCCCCTCGCGACACAGTGCCCGTTGATTTCGAACAAACTCAACGGAAATATCGACCTCCTCGCATCGCATGAATTATTGTTCTGCAGTTTTTCGCGCGACCTGCGGCGGTGCTGTGAATAATGAGCGCTTTAACGAGGCATGCTTCTTAAATATATAGCATAGTGTAGTCACGGACTAACGATCGGTGTGATATTCGTTATCGAGAAGATAATGATGTTAGTAAACAGCCGTTGCTTTCACGGATTAAACGTGCCCCGACGTCAGATTGTCAGAATGGGCATCTTTTATTCGCGCGGTGTCCTGCCAACGGGGAAACTCGACTTGCGAGACTCGCGTTCTAAAAGTAGACGAATCATATTCGTTTGTGACGCTATTTCCACAGGTGGCGATGACAGAAGAGTCCTATTGTGGAAAGTGGAGCAGGCGATACGAGGTGTGGGCAAGCCCACCGTGATGAAAGCTCAACACGTTAGCAATATATTTTGTCTCGGTTACGACAGCAGCAAGACCAAGATATTTTCCGCGGGTAACGACGACCAGGTTATAGTCCACGATTTGGGAACGTAAGGCACTGCTTCTCACAGCGGCACACTGGAGACGCGTCTTCATGAACATGACAACCCCGTTTCCATGTTGCAGGAGCGATGTGCTCAACTTCTTCCTACACGAGAAGCCTGTCTACGGTCTGTCCATCCATCCGCACAATGACAACGTCTTTGCTAGCGCCTGCGACGACGGCAGAGTCCTGATTTACGACATACGCGGCTCTAGCACCACGGAGACGTTCTGCTTGGCGCAGTACAAAACCGCTTTTCACTCCGTCATGTTCAACCCCGTGGACCCCAGAATGCTCGCCACCGCCAATGCCAAGGAAGGTGTCAGTATGTGGGACGTGCGAAAACCTTTGGAGTAAGTAAAGGGGCGCTCGCCAACTTTCCTCTCTCAGCCCGGAAGGCGCGTCTTGATTGGTTTGAGAGCTGTTAATCGTCACCTTACGCCTCCTTTCCTCCTCACAGGCCTGTGTTACGCTATGGAAGCGAGACTCCGGCGCAGAGCTGTATGAATGTCAGATTCAACGCTTTGGGTAACCGGTTGCTGGCCCTACGGAGAAGACTGCCGCCGGTCCTCTACGCGGTCGACTCGCCCACACACTTGTGTGAATTCGATCACCCGGGCTACTACAATAGTTGCACCATGAAGTCGTGCTGCTTCGCCGGAGACAACGACGAATACGTGCTTTCTGGCGAGTGTTCCATAGAAATAAGAGAAAAGAAGAAACAGCGGGGGGGGGGAGATACGTGACTCTCAGTCCCCGTGAAAGGTCCGCGTTATTTTACACGTTGAATTTGCAGGTTCCGATGACTTTAATCTGTACATGTGGAAGATCCCGTCGACGGAGGTGAAATGGGTGGAATCCGCTCACATGGTGCTGCATGGTCACAGATCGATCGTCAATCAAGTGCGGTACAACCAGGCGAGTTGCATCTTCGCGTCGTCCGGTGTGGAGAAGATCATCAAGATCTGGAGTCCGTTTCCGCTCGGGGCTGGGAGTTTAGGAGGACTGAAGGTTCGTTATCGCGCGTGGCTTATGTAACATTCTACGATAAGATGCAACTTAGAAGCCGAAGAATGTCGGAACTGACGTCATCGCGTGTCTTTTTCTCCAGAGGGACGCTGGCAAGCAGGAGAAACAGCGACGAGTGTACACGCACGACGAGTACATCGAATTGGTCTTGCGCAGCGGCCAGTTTATGACGCACGACTATAGCCACCAGTCGACCCGGGAAGATTCGCGGATGATGGCCTTCTTCGACTCCCTCGTGCAGCGCGAGATCGAAGGCTGGAGCTCCGAGGATGGGCCGACAGCGCCGCAAACTCCTAACGGCGAGCCCGAAATCAACCCGGTAACCGGGCAGCCGTACAGCGAGTCGGATTTCGACGGTACAGCTCATAACTTTGAACAAGCAGGAGCAACTCGGACGCATATTTGTACAGGATGTCCGGGGTCTTTTGGAAACGAAAAATTGTGAAGATTAATTATCTGATCGAACTGAGAAGAAAAGTCAAATACCATTTTGCAAAAATTACAATGGTTATTAAGTTATTAATGATCATATGTGAATAGTTATTAAGTTATTAATGATGAAAATGACCACATCTAGAGGTTCTTTTAATTGATAACTTGAAAATTTGCTTACTTATTTGCAGATGATAAAGGACTTTTTTGTTCAGAATGACCTAATCTACAATTATATGACGCCTAGCAACAGGTTCAAGATTCAGGATTCAAAGTTCAATATACTTATACCTTGCTAGACACAATAACCACAATCATGTGATTATAGATTAGGTCATCGTGAATAAACAAGTCCTTTACCATTTTGCAAATAAGTACGCAAATTTTCAACCGATTAAAAGAACCTTTTGATGCGGTCATTTTCAATCATCGATATAACTTTATAACTATTGCGAATTTTGCAAAATGGTGCATGACTCTTCTTCTCAGTTTGATTAATCTTCACAATTTTTTGTTTCCAAACAATTCCGGACACCTTGTATAATTTTCTGCTTCATAATTTTTTTCACACATCATTGATTTTCTCTCTCTCTCTCTCTCTTCAACGATCAAATGAAGCAATGGATACTTACTTACTTTTGTAGCCGACTCCACGGCATCGGAAGCCGGCGTAGCTCCCGAGCGACCGCTGGGGTCGCCGAATCGTATAACTCGACTCATCGCGGCTCGCAGGGAGAAGCTCATGCGGCTAGCCACGACGGACTGCGGCACGACGACGTGCAACAATTCGACAAACACGGCCGAACGTTCCGCTTCGTGTTCCGCCAGTGAAGGGGACAGTGCGCGCGCGAAATGCAGATCCAAATCCAGATCGAAGCTGAAGGGCGTGAAGAGAAAACACGCCAGGATATCCGGCAGGAGAAGCAGAACGAGGAGAAAGTGTACCGTGTTAAAAATCAATAGTGACTCGGATAGTGATGACGAACAACCTGTTGATGTCGCTCAACCTAGCACGAGTTCCGGTGTGATTTCCCGTAGATCGCGATACGTCGCCAACACAATCGAGAATGACGTGAAACACGCGAGTTACAACAGCAGCACTACCAGCAGCACCAGTAGCAGCAGCAGCAGCAGCAGCAGCAGTAGCAGCAGCAACAACAGCAGCGGCGGCAGCAGCAGCAGCAGCAGCAGTAGCAACAACAATAGCAGCAGCAACAGCAGCAGCAGCAGCAGCAGCAGTAACAGCAGCAGCAGTAGTTCCGAGGACATCGACGTCCCCGCGAAACGAAAACATTCTAAAACCGACTCAGACACATCCGCGAAGGCGCACAGAAGGAAGCACCGGGGCAAGTGTAAAAACAATTGCCGCAGCGAGAGCTCCGGCAAAAAGTCGTGCAAGCGAGCCAAGTTCGACGAGGACACGGAGGAGGAGTGGTTCGGCTGGAGGAACGGTGCTAGTGCCGGCAAGGCGCGCGAGGACGGACCGTCGACGCCGACCAAGAAACCGCTTCAAGTTCCTTGTTCCCCCGACAGCGGTATCAAGTCGGGAGTCTCCACGGGGGAGAAGAGTAGCGGACAAACGCGTAAGGAACGGGATGCGGACAGTTCCGACCATGAGCAAAAGCTCAAGAGTTTCGAGTGTTTCCGTAAGAAGGTGGACGTGGCGAGGAGGAGCTATCGCAATCGATCCGCCGCCGCCGCCGCCACCGCCACCACCACCACCACCACTACCACCACCACCACCACCACCGCCGCGCCACCAACCCAGACGATCTCCACCACGTCCGAGACAACCGACTCTTCCGATTGAGCTCCCAGAACGACGTCGCTCCTCGCAACTCTGCCACCCTCCGACTCGCACCCCCTTCCTTCCCTTTGTACATAATGTATCTGTGATTCCTTGAAGTATATTTTTATAACACTAAGTTGGGTTACACGCGCGAATATGCGGTCGATCGTTTTTCTACCTTGTTTTAGACACCTTGTCGTCCGTATCTCCCGATCCGACGTGCATGTACTGTGTTTTCTTCCTTCCCCCTTGCCCCCCCCTCATCCGACCCTTATGTCCTCCTGGCTCACCCTCTTCGCGCGGTTTCTGAGAGATTCGTCAGGATCGTTCTCGATGTTTATAATTTCCTTTCGTGACACGGTCGGCAAATTGAGAGTCGTAAAAGCAAGCATCTCGAATCACACTGGTTGCAGCCAGTACGGCCGGCGATTCGATCGATCCCACGCCGGTCACTGGTTAGATTAAAAAAAAAAAAGAAAAGAAAAAAAGCAAAATTACTGATGTGTGGTACCGCTCTTGTATCTCTCGTCCCCGATGCCATTATTATCGGCTGTCAAGCTTGATTAATCTAGGAGAGTTCGATTATATTATTGCTGAAGACGGACGTTTTTTCGGATCTGGCCATTAAATCGCATGTAATCGAGATCCTCGGTGAAAACGTCGCCGCGATGCGAGCAAGTAGACGCGGATTGTTAACGCGCCGCGTTAGCTTAAATATTGCGACTCGGCTAATGTGTATTGTTGAGCATGGTTTGTGCGAGACGGAAAGTAATAAAATAATAAATTGGTATACATTTTTTTCCTATGCGTTGAACGTTGAGGAATTATTGTAACTATATATTACATTATTTAATTTTGCATTTATATACATCTTTATTAACTGATTAAGAATAAACGAGAGAAAAGGAAAAAAAAAACACGAGGCGAGCTTTTCTGTGCGATCTCTCTTGTTCTCTCTTTTTCTTGCTTTTCTTTCTTCTCTTTCTTTCGTTGCGATCTTCCTCTCGTTCCACGACTCGGCGTGCGATCGCCGGGACGGAGTCTGTCCGTCTGCTCTTCGGCGCACGGTGAACATGGAGAGTGGACTTGGATTCGCGTAAACGATATTGCTGCGGTATCTGGATCTACCACATCCTGCGGTGAGATATTTCCTCCTCTTCGGAGGAAGCTTCCGCTTGGGCGCGACTTCGCGCCACACGGCCACGTAGATCTCCTCAGGAGGTGATCACCCTAAAATGTTAAGCGCGCGTACGAATTCGCCGGTGTGCTCGCACATACGCACCTTCGTCCTGCTGCTGATGATCCTGCGGTGCAATCCGTCAGCGTACAACGTGGACTCGCGCAATGTCCTGATATTCAGCGATCCTGTGCGCGTGTCGCCGCAACGACGCGGCAGTTACTTCGGCTTCTCCGTAGCTCTGTACGCGGGTGCGGGCGGTCCGCTGTTGCTCGCGGGGGCGCCGCGGGCCAACTCCACGGCGACGCGGCGCGTCAACGAGCCGGGGACAGTTTTCACGTGCGCGATGTCCGGTGTGTGCAAGGAATGGCTGCTCGACAGCTCCAAGAACGGTGTATTCCCTCGCGACAAACGGATCGTGCAAGTCAAGGACAATGCATGGATCGGCGCGAGCATCGCTGTGGAGAACAAGACAGCGGCCAGGGTTGTGGTGCGTCGTTGTTCATCTCCCAAGTACCGATTGACTCCACGCGGTAAATTGTACAGTTCGGGATAATCGCGCTCACCCGGCCACCTTCCTTTTCCTTGCCGAATCGCTCGTGTCGATTTCCTCACGGAGAAGGTCCGATTGTCGAGAGGAGTACTTCAGCGTACTTCGAGCATTAACCCTTTGTTGCATGTGTTTTTTTCTAGCGAATATGTAATTTTGTGAAACTTGTTACTCGGAGATTTTCAGGGTCGCTGAATACAAATCCAGTGTGAAAAATACGAAATTCAAAATGGCAGATCCAATGTGGCGGACGAAATTTTCAAAATCAGCCGAATCAGCTTGAAATTTGTTGCTTAAGGGTGCTCGAGGTTGCTAATTACAAATTCGTTATCGAAAATTCGAAATGCCAGAACCATGACGGATGTTTGCGGCAAGGTTCGGCTGATACCGGTCAGCTGGTTGCCCGGTTCTCAAGCGCAGTCAGTTTGTTTCATTTCTATAATTATGTTCGCCATGTGAGATCCGTCATTTTGAATTTTGTATTTTTCACATCGGATTCGTATTCATCGACTTCAAAAACCCCCGAGTAACGAGTTTCAAGCGAATTCGACTGATTTTGAAAATTCCGTCCGCCGTATTGGGTTCGCCATTTTGAATTTTGTATTTTTCACACCGGATTTGTATTCAGCGACCCCAGAAACCCGCAGATAATGGTTTTGGAATATATACGTTATTGCTTAAAATTTCATGCAAACGAATTTATTCTCTAAGAATGACAGTTTTGTTCAGTATATGCTTATTAATAATAAGTTACTTGTTTGAACTGACTCTAAAAGTTGATGTATTAGTTAGAGGAACATTTTAGTAGTCCAGCAATACCAAATATGTGTGTAAAGAGATATGTGAAGAATTTCAATTATTGGAGAAACAAGCTTGAACAAGCTAGGTGGCATTCTGAGAGGACCGCTATGCAGCAAAGGGTTAAGCTACCCGCGCCAGTTGAATTGTCAGCACTCGGATAACGAAGGAAAGTTCCTCCTTGCTTCGTTTCTCGCTTTAAGCAAACCTTGACTTCGACTTGTCAGCGGGAGCGCCCACGATTTTACGGTTCTCTCGAAACTTTTGTGCAACAGCCAAGCACAAGCGCTCGTTCATTATTCAACGAGCAGTTTCGTTTGAATAGGTTTGCGGGCCTCGGTGGAAAGTGAGCACCCATTACATGCAAGGTATTTGCTACGGGACGTTGGCCAGCGGAGCCGACGCGTTCGACAGAGAAGCGAAGAGGCATTGGCTACCAGTTTTCAACGCCACCAGACAAAGAAAGCTCAGCGACGAAACATCCCACTATAACTACGCGTTTGCCCAAGTCGGCTTTTCCTTACACATGAAGTCGTGGGGCAACAGTGCGGACATCGCGCTGGGTGGCCCCGGCGTGTTCGCCTGGACAGGCGATACGGTACTGATTACCGCTGCGTTCAACGAAACGCGTTCGCGCACGATCATTCCCTTAGTCGCCGGAAGGACAGAGCATCATTATTTTCGCGATTATTTCGGTAATTCTTATCTCACTTCTTACGTTTCTTGTCTCGCTATACCCAGGTGGCACAAACGTCCCGAGGTCGTCTTGAAGGCACCGTCTTCGGGGTACGTTCCAGGCGATATGGGATATCTTGTGCTATCTGGGTAAAAAGTCAGTGAAGACTTCATGTATGAGACTCAGGACTGGTCTTTGTTCTTCCTTCAACTTAGACCAAGACAGACGTATGACTTAACTATCAGTTAACTTAGTTCCAAGAAGTTGGAACAACCGGCCCTAATAAAGGTAGGTCCAGACTTGTGTCGCATCATCATATCGTATCATGATCGCGTATCGTAACGGGTATCGTAAGTATAAGCGGGATACTGCATCGTATCTGCATATCAAGGTGATAGGAAGATACGATTCGACTACTTGGAGTCAGTATTTTATTTTTAGTTTTCTACCTAGCATGCGTTCGTATCTTTAGTTCCGCGTTACCTCCCGCAGAGATAATGCCTCTTTCTCAACTCAGTTAACTGCTGCTAGCTACATTTTTCTTCATTATTTATTGAAGAAGAAAGGAAGGAAGCGCGATGGTGACACACACGTCTGGACCTGGTTTACGGCATCCCGTTCACATTTGGCCGATCGTAATACGCAATTATGATACGATACGGTGATGCGACACAAGTCTGGGCTCACTTTTAGAGGAGAATTACACACTTCGATGTCTCTCTTCAGCGACCGAGGGACTCTATGTACTTGCACATACGGTGACTTTTCAGGATACGCCATAACAGCGGGCGCTTATTTCAAAAAGGATGACATTCTGTACGCGGCCGGCGCAGCGAAGGGCGCCGCTTTGCTCGGGAAAGTCCTCGTTTTTACCTTTCCTACGACGGAAATGGAATACATATCGGTAAAAGCGAAGCTAGAGAGCAAACAAATCGGGGAGTACTTCGGTGCCGCTCTAACGTCGTGCGACGTCAACAACGACGGCAAAGATGAACTGATCGTCGGTGCACCGTATTGGGCTGAAGAACTGGACGAAGGCCGTGTCTATATCTTCACAACGCAACACAGCGTGCGTATCGATATATATCGAGCAGCAAACACGGAGTCACGCAGATTTGCCGAGGAATATCTCAGAATGACGATAATGAAATCAGTTGCATAGTCATCTCTCTTATCGAACATTCGGTTCTTCGACGTTCACTTCCTCAGCGTCTCCGCGCGCTGCTATTTATTTATACCTCTGAGGCGTTTCTCAATTCTAGATTCTAGAAGTGGGAACCGTTAACGTCACACAAATGCTTCAAGGTGCCAGACAGACAAACTCATCGGACTGCTTTATTCGGCACTTGGAGGCATTTGTAATGTCGCACGGGTCGTCCTCTAGATTTACCTTAGACTCTAAATTGATCGTTGCATTCAAAGTCCAGATTTCCCCGAAGAGACTTTCTCTCAGCGCGACAAAGTCGACTCGCTTCCGAGGGGTTTGTCGAGATGTTTCTCCCGGTGAATCTCGCATTTCTCCGTTACGAGACGTTAAAAGCTGAAGCGTCGTGCTTTACATGCAGGCGAATTTCAAGCTGCTGACTAAGATCGACGGCAAGGTCGCCGGCGGTAGATTCGGGTCCGCCTTGATGTGCCTGGGTGACGTCGATTACGACGGCTACGGTGATTTCGCCGTGGGTGCGCCGTACGAAGAGGAGAGCGGCGGCGCGGTGTACATATACCACGGGAACTTGGACGGCGTCTTCAGGAGGTACAGCCAGCGACTGGTCGGCTCGGATTACTCGCTGCCGATGCGCGGCTTCGGCATCTCCATCTCAGAGCCTCGCGACATCAATGGCGACAGGTACCCTGACTTCGCCGTGGGCGCCTACCTGTCCGAGAAAGTCGTTCTGCTGAGGACCGTGCCGGTGGTCACGGTGAACGTGACGCTGGAGCACCTGCGAAAGATCAGACTGCTGAGGAACACGACGTCCTTCGTGATCGACGTGCAGGTATACTACGAGGGCGCATACGTACCTGAGAGTCTGAGTAAGTCTGCGACCGAGCTTTCTTTTCGATTTCTTTTCGACGAGAATGCGAGTACGAGTTACTCAAATTAATTTATGAATTCCAATGCAGCTTGAAGGTTATACCGCATATTCGAATACTCGTGAGCATCTCAACCCGCTTCTTCAGGAATAGCAGCAGCGAGAAAGCTTTCAACGTGAAAGCTTGCTTCTTTCCCTGAAGAAGTGGTCTAAGTACTCACGAAACGTCTGAGCTCGTTACCGTCGTTGCAGGAATCGTCAAGGTCTTGAGGATCGACCAGACGCACGGCAGAGTCGCGTATCGCGGGCAAAGCAATCATAATGGGATCTACAGGATACCAGACGTCCTTCACAGGAATAGTATCTCGCACAGTTCATTCGAGATGTACTTTATGGTACGCGAAAACGTACATGTCCTCGTGCATGTCGACACAATCGGCATTGAATGGAATTTATATCTTCATATAATCGTGCTTCAGGGAGAGGTACAAGACATACTGAATCCGCTCGAGGTATCCGTGTCTGTGGAGCTAGAAGACGATTTCTCCGTGAAGGTTAAGAACTCTTCGTGGAGAGACGCGCACTGCATATCCTGCGTCATGATAAACAAATTCCTATCGAAGACCGAGGATCTCATGAAGCTGCCGTTCGCCGTGGACTGTGGCGACGATGAAATATGCGTGGCCGACCTGAACGTAACGTTGTCCACCGACCTGCAGCCGAACAACAGCTACGTCATTGGCTCCTCGTCGACCATCTCGCTGCGCGTCGACGCTCGCAACCGCGGCGAGGCGGCGTATCAGACCAAGGTGACCATCGCCATCGAGGTCTTGTCGTTGGCGAGTATCCCGTCCGAGTGCACGGAGAACTCGCGCACGAGCAACACCCAGCTCGTGGTGGTCTGCGAGATCGGCAATCCTCTGAGAACGAATGTACGATCATCTACCGTTCGGAAAGACCGTCCGACCGGCGGAGAAAGAGACTCATCAGCCGGTGCTTTTGTAGAAATCGTTGATGCTGCAGCTGGACACGAGCATGGTGACGTACGACGTGCGGCAGGCGGTGATACAGGCGAACATCAGCACCCACAGCACCGAGTCGACGCCGAGCGACAACAGCCACGCCACCAGCGTGTACTTCGATGTGGATATGGACATAGCGATCGTCGGGTTGGTACAGATTTCTACGCACTCTCGTCGTGGCGGATCCGATGCTGCAAGGTCTCTCGCGCGATCGCGTTGGATCTCATCGTTGTCCTCGTTTCAGCAAAGCGCAGGTGAGTTCGTACTCGTACTCACGCGAGAACAAGGAGATACCGCTGGACAATGTGAGGTTCCAACACTTCTACGAGGTCCAGCGATTCGGCGTCAGTCCGATCGAAGAGGTCGCCTTGACCTTGAGGATCCCGACGCACTGGCGGCGCCACAGAATCGGCGACATCACAGTCGCCAATATCGAGAGCATCGTCGGCACGATGGACGGGTCGGCGTTTCATTGCGGTGACTTCAATCGCACCGATGCGCCGTTCACCGAGGGCGATCTGAAAATCGCATCTGCCGCATTCGTGCTCGAGTCGCCGCGGTTCGTGGCGGACGACAGCAGGCACGTCAACTCCAGCAACGAGTACTCGTCGTTGGACCTGCCGTCTGCGAACAGAACGTTGTATATTAATTGCACGAACGAGGCGGTAAGGTGCGAGCAGGTCAGCTGCAAAGTCGGACCGTTCGCGAGCACGTTGTCCGTGGCGAAGCTGCTGGTCACGTTGGATCTGCAAGTACCGAATTTTCACGGCAAGTAAAACATTACGCGGCGTCAACGCTGTGTGTAATGCGATACGCAGGAGGGTAAGATGGATACGAGATGGAGCGGAGTGAAACGTTTCGCGCGAGACTAACTTGATCTTTATTCTCAACTTTGCAGCCGCTTTGATGAAGGACAAGGACATCGTGTTTTTCGTGTCCGAAGGTAACGTCGCCATAACGCAGCCGTACAATATTACCCAGCGAAACGGTCATAAGCCGGACGCCGCCCTGGTCGCTACAACGTTTCTGGGCTCGCCGATAGCTGAGCGCATAGCTGTGTGGATATTAGTGCTTTCGATCGCGTTAGGTATCGTACTGCTGCTACTGCTAATACTGGCTTTAATCAAGATCGGATTCTTCAACAGGAAGAAGAAGATGGAGCTCGAAGCGTTGAAGGCTGAAACTGACGTATGTTTGGCGTTCTCGCAATCTTCCGCAAATGAGAATTTCGGTTGTTATTACAATTAGGTGTCAACCGCACTAAACTGTAATTCGGGTTTCAGAAAAAATATAACGTGGTACTGGAAACGACGTCCTCGACAGAAGTTCTTGATCACGACTGAAAACGCGTACGTAGGATAATCTCGACTTGGCGCGTTGCAATTGATAAAAGAGCCCACTCGAGATATACATAAAGATATATTTTCTTCAATATAAATAATAAATGTAATAAATAATAATTATCCATCTGCAATTTAAATATATAAGGCATTTGTATGTATCCATCTCTCTCTCTCTCTCTCTCTCTCTCTCTCTTTATAAGGCCACATTCTCGTATAAAATAAAGTATTTTTATAAAAATATAATAAATCTTAAAAAATATCAACTTTGTGTCGCTACAAGTGTATAGCTGTCGACTGTATTCTTTTATGGAAGGCTTCCTAAAAAGCGGAGTATAATCGATTCCCGTCCTGATTTTTATCTAAGATATGCAACAACCCTCAAAATCCTTAAAAGCACTTTCGGATCGAGCTTATAATCTATTAAAATATCAACCGTATAACATTATATTTTACTGTACGATGATATTCATACATATAATTCGAGAGAATTCGCATTTCGTACAGCTGCTGATGCGACTTAAGATCTGTTGTTGCCGAGAGGCAAATAAGCGCGTCGCGCTATTTCAATAAATGAGATTCTCAACGTGGACTTCGTTTCGAAGCAACAAGAGAGCACAGTAGCGTCGTCAATTTGCGTGTACTTGCGGCCCGCGACTCCCCACGTTCTTGACGCGTTTAATCGTCCAGTCCAAGCCCCTTCGAAATCTCGTCCGCGCTTAATTTATGCCCGCCGGAAGCCGGTGGAGTGTTCGGACGCGGGGCTGGTTTTGGAGGCGCCGGCGGCTCGTAACTCGGAGGCGGTGGCCCGTAACTCGGAGGCGGTGGTCCGTAATTCGGTGGTGGTGGTCCGGAGGGATAGTCATCGTGAGATTTCTACGCGTATGAGAACAATTTGCAAGATATTAGAAAAATTATTTTATAATTTTACATGTCGCTCGAGCTGAAAATAGATCCAAGTGATTCGCTTACATCTTTTCCACGTTTGCTCAGACCATCCAAAGCTGAACTGAACAAAGAGGAACCAATCGCGGATCCTATGTCCGATATAAGATTCGACCCGCCTGAACCTTGGCCGTATCCACCAGACGATGGATAACCACCGTATCCTCCTGAAGGCTGATATCCTCCTGAAGGCTGATATCCTCCTGAGGGTTGTTGATGACCACCGCCGCCAAGAACACCACCTAGTATGGATCCGAGCGTTCCGCCTAGGCCTCCATCGCTGCCGGATGGCTGGCTAGAATACGTTGGTTGTTGAGGTGCTCCACCAGCACCAGCACCACCTGATACAAAAGAACATAAACGTCACACACAGACGTCGCGCACACAAATGGGGAATAAATTGCTCTCTAGCTAGTTATGGTATCAAGCATGTATCTTAGGCAGATGATCATCTGCTATTTATCTTGTGTGAGAAACATTCCCGTCCTTGGCAATAATTCCAATGGGATGATGTCATCCGACCAGTCACGCTGGCGCTTGATTATAGATTTTCTGACTTAAACGAATTCCTGAATCACGACATGTATCTATTTGCGGAGAGTTACTATTATCTACTATGATATGTTTCAGTTTCAATTGTCTCGCTGAATCGTGAATGTATGTATGTGCGCTCGATCGTATCATGCACAGTATTTTTGAGAAATATAAGTTATAAATATAGTATGTACCCAACGCTCCAAGAATAGATCCCAATACACCTCCGCCACCTGATTCCTGGGGAGGATAGCCTTGTTGTGCGTGCGTGTTGCTGTGCAGGGCGTTGCTCGCCAGGCTGCTGGCTAGGGCCATCCCGAGAGATCCTAAGTTTCCCAAACCACCTTCGCTCTCTGTCTTCGACTTGGTAGCGTCCGATTTCTCGTGATCCTTTTCGTCAGTCTCTTCTTTCTTCTTCTGCAAGTAATGCATTAATTAATTAAAAATTGCACTAATGTATCATATCATATCATAACGTATGGCAATAGCTTTCAGTTTTTTTTTTTTACATTTAGCGCGTGCATAGCTGCCGCTACTCCTCCAGCTGCTACTAATCCGCCTAACGCTAATCCAACTTTGTCTAAACAGCCTCCAAAGGCATCTTCTTCCTCTGCTTTCTCGTGACCAGGCTGATATCCATAAGCTCTTGATGGATTATAGCCATTAGGACCGCCGTAGGCATCGGGAGGAGGACCATAGCCGACTGGAGGAGCAGGTCCATATCCACCCTGAGGTCCTAATGTCGGGTATAATCCACCTGGTGCTAGAGGAATAGAACTCCAGATGATTCATCAAGTCAATGTACTCAAAAAGACATTCTATATAAAATCCAAAATATGTTATATTAAAAAGAAATGTGGTTTCTTACGTGGTGGTCCAAAATTGGCAGCTGGTATATCTGATGTTGCAGCAGGAGACTTTGATGCATCTAGTTTTATTTGCTCATAAATGATTGAGTGTATCTCCACATCACCATCAATCACCAGATGGGTAACTTTAATGAATGGCAATCGATGAGCAAACTCTGCAAAGTGGTTGCTATTTATAGCTATCTTGTAGCAGTGATAATCGCACAGGATCAACATCTCAAATTCCTGGCCTGGATAAATCCACACTGGGCCAGCATTCTCTTCTATGCCCCAGTTCATAGACTCTATATGATTTCGGGTAATGAAGCCTTCAGAAAAGCGTGGAGACACATGAATGGCTATATCATCTCTTGGATTTAATGACGGCCCAAGCTGATAATTGACAGCGAATCTGACAGCATCAGGAGGTACTTTGCCTTGTATTTTCACCATCGTACCTGCTCTTAGGCCTCCTTCCACCTCTCCCACATACGGAATTGCCTATTACAAATAGTGAAGAAATTGCAAATGTCAAACTGTAGGTAAATAATTTCATAAAAATAGCAACAAAAGAGATTTTAATCTTGTGCGTAGTATAACTTTGAATGCTGCTTACATTCAAGTACATACTTTCTAAACAACACAATTGAATAATGAGAAATGCTAATAGCTCGTAATCAATTCATAAATTTTAATAAGTTAAATTATACTCGAGTACACGCCCGTCGATTCAGTTCACAACGATGAGCATCACGGGCACAAGCTTGTGCTTTAATGTGAATTTATCTAATAGTCAAGTACCAACAGATTATGATCCGCATCTCGAAAGACGCAGAAGCATCAGCAATGCGGGTTTGTTGCGGATCAATGAAGATCCTATTAATGCGCAAAGCAGTCGACACGAGTACTTACCGGATTTGACACCGGGGAATTGGCCATTTTCGCTTCAGCTACCCGGTTTTACGTCGACGTTGTGGGATGTTGCTCGAAGAACTTGAGCCGCACGCAATTACGTCGCTGCGCACACGAAGACGACCCGCGCCTCCGTTCTCAAAGCACTTCCAGCACTTCTATTTACAGTGCTGACGTTTACCCGAGCATGAAGTATGCTCTACAGCACGGAATATATGCCGATAGCTGTGGCAGGGATGTGACGCAACGCTGCATAACTACCGCGCATTCCTGCATCGCTACGTCACTCATCGCGTAACCGCGAGATTCGAATGGAGTCGCACAATTGGGCAAACTCAAGCGCGAGCGACCAATCCCAATGGCTCCAGTCAAAAGTAACTAGGGTCACGCGCGCCGCCGCCAATCGGCGGGGCAGATTGTCGCGATGACGTCGTGCGCGAATCCATCAGTGCGAGCGCACTTCTTTCTTGAACCTTGTTATTTTGAACGTGATGCAAAAGTATCTCGTGGAGTATTCTCGGCGATTTCATGAAACGAAGGAAATACGGGATAAGACTCTTTTTGACATAGCGATGAGGAGTCAACGAGAGTAATTGAGGAATAAGGTAAAACGTCTTTACGTTTTAAAAGTTCCAGGCAGGACAGAAAATCATGGTGGCATCAAAATGACATCAAAATGACGAGAAAATGACCGAATCATGGTGAAAAAATGAGTTTTCCTCATCATTTTGACGTCACTTTGATGTCATCATGATTTTCTGTTCTGCCTGGGGTAGAGTTTGGGCAGGAACTTCAATAGTTACGGTTAAGAATTGGTTAGCTAAAGTTAGGAAGTAAAGTTTGAATCTTTATATCGCGTACTCGCGAGTAGACAAGATGGCTGTCTGATAGTAAATTTCGTTTACGAAATACGCGATAAATGATACTTGTGCATATCGTTTGTAGTAGAAATAAATCTTGTTTACTTGGTCAGTAAAGTATCTTCCGTCGGCTTTCAGAAGCTCTCCGAGCTCGGTCGATTTTCACCATGGATCGCCGTCACTTCCTGCGCCATTCGTCCGGACGAACTCACGAGACTAGAGGAGACGCGAAGGAATTTCCAGAGGTACAAAATCTCCAGCTCCAGAGATCAAAGGTAAGATTACGTAATCGATCGGTACTCGGGACGGCGCGGGTGCGTGCGCCACCGCCCACGTTCATTTTCGTCTATTCGTTGTTTAATACCCGGCGAAATGAAACAAACCCAGCCGGACGGGAGATGAAACAGTGCAGCACCGCGGAGAGTCCGTTTTCCCGACGTGGGCAAATAAATAGACGCGGATGGGACGATGAATGGCGCGCAGACTCTCCTCTGAAACAATAAAACGCGGAAGGAAAATTGTATATACAGGGAGCTGTCCGGAAAGCAGTTTTCGACGAAATCTCACTTCGTCGGGACGACTTCCAGTCCGGGAGATTTTTCTCCCTTCCTTCCTTCCTTCCTTCCTTCCTCCTCGTGTTCGCTCACGCCATTCGGCGCGCAAGTCGCGGGCGCGCTTTACGCGGTGATTGTCAAAGGTCCTACAGGGTGTGTCGGAATAAAAGGTATCTGGAGCGTGGTAGGGCTGGGCGCTGGCGCACCCATGATAAATAAAGTACACATCGCTCCAATCATCATCATCATCATATATTCGATTCACGCGCGTGACGCGCGTCAGCGATTCGACGCTCTTCCTATCGACGGCTGCAGCACGTCGATTGCGCCGTGGACTGAATTAATTGCGTCGTGCTCGGCTGCGACTAATTCCAGCCGTCGGAAATTTCGTTGGAACGACACGACGCGACGGAACGATTAACGTTTTTCGTAAACGCGCGAGCGGCGACTCTTGTCGTCGGCGGATAGTCGCAGCGAACCGTTATCGCTTAACCGTGTCGAGAGACGAGAGAGAGAGAGAGAGAGAGAGAGAGAGAGAGAGAGAGAGATGCGGGTGACCGGAAAATCAAATGTTGAAAATCCGTTTAACCTAGAAAAGTAGGTGCGAGCGAAAGTTCGCGTTCCGCTTAGAGCGTCCTTGGCGACGCCGCTGCCGAAGCGGCGGCAGGACTTTCAGGATCAATAAGGACTTTCTCGTTCGGCCGATACGCTATCGAGTAGAGAGAGAAAATCGCCCGAACTTGAGATGCGCTGCCTCGATCCTGGTGCACCGAGGCTTTTATATTTATAATGTGTGTTCGATCTTAAACTCGACAGTCTAAACTTTTCGAGCGTAGATAATGCAATTTTTAAGCCTACAATATTAGCTCGTAGTTTGATACTCAGCTGCGCAAAGGACGCACAATGCAAAGGAATTCAGAGCTATAATTTCAGCAGCGTTCGCGGCTATCCGCTTTAAATCTGCCGAAGAATCCACCGTCGAAATTAAGGTCGCGTTACGAAACGAGTCGGTGCATGCCGATGAATGTCACGACACTGGGGAAACGTCGCAGAGTCGGAAATTCTGTGCATGAAAACTCGATTAGGCGCGATCTTAACCGAGCGGAGCAGAGAGAATCAATAGGCTAAAATAATAGAAGCGATACCACGAAACCGTCACCGCAATATCAATTTCTTCTTAAACGAATCTTTCTACGTCAACCTATTTCGCTTTGCAAATAAGTTTCGAAATTCCATTTATCAGAACTCACCTGCACAAACAAACGCACAGTAACTAGTATTGCATAAACAAACGCACAGTAACTAATATTGTATAAACAAACGCACAGTAACTAATATTGCACAATTTTACATTGCTCCGAATTTCCGTTGCAATTTATCTAACAAAGAGAGAGAGAGAGAGAGAGAGAGAGAGAAGGGGAGAGAGAGAGAGAGAGAGAAGGGGAGAGGAGTTTTAATATCTAATAAACCGTTTCCCTTTATCTTTCGTCATTTTAAGCGGACATTTGTTCTGAGACAATTTCATTTAATTTGCGTATAGACACAAAAACTGACTTTTCTTTAAGGGCCACATCTCATCGCCCTGAAATTGATCGAAGATGAGAATTGTTGAATAATTTTGAGCAGTAATTTTGAACGATTTAATGGAAAATAACGTTAACGAGACAAAGGAAGCCCGGCGCGGCGGGAAGCACGACGGTGTCCTTGCGTCTTTCGTTTCTTTTTCTCCTCAGGATTGGAGTGAGTCCCGTTGGGATCAATAGCGCCCGTGAGAGGACCCTTCTTTGCTGAGTCTTCAAAGCTTCCTTGCGAGCTCACCTTCATAAAACGAGGCGTACGCGCCGCACATCCCCGTCCCCTTAAGGGCCAGGTGTGTCTCGGCAGGTACACACGTGTTCGTGTTCGTGTGTATGTGTGAGTGTTGCGGATACGTGTATCTCAGCGCGCGTGTAATAGTCGTTGCCAGTACCTTATGCTACCTAGCGTTCACTGCATTCTGAAGAATAAGCCTATCGCTGAATGGAAGAGGTGTGTGCGCCTGTATGTTGCCGCTCGTACGTTGCCAACAGTCCTAGTAACAGTTCAAACATTGAACAGTACAAGGTGACTCACATCCCGAGTAGAAAAATTAGTAGAGCTCTGGTAAGAGCCTGATTATTTTTCTCCAACATTAAGGGGAGAAACCTGTCTGTAGGTCAAAAATAGGCTATTTTCACGAATTTTTCTTTCGGAAACTGAGCGGACGGTTGATTTCAAACTTGGTAGAAATAATAATATATATTTAACTTATAAGAATGAATTTTTATAGTGTGATATGAATAATAATGTAGCAGATACACAAAGAATAATGTAACGTGTTTAGGCGCGCGCCGTTTCACGCTCCCATGAAATCTCGAGATATGGTGGACTGGAATAAAAACGAAAGTAAGATAATTAATTGAGCTTGCCGCTATTGTCTGATCTAGGAAAATAAGAAACGAATTACTTTCTCAATCATTTTAAGACATGTAAAAATTATATTTATAAAAGCCTTATATATAAAAGGCAATATTAATAGGCTTTTATAAGGAAATATTTTTATTGTTGCTTGAGTAAAAATATTCGTTCTTTTTATTCCAAGAAATTTAGACTATAATTTCTTTATTTCTTTATAACCTTGTTAGTATATAACAAGAATGTTTTATTTTGAAAATATAGCATTTTTTACACATAAAAATCCTGCTACTGTTTTTATTAAAGGTTGCTGCATTTTAAAACAAAGGCGATACTAGAAAAATTTTTGAAAAATTAATGAACATAGCAACTAATAAAACTAATAAAATTTGTTTTTAATTGCGGTATAGTTAAAAATTTTTAAAAGAACCAGATACAATATATTTACTAAAACAATATTAAACTACTTATACAATTTTATTACACGCTTGAGATCTTATTAATTTTCTATAACAAAATTTGATTTTGTGTGTCTAAAAGATCCTTCTAAGGCCTATATCAGTTTTCCATGTTAAAGCATTATTTCGTAAAATCTAAACATATATCCTTAAAAAATCCCAAGACTTTTCTCAGCTTTCCTTATCAAAGCCTTATTTCATAAAATCTAAGGGATCCCTAAAAGATCCATCTCGGGGCCTGATATGGTAATAATGAAGCATCTCTTTTCAGGGCATCCTACTTTCAGCCTTATCGGAGCCTTATGCTTCATGAGGATGGCCCTAACAATTTTTTTCCTCGAGATATTCGACGCTTATCATTCCGTCCTTTACGGTCTCTTTGCAGTCCAAATCGACATTGTTTTGCACTGAACTACTAAGAATGAAAATGGACCGCAAAAGGTTGACACTTGAAATATTTTCTCGGTGCAACTTCGAGCGAGAAGCTTGATGGTCGGCAATTGGGTTGTTCGCACGAGTTTTTTCTACGTACCTCCCACTTCGTGCATCCTTTTCCGATGAAGACTCGCACACCTTTGCCATTCTTTAGTATATAGTGAACAGTAGGTAGCGTAAAGATCTATCTGACCCTTTTTAGTTAGCAGGGCTATTTCTATAAACGTGTCGTGGAATAAAGCGAGGAAGCGTACTTGAAGCGAAACAAGAATTTTGTTCCGTTCGCAGAGTGTGAATCGCGCATGGTCGAGTTTATTAGAAAATTATTGCGTAGAATTAGGAACGCCCATGCTACTGGAAATTCAACGAGTAACTTGATAAGGTAACTGTTATCTCTCTCTCTCTCTCTCTCTCTCTCTCTCTCTCTCTCTCTCTCTCTCTCTCTCTCTCTCTCTCTCTCTCTTCCAAGCGCTATTAATAAAAGCGCAAAAAGCGGAATACGTCTTCCGCGCAGCGGAACGTTGCCATTAAACTCTCGTTCGTGAGACCACGTCAAATTTGCAACACAAGACGGCCGGCTTCCTCGTTTACGTTATTTCACGCGCACAATGAGAGCCGCTATTTCGGTAACACCGTGCGTGCTCTCTTTCGCCGTTTCGGCGCAAATCACCCCGCGGACCTGTGCCGTTACAGCGACCTAATGGACTCCCGTAACACACAGAGACACTGAAATCGGAGTTCGCTATTTTATGACACGCGAGTAACGTCTTTCCAAGACGCTGCTTTGCAACGACGAAAAGCGAAGTAGCGGGGAACCATTCATTATGCGAGATACGATCAGGCATCGAATTCTAACTCTGTCCTCACCGCGAGCGACTCTCGCTTCTTTTTTCTCACCACTTTCAAAATGAACATTTTACCATCAGGTGTACGCAAAAGTTTTAGTCTTTCTTCTCAGTCCTCTAATGTAATTATTTTAAATTGAAATATTTTCCCGCCATTTTGTATGTTTATAAGGTTGGTATTGAGCTTTTTAAAAAAGTGCCATTCATTATGATTTATTTGTGCAACTTTGAACATAAGGGTTGACACAATGAGCGACGAAAAATTGTATATTCCATTACCTGTGCTATTGACGTAGAAGGTCGTCCGAAATCCATCCACGGATTTAGGATTATCATACATTTAAGATTATGATACATGATCCACTTTTTATTGCCAGTAACAATTTTCGACGAAAGATCTTTTTTTCCGCTCTCTGGAAGACAATGAGACGCACGTGCTCAAACGGCGGATAATGCTGTTTTGCGACAATTCATGCGGCAGCCATTTTCCGAGCTTCTGAATTTTTCTCATTTCATGCAATCGCCTTGAAACTGTTGCTTGGTCAATTCC